TTCGCAGAAAGCCCCCGTAAAGCGATTTCATGTGGCTTCTCAGTGTTTGAAGTCCGGTTTCATGCGTGCACAGGATAGTAGATGCTAGTGGAATGGGTAAAATCATCTGCGAGGTTGTCGTTGCTTGCTCTTACAGAAACAGGAGAGAATCAGGGGAGTTTGATGCAACCGCTACATGTCGGACGCGCCATAATCTGAAACAGTTTAACTCAAAAACCAATTTCAACCCAGGTTCCAATCCAGGTTCCAACCTAGGTTTTAATCCAGGTTGAACCCAGGTTAGATTCCAGGTTGAACCTGATGTTCAATCCAGGTCGAACCTTGGACTGAGAGAACTGTTGCTCCGAAATGGCGGCTGCCTTCTGAATCATTTCAAAGACGGAAATGTCTCTCTAGAGGACCCCGCAAGGAGTTAGTATGCAATATATGATGCATGTGATATATATATATATATATAACATGCACTACATAATATCTACATATATATTGTATATATTGTATATATGTATATATGTATATATGTATATATATATATATATATATGTATATATATATATATGATATATATATATATGTATATATGTATATATGTATATATATGTATGTATATATATGTATACATATATATATATATATGTATATATATGTATATATATATGTATATATATGTATATATATATATGTATATATGTATATATATATATATATATATATATGTGTATATATATGTATATTGTATATATTATATATATGTATTTATGTATAATATATAATATATATATATTGATATATAATATTGTATATATGTAATATATGTATATATGTATATATGTAATATATATATATGGTATTATGTATAATATATATATATATGTATATATGTATATATATGTATATATGTGTATGTATATGTATGTATATATGTATATATGTATATATATATTCACACATGATGATGAATTTAATATATAATCTGAAGATGCTATACAATATATGTATAAAACAATAAATACAGTGCCAGGAATAAAACTGAGCATATACATATTGAAATGTATGTTTTCATTTATTTCGCCATAATATGACTATAACATAAATAAATATATACATATATATATATGTATATATATATATATATATAACTATATACATATATAACATAATACGAAACATTATTTTTAAGCCAGTGTTTTCTTTGCACAAACATTATATATATATATATATATGTGACATATTTTCAATGTAAGCTGGTATAATTGCAAACAATGTAAACAGCATGTAGTATGTAATATATATATATATATTGTGTATATATATATAAATACACACGGTATATAACACATACAATATATGTTGTATACCTGTAATAAATGTACATCTATACATTTTATAGTAGTAAGAAAATTTACAATAGGTTTATATGTATAATAACAACAATAGCGGAATATGTAGTAGTAATAACAAGGATAATATGTCATGAATGATTTGATATAATATGTACAATATACAGCGTTCCGGACCTGACAGACTATCCAGAATTTCAATCGTTTCAGACTTTCCAGACTTTCCAAACATTTGAAAGTTTCCAGACATGGTATCGAGCGGGATCGTGTACGTTTGTACCAGGACGTAACGGAATACTACCGGCCGGCAGCCGTACGGTTGAGACAAGCTTTCCGAACCGTTGTGGGGATTTGACTTTTCCTTTTTGTTTTAAGCCTCTTTTGCTGTTCCCACAGGTGTTGCCCGGTCTGAGCCATGGCAAGGTCGGTGCTGATTTTCCTCTCCCAGGTCGGATCAGCTATTTCGTTCTCCGGTGGTATGCGCCGTCCGGTTCAGGTGTTGGACCAGCTCTCCGAGTTCGGTCCGCTCGTTCCTTCACTCCGGAGGTTCGGAGGACTGGACTCCGTCCTTTTCTGTTCTGTGTTCCTGCTGCCCCGTGCCAGGATTTTCGTCATGTTCGACTCCGTCGACTTTTCCGACCATGAGGCTGGATTCCGTCCGGCCTCTTGGTTTCAATTCCGTGGTGGGCAGGCTGCTCCTTCGGGCCTGACGGGACCTCGCTCATCTCAGTTGAGCTCTTGTTCTGACGTTCTACCTCAATACTGAGGATCCGCGGCCTCCGGCTCCTGCGGATCAAGTGCCCTACCTTGTCTGGTGTTGGTGCGTTTGCGCCCAGTTCGGGGTCAGTCTGCCTGCTTTTTCGAGCTAGCTTCATGACTGCACCTTTCGCTGCTGCCCCTTTCTGGTCTCGCGCCGCCCGGTCCGGCGCCGTCTCCGAACGTCTGTCCAGGTTCTTGAGCATGCCGGCCGCAAAGATTTAGAGACAGCCCTTGTCCAACCTTCCGGCCGGAATTTTGGGGCAGCTATGGCATGGTTGATTTGCTCGCCGCCTGGACTTCCAGTGCAGTTCCGGACGAGCACATGCCACCGAGTCCGGCTGACGATGCCACGTTTTCGGCGGACCCTGCCCCGGCAAACTCTGGGTCCGGCAATGCAGCCTCGTCCTCGGAAGGTCCAACCACCCCAGAGCAGCTCTTCCGGTACATGCACGTAGGCACATGGGTGAGCGGTGGGGACATCTCCGGAGACCGTGCCCAGCGCCTGGACAAGCTCCGAAGGCTGGAGCTTGTCCCATCTCGGCTGGATGGGCCACAAAGGGAGATCGTGCGTCCGGAGCATTGGCCTTTTCCGGATCTCTTGATTTTGGAGCGCGCGCAACTCCCTGGGCAAGCTTTGTTCATGGTTGGGGAAAGACGGCTCCCTCCAGTCATTCATCTCTGCCTGGAAAATACTTGCACATTGTGCATGGGTGGTTCTTCTCCACCGCTTTCTCCCTCCGGGTCATCCGCCTGTGTGCAGCGTGCACGTCTTGTTCCGGTGCGATATAACGTGGCCGCGGAAGCATCGTCGTGGAAAGGCCTTTCGATGGCCCGGGGCCTCTGCCATGTTCTCCGGTCTTTTATGAGACTGCAAGAAGGGCGTCGCATCTCCGTGTCTATTGAACACGTTCCGGGATTTGAGAATTCCATCGCCGACGCTCTCAGTCGCAGCACGGTTAACCACCTCGACCCCTTTAGCCGGGCTCGCACGGTATCGAGCGGGATCGTGTATGTTTGTACCAGGACGTAACGGAATACTACCGGCCGGCAGCCGTACGGCTTCAGACCGGCTTTCCGTACCGTTGTGGAGATTTGATTTTTTCCCCTGCCCCCGTCCCCGGCTTCCGCCTTGTCTCCCGATCTTTCATCTGCGTATTTCCTTAGACCTCCGGTCTGTTCTCGGTTGTCCTTTCCGGTATGCCGGCGAGCCTCTCGAAGCTTTCGAGATGCTCTCCTGCATAGGGGATTGGGCACGCTTTCCAGCCTTTCTTAAGGTGTTGCTTTGGACTTCGGTCCCTGGCTTTCATTCCGGACACTTGTTGTAACTCCCGGTCTTTACTTCGTTGGTGCGGATCGATATGCCGGTGAGTGTTCCAAAAGTTTCGTGATGCTCTCCTGCATCTCGCCTCGGGCCTGCCCTGCTGGTCGCCTGTGATTTCCGGCCTCACCAACTCCGTCCTGTAGGCTCCGTAGGACGAAGACAGTGCATTCGCACTGCCCTACCTTTCCGTCCGCGGTCCGAAACCGGATCCTGGAGATACCGGACTTTTCGCCGCTGGTCAAAACAAAGGGGTCCGAGTGCTGCGCGGTAGTACGGTTAACCACTTCGACCCTTTTAGCCCCACTGTACCGGTAGGCAACGGAAGCCGGGCTCGAACTTCACACATTCCAGACATTCTCAAATTTTCTAACTTTTCAGAAATTCCAGACGTTTCAGACGATTCAGATAATTTTTTCAGGCTTTCATATCCCTTCCAAACGGATCAGACATTCCAGATGTCCCAAACATTGCAGATGCTAGGGATGTTTGAAAAGTTTGAAAATTTGAGAAGGTTGAAACTTCGGCAGTGTCCGGAATGCCTAGAGCCTTTAAAGCATATGAACGTCTAAAAGTTCTGGAACGTTTGACCAGGCATTCCAAAACTTTCAGACGGTTCAGAAATTGCAGACTATTCAGACATTCCAGCCTTTTGAGATATGCCAGACTTTGCAGATATTCCAGGTTTTTTCAATGTTTAATAATTTCATAGCACGTCCAAACGTTTCAGACATGCCAGATTTCCCAAACATTCCAGACGTCTGAAAGTTTGAAAAATCTAAGAGGTTTGCGTACTCCTCACCTCCCGGCATCTTCGTGCTTCCTGTATGGGGATCGGGTTGCTGGATTTGGCCCTCTCGCACACGGATGTTGCCTCCATTTTTCGGCTAACTCTTATGATGCCCCGACGCAGTGGACTTGGACTTTAGTGTGCACAGCTGCGGCGGAGCAGTGTCAAGGAAGGGGGCTGACCGTTGTCCGACGGGAGTAGAACAGCGGCCGGAGTCTTGGCCTTGGGCTCCAGCCTTGAGCCGGGTGGATTGGAACGACGGCTCCCTTCTGCTCCTGAACAGCTGCTGAGTCAGACCGCAGTAAGGTAGGGAACTGAAGGGCTACAGCCGACAAAGTCTGCACGCCGCAGTTCTTATTCGCTATAGGTATCTGAGCCGCCGTTTCACCGCGGTGTTGTTTCGTGGTTTTTTTAGGGACGGAGTGTAGCAGTCGCTGTCGACGAAGCTCGCTTATGCCAAAAGAAAGCTCCCGCCGGATTTTGTGCGCCCTACTATGCAGTTTGCAGGCCGTGCCACGCAAAACATAAATCCGCATGCATCGACATGCTTGGTTTGAATTCTGTCCTCGCTGTGCAAATAGTTGTGTTTTTGTGTGCTGCAGCGTGCAACCCGATTTGCTACATGTTTGGTGGTTGTGCCGTGAAGCCATACATAATCCGTCGGACACCAGTGCAAGCGTGGCATGGCCAACATATGCATAGATCTGGATAGATCATCCCTCTTCAGCGTGCCACGCGAAGTGACATGTTTGCATTCCTGAATGGCGTGGTATTGCCCCAAGCTTTTGCACGCATGCCGCGTCCAGCCATGAAGCCATCCCTCGACGTGGCACCCCCTGATACCGGTGTGCTTCCACAGGAGATCTTGTTGCCTAACATGCCAAAATCAGCGACATCACCAATTCAGGATGTCAAGACCAAGTGCATTCTTGCAGGAAGACGTTGCCAGAGGTCCACGTTCGCTTTCTCCTCCGAGGCGTGACATTGATGCATGGGGTGACATGGATGAGTATCACTCGGGCTTTGTAAAGCTGTTTCTGTTGTATGCCACATTGAACTGATTATACATACTCTGTTGATCGTGGCATTTTATTCGGTTATGACTCAACCCACAGACTACACGATCATGTTGTAACATTCACCGACAGGTTCTTCCGCGCTGTTGATTCGGATCAGCAGCACAAGGCAAGAGAAGCAACAACCATGCCAGTTGCTGCCACTTGTTGTATTCTGTATGTTCATTTCGCTGCAAAACCAGAATGCATGAGCAGGCAGAAAGCCCATGGGGATCTGCGTTTCGGCAAACGTTGGACGGTGCCCTGAAACAGTTTTTCACGTTTCCACTGCGCGCATCAGTCTGCATGCTCTGGCCTGTGCCAGGTGGCATGACTGCCACGGCCCGCCTTCGACTGGATGAAGCGACGAGGCTGTTCCCGGAGGTGCAGACGCGGCGAAGTTACAAGTTGGAGGTATGACCAGCAATCGTGCCGCAGCGAAGGCTCACCGACCGCCACATCCACGGAAACAGGACGTTTGTGACTTCATCATGAGCACAACTGGCATTGGCGACAGCTTGCAATGGACAGGATGCATGCTCAGGCAGTTCTTTGCGACCGAGGCAGTGCCGCAAACGCAGCTCAGTTATTGTCTGAAGTTGTTGACCGGGCACCGTTGGTGCAGGCAAGCTTTATCTGACGAACATCATCCGAAGAGGAACATGCAAAGACCACAGATAGGACTTGGCGCCCGCAATCGGGGCGTTCTTTTGGAAGGCTGGTCCATAGCGGTCTGTATCAAGAAGTTACACGTATTGCAGTTGCGCAGTGTGTCGGGGTGAGAAGTGAAACAGCGCAGGTCCGATGGCAAGTCCGTCCATGTTGGCAACACGTCCGAAGTCAGTTTTCGTGCGATTTCGGCGTGTTGGACTCTTTGACAGCTTGGTTTAGGCTTGCCATGTAGCGATAGTTGGCTTCAGCCTCACATGAGGCGGGGTCAGCACAACCATCCACACAAACGACTCTGCAGCATCGAGGAGACTCTGTTAGTATTTTGAGCTTGATTTGAGAAGCCTGGCAAGCATGTGTGACCCGAAGAAGTTGCAAAGCAGGACCCTGCGTGGTGCAAGGTCTTCATACTGCTGACTCCGGTCAGGCCCACCAGCAGTGTAATCGGTCCCCCCTTTGTGAGTTCAGAAGCCGATCAAGGCTTTCTGACTCAGCAGAGGTGTCACAGATTCAGACAGTGAAGAGGAAGGGTCTTGAGTTGGAGAGGACAAGATTGGCCGGACGGAAGTGACAATCAATATCCGTGTCGAGTGCTGCGGCGAGGTTTTGGTGTCACGAGGAAACCTCCACCAGGCACGGCGACTTTTGACTGGTGTAGTTTTGTGTCCCCAGAATTCGCTGCTATGTCTTGTCGTCCTACATTGTATGTTTGGCATTTATGGCTCATGGTTCTGCTGCCAAACGGCAACTGGCCGTAGCGTGCCCCTTGGGTTGCAGTACGACTCAGCAAGCCTTTGTCAACGGGCAGCTGTTTTCACAACACAGCTTTACCAAAGCTGCCGTGGCAATGTCAGGTGATGTCAAGGCCTTTGTCAATCTTCGAAGCATGCGCCGACCAACGAAGTTGGGGCGATGTTGAGAAGGATCTGCTGAACCAATTGCTAGCACATGTGCAAGCTCGAAGTCAGCTTGACTCATTGATGGTTTCAGGCTGGCTTTTCATGTGGTTGTGCCACTTGGATCTGATATCTGCTTTGCAACACGTGGTTCTGCAAGAGTTCATCAGAGACCTCAACGCACTGAAGGTTCAGCGTGATTCGAGCAGTCTCCCTCAAGCCATCGGCAGTTGGGAGCGGGCCCCTCTCTTACACATCGTTTCGAGTAGCTGGAGCGCGACTTCTGCATTTTGAACCCCAGGGAACATGATGCAAAGACGACTTTGCACGGCACGTCTTCGCTTCGAAGCTCTGAAGAGCAGGCACGTGTAAGTTCTCAAAAGTGGAGAGTTGCCCCATGCCGTCGGAATTGCAGGCAGCTCACCAGTACTACATGGCAACCGGGAGGCTTCTTGTTGCTGCTTTGGGCAAGTTCTCATGACTTGCTCTGCTCGTTTTGAGGTTTCCTCCATGGTTTCTTCGCCGGGATGGTGTGGAGGAGCCAGTTTTCCGTTATCTCGGCCAAGAATTGAACGAGTCTGATATCACAATTCGGCAGGCAGATGGGCACATGCACGTGGTGTATGCGCTGGAAGCTACCAGCAACGTCTTAAATGCCGCGCTGATGAGTATGGTCACCCTCGGCGTGCTTCTGAGAATCGCAGAGACTGCGGACGGAAAGCGAAGCGTAGTGAATCCAATCTCGAGAAGACAGACATACGGCGGGCGATTTGGGCGGGTCGGGATTGAAGCCGTCAAGGTCGTCACATGAAGGAGCCGCACCTTCTCACGATTCACGTGATCGGGCTCTTGGCTCAGCTTAGTGACATTGAGGCACCCGGAAGAGCGCCTGGAAGAGTGAGCTGTATTGCAGGGAAAACGTTGAGGTCATCGAGAAGGTTCGCTTTCTTGGAAGACTGTCGAAGACGCTGATTTTTGCTTGCCGCTGGTGCTGCGTCAGGAGCTGGTCGCATGTTTCTTCAACTTCATGGGCGACCAGGCCAACAAACACCGAAACGAGCTGTGCAATGGCCGGCCTGAGAAGATCTTACGGGCTACACAGACATGTCAGCTCATGCTCAAAGGCTGATCGCCGTTGGAAAAACCGAAATCTAATCGACAAAATCTTACCCTTGTAAGGTGAACCGGGATCTCAACTGTTTTTGCCTGCCACCCTTTGCTCTGGGAGGACAGACTGCGCAAAGTCTCCCCAGAGTCATCCAGTGTTCGAAGTGTCGCAACCGCGAATCAGAGCCGCAACCTGAAATTCTTGGTGGCTGGTGCCTTGGCCTTGCTAGAGGCTGACGGTTATTGCCGCGCCGCACCAACAAAAGAACTCAAAGTGCAACCGATGAGAATACCATTCAAAGCGAAGGCTCAATTCTAAATGGTCAGAAGGATTTTGATGGTGCTTTCCATGTGTGTTGGCAGGCAGCGCCTCATGTCGAGCTTCACGAACTTCATGCCTTGCCCGATGTGATGCTCCAGCAACCCGTCTGATTTCCGGAGACGTAATGACTGGAGATAGCAACCAGGTCTATCTGCTGACATGTACATCGATCTCAGTGCAGGTTTGCGCACAGAACTCTTCCACCTGAAGGGCAAGCTCAGCTGGACATGGATGGCTTTATGAGGTGCATTGCAATGATGCATGTCAGTGCTGTTTTTTCTGCTACAAGGTGGTGTTTGCCCGGAGTCCGATGACAGTCGCAGGAGAACAAAGCTGCAGATGAGTCGCTTCTACCTTCATCAGTGCCCCACCATGACATCGAGCCTAGCCACAACCCAGATCGTGAACTTATCCATCTCTGTCAGTTTCCCGGGCAGCTATGGCATTCCGGCAACTGTTCTGATTTGCGCAGCAGCCGAATCTTCCACGGTTGAAGATCGGTGAGTTCTTTGCGTCTTTAGGTGCTTCTTTCGTTCGTTCACACCGAGAGCTGCTGCCAGAAGAAATCGCTGCAGCACAGGCCTGCGAGAAGCATGATCATGTACGCAGGTACTTGCCCTCCTCAGCTTCCCGGGCTCTGTGGCTAGATGCAGAGACTCTTGCCCCGGACTCAAACAGCGAGAGGGGAACCGGGAACCCTAAATAGCTACAGCCGAGGTGGTGGCTGACATAATGCCGCTCCGTCGCTTGAAAATGAAGACTGCCGTTGCTGCTGTACAAGATGGCACAGGCCTTCTTGAAAGCAATTGGGTCATTGCTTGGTTCGGTGTGCTTTGCAGAATCTTGACTTCAGGTCTAGAAGACGAGACTGCTTTTCTGCGGCAAGCATCCGCCAATTTCTCACAGGCTCTGCATAGAAGGAGCCGCAAAATTTCATGTGATTTATTTGATTCCTTTGTCCCACAGGCACAAAGCTTCATTCCAGCACCGGGGGCCAACCATTTCAAGACATCAGTGTTGCAGACTCAGTGGTCGAGGAATTTCACAGGGGCAGTCCGGATGTGTGGCTCTGCAGGCTGCTCGTGGACCTTCGCGAGTGGAGGACACTTCGGGAGTGGGAAGTGGGATTCCGACGGCAGACAGAGACCATGACTTTTCCACACATTCCCTCCCGGCTTTGAAGCTCAATAATCTCGTCAGGGATCAGGCGAAGACTTAACAAAGCTGTTTCAATGGGAATGCTGTGTAAGAAAGTCAGAGATCAGGAGAGGATGGAACACGGGGGTAGCACGAGCGGAGCGCACGTCCTTTTCGGAGGAGGCCGACCTTTACACCCCACCGAAGGAAAAACGAAAAAACGAAAGGAAGAAGCTCCATACAGTTGTCGAACCAGTCTCTCTTCTGTTGCTGGCGGGGAAGCAAACAATTGGCCACAGAGATTTTAAACTGAGTGCGCAGGCCGTTTTCCTCTTCTGCGAAGCATCTTCTTCTACTTTGTCTGTCCTACGCCCGTACGGGCAGCCGACACCTTCTAACAGGTCGAGTGCAGACGGGAACGGATGCAGTCCGAATTTTGCAGCCAGCTTTGTGTTTTTCTCAGAGGTCCTGCGTCTTTGATCGGGCAATTATCACTACCGCTCTTGTGCTGAGCTGTGCTCAAATCCCTTTCTCGGGTCTTGTCATTCTTGTAGGCGGAGGCAGCTGCACACAGAGCTCGAGGCGTGCACGCCTTCTGTGCAATTGGTTGGCTGCACCGGAACCACTCCTTAGCCACCTGTCTGGATCTTTCGTCCGCACGGGAGGCCCTGGCAGCGCTTGTTCAGGACCATCGCACAGTTGCTGCGCTCTCGGCTCACCCAGTGCCACGCCCAGCATTGACTTGGCTGTGAAATCGTTGCAGTCCAAGGATCGATTGCTGTTAAATCTGGGGTTGCACTCTCAGTTCGACATGCTGAACGAACGATGGACGCCTTAACTGCACGACGTCATTCATGGTGCCCTGTTTTGCTTTCGAGCCGCCAATTCCAAAAATCTCAAGGAATGCTGAGTGCATCAATTCTGAGACGGGTGCAGCCGACATCTTGGAATCTGCATCGACCTAGTCTCAGACCGGGGACCAACAGTAGCGTTGCGAACGGACTTCATACGGTCTCAGAATCTGTTCTCACGCTTTATTCCGTGATGTCTCTTTTGTGTTCTGAGCTCGTGTTGGAATGCTACGACGGTGTGAAAGGGTGGAGCCTCGCAAGGATTTTGCATTGCGAACTGTCGCAACAAGACGGACGGAAGAAGCTCCCGAAAGGCTTGCTGTTCGGCACGACACTGGCGCTGTCATAAGAACTTCACATGGTTTCATCAGTGAGCAAAGGACTCTGGAGGCTATATAGCGAATGTGGTCGATGCATAAGTGGCGTCTCGGCGTGCACCCGGAGAAGGGAAGCTGCTGGTGGGCAGAGTGATGCATGATATTGACGTCAGGCCAGCTGATGTCTGCAGTACCCCAAGCTGCAAGCACAGCAAGCGCTATCGCTGCTTGTAAAGCACGGCATCGGTTCTTGCAGTACCCGGATAGTCTTGTTTTATCCAACTTGTTCGTGCAGCAAGGAGATTGGTGCCGCTGGCCACATTATCCGGGCTGAGAGATAAAGACTCGTACAGACCCTTGTCGAAAGCAAAGCTGCTCAAGTCTTCTGCCAAGCTGGCTTGTCGTGGCTCTGCTTCAGCAGCGTGTTGTTGCACAGCGCTAGCTCTTTGCGACCTCGGCAGTCGAAGGCAAGATTGTATGGTGATGCAACCGCACTTGTCATTCTTGCAGCTGTGGCCTCGTGGCTCAGCGCGTGCCAAAGTGCATGCCATGAGACTGAACCGTTGGGAACATGCCACTGCACCAGTACGGTAGATCATAGACGAAATCTCAGACAAGCCATTCTCAGCATGTGGCTTGGTGATGATAGCTGAAGAACAGCCATGGCAGATGCAGATCCCGAAGAGGGCAAGGAGGTTTCAGAAGCTCCTCCGGAGGTATCGTCCCCATTGATATAGCAGGTGAGCGCGTGAGTTGGGTAAGTGTGTGAGTGAGTGACTGAATCTGGTGCTTAAGCGGTTTTCAGACTGAGGAGTCGTGCTTCAAATTGGCTTTGTACGGTTGCTTGGACTGCACAGCACAGACCTCAGACGCGACAGCTGCATTTCAGAGCGAGCTGAGAGCCAACCCAGTTTTGTGAGAGCCGAACTGCAAGCACCAGGCGGTGATCACAAGATTGCTTCTCGCTCTTGGGTCGGAGTCTCATTGGTGGCGTGGCGGCGTGAGCTGTGAAGGCGAGGCCCAGGTCTCCTGCAGTCAGGTCCTTTCTGCTGTCGCTCATCCGAAACTGTGTCTATCCCGTGAAGGAGATGCTGACCAGGTCGCCGGACTCATCACAGAAGCAATTTGAAATTGATGGCGGGTCATGATCTTAACTTGCACTCAACTTGTACTTTACCGGCACACTTTCTGAGAAGAGGTGGCTCAGAAGTCAGTTTTGACGTTACTCCGAGAAAGCGCAAAGCTAGGACAGTTTCTGGTGAAGGTTGACGTGGTTGGCATTTCTATATGTAGCACGTTACCTCGAGGATTTCTTGAACACCCTCGAATCTCTGGCATAAAGGGCTGACTTCGCTGGGGGTGGAGAAGCTCGACGACGTAGATGGCGGCGAACATGCTCGAGTGAGCTAAGGTGCATGGATCGGCTGAAGACTTGGTCGCTCAGATCATGTCAGGTTCCACGTTGGTTAGAAGACTAGGTTTCCTGATCTGTCAGACCTTGTGTTGATTCTTTTGTCTGCTTGCGTGTGCGGGCAAACAGCTACGTCCAGAAGCAGCCTCTCAAGCATGACTAGAAGCCGTCGGGTCAACCTATGCATGGGTGTGTCCCATGCGCGCAGACGGAACAACCGATACAGCGAAGGATATCTTCATACTGAGCGAAGATGCCGGAACTCTGGAGAGTCTTACCAGGTCCTACCAATGAGTCGTTTGGTTCATCTACTACCCAGAGGCGCAAGTTGAAACATGTCCTGACATGACAAGAAGCAGTGGCTACGTGTAGCTCGTGGAGTCACTCTTCATTGTACGGTCGAGTCAATCAGCATCGAGACAGCTGTAAGCCGACACAATGCACGGGACAGTATGCACAAAAAGCATGGCGACTGCAACAGTCCCGAAACCGGTTCGTCACAGTCTGCTCCCGCGCAACCCGAAGATTCAAGCACGACGAACGAGGTTCAAGACAGGTTCTCGGGGACGCTTCTTGTTTATTGATGTAGATGAAACGCCCATTGAAAGATTTGCTGTCCAGCTGCATGACTCCATGACTCTTGTCAATAAAACCTTGCGGTCCGCCGCTAGCCATCGAAGAGACAACGGCATTTGCTTGAAGCCCTCTGAGGAAGACACCTTTCCACAACAAGCAGCCTGCCACCGTCGGAGTGCCACAGCTGCTGATCTGCAACGCTTGCTTCTCTCCATCGCATCCGCCGCGTCTTTGCGACGTTCGCTGAGGTTCAGACTCGGTTCGCCGCTCGGCGTCAAGACATTGTTCCTGCAGCTTCGCCTCGTCAGCAAGGGAAGCAAAGCCAGCCTGTGCGATAGAAGATCTGTGAGACCGGCCTCGCTCAGGAACTACGGGAGTGCGTGATCTATCACTGAGCGGTTTCACGAGATTATGTGCGAAATTCCTGCCATATGTTGGACAAAACAGCCTGCAGCTGCAAGAATCGGAACTGAGCCACAGGGTCAACATGCGATGAGAGGCACCAGCAGCGACACCCCTGCAAAGCCGGGGGTGCAGCCACTCGTGTGCCTCTGAGCGGCTGGATCGATTGCTTTGGGTCGAGTATGGCAGCGTATGGCAGCTGAAGCCCAGGTCCCAGTCATGTCCAGAGCCGGTGACTGGTCTATTCAGTGCTCGCCTCAGTGGAACTCCGTGATTGAAGGAATTGGAAGTGCTCCCGCGCCAGGTGCGGCGGGAGCTTCTGGTGGCTTTGCCAGACCGCGGTTTGTCTGCACGGCATGTACAACTGTCTTCAGAGGAAGTTGTACTGCTTTTTGGTCCATTTATGTCCTTGACGGCTCTCCCTGTTTCAGCTTCAGCGCAGCCTCGTGTCCGTCTTGCACATCTGCTCTTGTCTGCAATGCACTCCATCGGAAGATGTTCTCAGTCCCATGCATCAGTCCAGACATGTCAGTTGACGAAAGCATACGAGCAGTCAATGGATTGGGGGTAGCAAGCGAGGAGAGCGAACTGTGGATAGTGGAGAGGTTGCCAGGCATCCCTTCTCGTGGTCTTTTTCAGCCACCGAAGACTGACAAAGCCAAATCTCCAGACAAGAATCAAGAAGGGCAACAAGAGATTACAAGCCCAGACGGTAGCTTTGACACGTTGGCCAGGGACCCGAACAGGATGGTCCAACAGGTGTGTCTTTCTCGGAAAACGCAGGCTTCATGGAGTTTCGACTAGCCCTTCGTGAAGACTTACTGCTGCATTGAAGCTATCAACGAATCACAATGTCAAAGCGTGACCCTGCCCTGAGAAAGCACAGCCCCGTGCAAGGTTCAGATGCCCAGACGCAGAGCAAAAACGTTTCTCCTAGTCGTTTACATATTGCATCCTCAAGCTCTGTTCCCGGGTCGAAGGAAGCAGGACTGCATGAGATGACGGCAGGTCTAAACACAAGACGTTGAAGAGACACAGCAACCTAAGATCCTGGAGCATAGGGCCTCACCCATACAGTGTTTTGGGGTTTGGGGAGTAGTTTAGGAATGGCAGATGGCACAGCATGTCACTGAGCCTTTCTCCAATGGTGCTGCCGGTAACATGCTCATCTTCATGTACCTGCAAAAAGGCAGCAAGAGTAGGAACAGCCAGGCTCCTGAGCTAGCAAGAGTAGACAAAGCAACGTCCAGTTTTCAAACAGCACGTATGGCTACAGCAATCTTTGCGCAGGTTCATGAAACCATTTTGTAAGATGAACTGTAACGGTAACGTACCAAATCCTTGCAGTCCAGGGGCGTGTGCATGCGTAGGTGTACAATCGACGAGAACTGCTAGAGACCTAGCTAGCTTGAAGCTCAATGTACCACGATCGCATCACTCGTCCCTCCGGGTCCGTGTTCGGGATTCTGGACCCTGGAGTGCCAGGCAGCCCAGAGGGTAGCGGAATTGAATAGTGTGTATTCCGGACGCGACGCCCCTTAGGCGACACCCAGCAAGCGTCATGATTCGCAACCGTTTGGCTGCCTCCCCTTCCACCGTCCATGCAGCTCACGGCAGCCCCGGGAACACGCGAGTCCTCCCAAACGCAAACGGACAGGCGGAAGGTGTCGGTGACGCTCATGGCAGCTCAGGGGCGGCTGGAGCAGGGTTTGCTGCAGACCCCATTCCCGACAGTGGCAGTGGCGGCAGGCGCAACGCAGAGGCATCCCCGACATGGGACTTTTCGAAGCGAGCGAGCATGGAGTCGAACCGAAGCCGTAGGAGGCCCGTGCCCGCGGGACATGCGACCGAGATTTGCCAGACACAGCAGATCTCGCACAACGGCAGTGGTGTGCGGCACATCATCGCTGCTTTCGTCGTTTTGTGTTATTGTCTTTTGGTTGCTGCTGGTCCTTGTGTTGCCGGGGCTGGCTCTTTAGGCCTTGCGCCGGAGTGGCCGCCCATTTGTCAAACCAGGCTCGTGTCTCGGCCCACGCTGACCCCACCTTACCTGACCTCACCTCGCATCACTCATCCTGTTAGTTCCGGTCGGGTCACAATGGTCACACCTTTTTTGCGCCTGCTTCTTGGGAGCGAATTCTCAACTTTCAGAATGTGTTTTGAAACAGTTGAGGCTGTTTTCTAGAGTCTGCATCCGGTCGTGAAACCCCCCTGCAAGAAGGTGACGTGCATTTCGGCCGGCTGCAAGCGTGTTATTCAAAACTTGAATCTCGTTGCGAAGACCCCCTCCTCGACACCCTCGCTTACAGTTTCACCGGCAGAGACTAGTTGGTTAATTCGCAACAGCATGCATACGATCATGCAGCATGTGCACCACCTTGGTTCATCATCCAACATATTACAAACGGGGGTAACCCCACACCCCCAGGTAGCGGACCTGGGGGGACATCAGAACATCAGACTGCATTTCATGGTTGTGCCCATTCTTGTCTGGCGGAGCGGCTCCACGTCCATTCGTTTTTTGTTCATTTCATTCGTGTCCAGTTCCCCTGCACGTCCTCGCATGCACACAGACACTTGTATGGGATGGAAGCGAAGGCAACCCTTAATAGCTCCAGTCCAAGAACAGATTGCATGGAACTGAGAGAGGTGGGACGTTTGGTTGAGCGAATGCAAACATCAATGCACAGACATGCTGCCGACGCCTTGCAACTTGGACCCAGTAGCAGCTTGGATGCAACTGTTGAAAAGTCCTACAGCAGGTCAGCCTCAATGCAACAAGCTTTATTTGATCGTTACGGCGGCGACGAGAGACTTGTTAAGCAACGTTTCATGCGAAATTGCGTGCTAGCTCCGCAGAACGAGCAACGACAGCAAACTCAGGCAACGCCGTTGCTTTATGTTGGATTGATCTGCACACTTATGAACGCCATGTCAGCTGTTCCTGCACAGCGAGCGACGAGCCGATCCGATGCGATAGCTTCCCCAGTTCACGACCTCCCAGCCGGTGTGGGAACCAGTGAAGAATACGCAAGGATGCTGACTGTTTCGGCGCTAGCCTGTGCTTAACAAGGACTGGACAAGAAAATTTGAGAACGGAGATTTAGGAAATACGGCTGGCCGCTCCTTCTTCCAGCATTGTTTCTGTGCACCGGCATCGAACAAAGCTAGCAACCTCTTTCCATGCTCCTCATGGTACCTCTGCGATCTCGCCTTGATTCTCTGCTATGCAGTGCTTTCTAATCCTCATGCGCTTTGTTCCAGTTGTGGATCCTTCAGTCGAGTCCAGAACCACTTGTGCCCGCCCGTAGCAACGTCCGTCTTGCAGTTGAGCATGGTGAGAATTGGTTGAGGATGTCCTGGTGGGGTAGATTTCTAGGCGGCCTGCAGTGAGTTTTCCTTGTTGGGTGGGGCTGTTTTTAAATTGACATGCTTCCCCTTGTTTGCCTCGTTTTCTTCCTGAGTAAGGCTCCCGGTGCCCGTGGCATCCAAGCCGTTGGGCAAACAACTGGCAGCAGTTCATCTTGGAGCAATTGCAACACAGAGGATGGATTCTGGAATGGGAAAGACGGTCTGAGGGGCTCCTGTTTGCACACTTGGGAGCCCTTGCCTTGACTTTTGACCTTGAGGAGTGTGTCTCCGTTGTCTCCGCGCGGAAGTTCCACCAGCTCGGCTCCATTGCAGTACACTCGCTATGTTCGAACTCCCGTCAGGGCCAGATCGATCTCCCCTGCACCAGTGATCCATGGAGCAAACAACGTCCTTGCCCAAGAAGCAGACTCTGGTACCTGTGGCAATTTTGTTGCAACAAGGCTTCAAGTCTGAAGTGGTCCATGTTGCCACCGTCGCCGACTGCGTCACCAGCAACATCCTTCCGAACTACGTTCAGCTATATTCAGCCGCATCCAGCTCGGTGTGCGACAGCAATTCCACTTTGTAAGATGCAGAGCTTCGAAGCATAGTTCGAGGTCTGCTGCTTCTGTGTCATCTCCAGTTCGAGGGTGGGAAGCCGCGCGGTCACTGTCTCCAGTCAGAAGCTTGGCTTGTGAACCAGCTCTCCATGCGCATGCCTGCAACAGTGCTGTCGAGGTGGTGGCGTATCGATCCGTGCTACAGCCTGTGCCGGCTCCAAAGTATGTCCTGGGTGCAGCTTCCTGGCAAGAAGTTTCCTCCCGATCCTGCTGTGCCGTGTTCCCACGAGAATTTTGCACGGTGTCACAGGTGATGCATCGAACTTCGAGTATGCGAGCTATGCCAGGTCCCGAATTCGGGCCTCGGACCCAGTGATTGGGTGCTCGTGTCCGCGGAAGACAAGTCGCTGCTTGTACCTCTTTACCGCCGGCCGTGGCCCCAAACTGTAGAAGTCTATCCTCCGCATTCTGCGCAGGTTCCTTCATGTCAAACAACATAGGCCGGGCCTTGGAGACACAGATCTGCTAGGAAGGCCCAGGCAATCCCAGAGCTCAGAGAAACTCCCCCTTCCGCCTGCATTTGCAGCGTGCCTTCCTCGCATGCCGACTCTTGAGCAGTACAGTTGCTGGTCGAAACTTTCCGTTGTGGCACGAGAAGGATGAATAGATCGAGAGCTTGCCGGTATTAGCTCTTCATTACTTATTGCTTCTTCCATGATGTCTCTCGCCGAGCCTTGTAGGTGTGCCTCTGTGTGTGTGTCTTAGAAGATTTATCCTCTCTCCGGCTGTTGCATTGAATTGCATTAATCTGAAGGAGCCTGTCACTTCGTCAGCAAAGCAGTCAAAGGCACATTCAATTTTTGCACACCTTCGATGTTCTCGATGTGTAGCTGAGCTTGGAGGAGTTTTGACAGAAAGCATCGTCAAGACCTGTTGATCAGTTAGGCAACGTCAAAGCCCAGTTAGCAACTACTGGTGCGCTTGTCTAGCAAGCTAGCAACAAGAAAGCAAGGTGTACTCAGACGACGCCGGCTGTGATCTCTCACTGGGAGGCCACGTGACCTCGTTGCAAGCTTTAGGGGTTGGTCAGATTGCGCAGGCGGAAGCCCCGTCGATCGGTGCTACTCGTCCGACCTTGTGTCCAGAACCTTCAGATCATCTTGGCAGCGGAATTACGAGAACAGCTTCTCGCCTCTATTGAGGACAGTGAACGCAGTATTCACAGCTCTCAGCAGTAGTATGTCTTCTGTGGCCGACTGCAAGTAGATTTGATTGCAAGGTGGCTGCTGAGCAAGAGGAGCTGCACGAGGAACACCAGGATATGGATGAATCGGCACGTGTGCAGGAGAGCAACGAGGCGCGGTGTTGACACAGATGCACCGTGTTGAGAGTGCAGACGTCTGAGGAAGAGGAGGCCTACATTCTGTCGGCATTCCGCCACAATCATCAAAGCACAGATGAGCGGCATCGAGGGGAGAGCGCGGCCGCCTGGAGGAAAGCCGTGGCGGATGCATCTTTTGCCGCCAAGGCTGTTCTTGATATGGCGCCTGTAACACAGCAAGTCGCTGATGTTGAAGACTCTCCTCCAAGCATGGAAACTCTCCGAGCCACCCTGCAAGTATTGCGCGCACGCGATGACAGTGCACCTCCATGTACTGCAAAGACGGTGTATGGGCTTGATGTAGACCAGAAAAACATCCTGAACGACCAGTCAACTGCGGCTGCTCTCGAGACAGCAGCAATGAACTTGGCTAGTGCTGCGGCTGAAGCAGCCACTGCTCTGGAATGCAGGCAGTAGTTGGCATCTGCCACTTCGCGTCCCTTCTTGAGCGTGCTGCACTTGTCAAAAAGAGGTTGTACATGGATCTACGCTTGTCTAAACGGAAGGCGCCGACGATGACCATGATTCGCTGGAGTGCTTCGCACGAAATATCGCAATTATTACGTGTTGTGTTTCAGTTGCCAGACAGCTCGTTTTTGTTTTTCGGACTTGTTGGCAGTTTCCTTCAGGATGCTCTTTGGGCGGAGCTTTGGGTTTGCTATTGACATGTCGTGTCGTGGCGCGGAAAGTAGGAATGCAGGTTGCATCTGTACTTCGAATTTCGGTCGCTGCCGTCTGCATTTGTGCAATTTTGTGCCGACCAAGCCCTCGTGAAGCTTGAGCATGATGGCCCGAAAGGCTCAACAAAGGCTCTCTCTGCGCAGGGCTGGGCAGAGGCCAGGCTGAACAGGCAGTCGAGCAGTCTAGCAGAGTCTAGCATGCCAGGCCTGGCCAGTCGGGTAAGGCCACAGACAGGGCAGTGCGGGCTGAGCCAGCGGGCAGGGGCGGGGGGAGTGGGGGCGGCGGGTACAAGCAGCAGTGGCTGCTCGACTGTAATCACGTTAAGTTGTTTTTTTTGGTGCTCTGTGTGTGTGTGTGTGTGTGGTATGAAGTAAAGTTGCTTCTGGCTCAGGCTGTATTGGTGTCTGAATTGCAATCCCATCAGTATTGCTTCTAATGCTAGCAGCTACTAGCACTGGCAAGAGCGTTGCAATTGTGGTATGCAACACGCACTTCGATCAGGCAGTAAACGTTTCTTTGTGACACTGTTGCGAGCGATGGCAAAGGCCACCGACAGTTGCTTCTTGTCCAGCGCACGGGTATTGCTAGAATTGAGGAGTGCTTTGAATTGCGAGGTGACTGCATATGTTTACGACATTACGCAGGCCTGATTCTGTGCCAGCCAAGCCTTTTCATGGGCTACACTTGCACAAGTTACCGAAAGATACGGATCGATGTTGCTTGCTTCACATAAACTGCCCGAAAGCAGCTGCTCATTGCACTGCAGGGAATGGCGGCGCAAATGTCTGTGGCCTTAGTAGGCCGAAAGAACAAGAAAATGTTGGTATAGACAATGTGTGACACGTGCGATTGTTCTCGGAAGGACTCGCCTTTGAGGATTATTGTAGCGACCTCGTGCAGGGCACGCAAGCTTGACATGGCATTCTGAGGGCATGAGTGACATCACTCTTGCAAGCCGCAGCCGAAACCCATGCTTTCATGTACCTATGGAGGAACTTCCTTAGAATTGGAGGCAGTCAGCAGGAGTGGACAAGTGCAGCCGAGCAGCATACGCCAGCCATGGCTGAATTGCGTGCTGAACTCGAGGCATTGATTGCAATGTCGTGGCTCTTTGTCAATGCATAGGAGATGGCACGACTGTGCAGCACACGGCAGAAGATAAAGAGGGTCGGTGTGGACATGTGTGGGCGCAACGGCGGTAGGCTTTCGGCTGGTAGTGCTGTTGCAATTCAGAAGAACTGGCAGGCAGCAATCGCCCAGCTTCGCGTAGACTTGTTACTGCCTCAGTGTCGTGACGCAGCAAAGAAGAGAGATGCACAATTTTCCAGCGAGGCAAGGGCAGTTGTGGAACTATTATGGAGCCCTTCGAGAGCCAACTTCTGCATTGAAGGATGTCGTCAGAGCAGTGAGCGGTCCACCCTACTGTCTACATCTACGTGCTGTGTGCAGGACCGCGTTGAAGAGCTCGAGGAGAGGCTAAAGGAGCATCGTGCTTTCAACAAATGCAACGGACCTAGTCGACTAAACAGCGACGCCTTCATCCGTCCAGGACTTCTCCGTTCCTCAGGCAAACTACACATTCACAGCTTCCGTTGATCAGGAGGCACCGACTTTCATCAAGGTTGAGTATTGTGCATGTGTTCGTAGAGAGAGAGAGAGAGAGAGAGAGAGAGAGAGCAGTTCTTTTCGATGCAAGCGGCAATTTCGCGATTGTGATTTTGGCTCAAGGCTGTTAGGCATGTACAGCAGGAAAGCCCGACAGGCCAACCATGAACTTGTACAGCAGGATTTTCTGCCTGTGCTGGCAACTTGTTTGCATCTCATTTCAGTCCACGGGGCAAACGCGCGGCAAAACCCACTGAGCTGCTGAGGTTTCGGCTCGCGAGCGGGGCTGCGACTCCTCCTCCTGTCAACGAAGCATGCCCCCGATCAGGAGGCACCCTGCCACAGAAACGAAGAGCTACTGGGACGCTGTCCCTTCCGGTTTGCCTCTGGCAGGTTTGGTTTTCTTGCAAAAGACTCCTTCCCTCCGCCGGCTGATGACCCTGACTGGGATGGATTCAAGCTCAGAGTGCATGACCACTGCGTGGGTTAGCGGCGAGCATCGGCAGCGAATCCGCCTGGTTATGATGCGAGGATCACGCCTTCGCTTCTACCTCTGGCTTTGAGTGGATGCCGGTGAATGGCGGCATAAATCGGGCTTGCCGCGGAAAGTCGGCTGGGGACAACTTGGCTTCGTATTTCACCGTGCAACAAGCAACATGGCAGGAAGCAAAGATTCAAGATGTGAGTGTGAGCGCCAGTCAGCCAGTGTCAGGGTCAGTGTCAGTGTTTGTGTGTGTGTGTGTCGGCACCCTAAACCACAACGGGAGCAGTGCATGAGAGTTTATCAGACAACGACTCGAACAAGAGTGAAGAGCAGGGGGCTCGCAACCTTGCATTCTGGCGAGGGCTAATGAGGCTCCAAAGAGCAAGAAAGGAGGTGAAGATGGGACGCCGTGTTCAGGTACCTGCCAGTTCGGCTTGTGACATCACATATTCTTAGGCTGTGCATGGTTCAAATTCGCCGTTGTTACAGGGCCATAGGTACAAGCTGACGCTGGGCTAAAACGTCCCGTTCATTAGTAAGCCGGAAGCAGCAAGGAAATCCAGCCAATTGAGGACTCATCTTCTCAGCTCGAGTCTGAGTGCATACCACGCACTGAGTGATCTCTCGGCAAGCCGAGTATCAAGTCTGTGCGTGTGTGTGTTTAGCAATGCTACTGTAGCACTTGGGGCCAGACGGTCACGCCTACCCGCTTGCTGAACACACGGAGCTTCATGCTAATTTTTTGCATGCGGGGCTGCTTCTAAAAAGAGGATGCAGGGTCACTATAGGCACTCCATGGCAAACCCAGTGCGATGAAGCTATGACTTAGAGTTGGAAATGGTTCAGGAATTTGGACTGTGTATCTGCATAAATAAAGTGGCCCCTGGCCAGCCGTCGAAGGGTCAGCGTAACCGATTTGTCTCTGCTTTCACGTCTTGGCTAGCAGACAGGTTGAACTTTTTGCAGAGATTGCGACATAAGCACATCGGCACACAGCTATGGCACTGCTAGCTTCAGTTTATCAAAGTGCGTGTCTTTGTGACAAGAAGCGTACTGCGCCAAACATGTGCGACGAATGGCAAACTCAGGGGCTGGCCGACCTGAGTGCTTGCCAACAGCTATGCGAAAGCACAGAAGGGTGCAAAGGCGTGGAATACCACACCTCTGGAAGATGTGAGATTTGGACTCGAGAGGGCGGGATCGAGGCTAGCATCAGCCCCAGACTTACTGTCTACACGAGTCTGCATGCAGGGTCCGCGTGGCTGTTTTTAGAGCAATGCGCAGAGTTGATGCAGACAGCGTTGCACGGGAGAATCATAGAGCCAAAGGCTTGGATGGATATTCGTGTTACAGCTACGAGATTTCTGATTTCATTGAAGTTGGTGCTGGCATTGATCGTGCCTGCCGTGGAGAGACGGTTGCAGATGATTCTTCAAGCCACAAGACGGTGCAAGCAGTTGCCTCCCTCAGCCAATGCAAGCAGCTATGCAGAAACACTGCTACTTGTACAGGCAGGGACAGTTGCCAGAAGTGTTTTTTGACCCGGGTTGTCTTCATGCCTCTGTAGATCTATCAGCACGGCGAAGCTCACTTGTCAGCCAGGCATCGAATTCAGCGGCTCGCGCTGTGAAGTGTGGTCGCATGATATTAAAGCTTCCGTTGCAGCACCTGGAGTTTTGTGCATGAAGCCTCTTGGAATAACTTTACTTTCGTTTGACCATACCGCAGAAGGAGCAGAACGACTGGACCGTGTGTTGGTGGTCAGTGTGCGCGCGAAAGGCTGGAGTTCTCCAAGATTGACGGAGACGATCGGGCTTGTCGAGGATCAAGCACGTCTGACAACAACCCGCGAAACTATATCATTGCTTCAGGCCAGGATTACATGTAATGTGCATGAATCGAACCAGTGGCTGATTTCAACCGTTTGTACGGTCTGAGACATTCTACCGGGTGTGGTGGCAGACAGTGGTAGGAGAAAAACGGAGCAAGAGGGATGCCCAGTAACACTTATTTTTTGGTGCTGATGCAGGGCCCTTGCTACTGTGTTATGAGCAGGGCTTCTCACACAGTCTAGGTGTTGCCTGTCTCAACAGGTGCAGCATCGGAGGCTGCGCTTTGGTCCGCACTCAAGGTGGTAGTAGCACATGCCGAAGTTTTTTGTGCTTGCAGCCGAGCCAACTTCCAAGGAATGTAAAGATGCATGCAGGATGCAGGATGGATGCGGTGGCATCGAGTACAGCACTGGAAGATGTGAGTTGTGGATCCGCCCTGAAGGGATAGAGGCGAAGCCGACAGTGCCTGTACGTAGGCTTAGAGCCCGGGCCGATGCAGCCCTGGACAGGCCACCGTGCCCCTCAGTGGCTTCACGCCTCTTGACTGTGGGCTTGAGCTGTCCCGGCTTCACCTGCTGTACTTGCACCGTAATGCAGCCTTCATATTTAGGTGTTTGCGCTACAATGGAGGCCGCGACGAGCCGTGTGCAACCTCATGTCCATTGCAGCGTCACGTCTGATTCTGTACTGTCAGCTGGGGCACAAACAACTCCGACGACAACGTCCACGACCTTGGGGATGACGTCTGAAGCCAGTCAGGTGTCTTGGCTCATCCAGAGCAGCTATGCAACTTTGAATAGGGGTTCAACACAGGCTCCCAGCATGAACCGCGCTCGTGGTGGCAGTGTAACTTGCAGATTTCAGGGACTTGCCGGAACAGGTGAAGTGACTCACTACTCCGCGGGTCTATTCAACCTGGAACCGAGCCATTTTCTCCGAACGCATGCCTCCGATTTCGCTATTGCCCATCACCCGCGACTGTTGGTTCTGGGTCTTTTCAAACATTCTTCCGGGTTCTGAATGGTGGGTCTCTCGCATGTCTTCTGAATGTTCCGTCAGCCTCATCGCCCTGATTGGGTTTAAAGCTTGCCCATCACCCGATCGGCGAGTTAAACGAAGACATGCGGGCACGCAAACGGACAGCTAGTAGGGCATGCATCTGTTTCACCTGTGCTACCCAGGCTCAATTTCTCATACGCTCCACTTTTGGTCCGACGCTCTCAAGCATGCGCGAGCTTGCAAACAAGACGTTTCAAGCCTGGATTGATGAGCAAATGATGCTGCCGGCTGGGCTCCATCGAGCCTTTTGGAGCCACCTTGCTCAAGCCCCGTCAATGTGCAGTGGGCATCTGATCAATTCTCTTGTTTGTGCTTCCAAGGACAACGTGTCAATCCACACGTTCTGCCGAACCTTGGTTTTCGCCGGGGCATGCACTGTGGGCATGAATCGTTTTTTATATGTCGTGTTGCAGGGCTTCTTCTCGAGTGCACCTTCCCAGGGAAGATGTCGGCAATGGAAATCTGATCGGCAGCGCGCGTTCCCGGTGTGAACACGGCTCCCGCTGGGTTGGTTACACGTTTTTGACGCGCGATGTTGGTCGTCCCGTCAAGGTTCCCGGTGCTTTGTCCGTCGTCCGTGCTATTGCTGCATGTCTTCTTCTGGTGCCTGCTAGGTGATCGGAAATCAGATCCTGGTAGATGGCCTTCATCGGGTTGATGTAGATCCTGCATATTTAGGCCGGGTTGTGTTGCTGGCCGGAACCGCCAGAAGCAAGAGTCCAATGCAAAGCCTTGAGGCAATGGCATGGATCCACCGCAGACTTGCAACAACAATCCTCCAGAGAACTGGCAGACCAGAGGTCTGACTTGTGAGTCTGAAGCCGACTCTCAGCGCATTCGATGACTTTGAAGTAGTTAGAAGACTGTGGGGGCACTGACCGAAGCCGCGCACGTAGGCGCTTGTAAGGCTGGTAACATCTAGCTCTAGAGTGGCGGGGGCGAGCAGCCCCGCTGAAGATAAGGAGAGCATGGCATGGAACTGCTATGACGACTTCTGGAAGGAAGAGAAGTTGTGCCAAAAGACATGCTTTGACCGGGGCCATGGCTACAACGGAGACGATTGCTCTGGTGGCTGGGCAGGACACTGCTTGAAGTATGGCAGAATGGTAGAAAGCAGGAGGCGTCTTTTGTAATTTTGCAGGTCAAATGTTATGAGCGTCAGTGTCAGGAGTTGAATTTGACGGGTACGTCTGCAGGGTGAAGGCCAACTCGGTCGGAGCATGGGTGCAGCTGGGTACAGCGGAGGATTGTACCGAAGGTTTGCGGGCAATGACAAATCCTCGTGTTTGGAGGAGCACGGCATCTGCGGAAATGACCCAGAGTTTGAGCTTTCGCGTCTTCCGGCCAGACGTAGTTCTGATGTCAGAGAGCGTTGACCCGTGCAATCTCGGCACTGTGATCCAATCCGACGTGGAGGGCGAGAAGCGGTTTTACATGTTGGAAGCCCGACTAAACTTGGTGGAGAACACACTGGAACGGCCGGCCTCGGCCGATTCCTGGATCGGAGGCGTTTGCCCAGCAGTGAGTCGAACATTTGTGAATTGGAACAGCTGCCAGCTTCTACCTGGTTGTCTGCCTCTGGGTGTGGAGAGTGTCCAACTCGCACTGAATGCAACAACTTTCGAGAGATTCTTCACAGTGGGTGGTCGCTACGTGTATGCCATTACCGGCCTGCGAACCAGCATCTCGCCGTGCAATCGGAGATCACGCTGGAGGAGGCTGAACTGTCAGGAGGAGTCGTGTTCCACGACGACCCTCCCTGCAAACGATGCGGAAGCCATTCGTGCACAGCTTCTTGCAGAGGCATCGCAAGGATGGCTCCGTGACACGACCATCGAGTGCAACTCAATCGCCGCGGGTGCAGTTGTACAAGTTGATTCCGACTACTTCCAACATGTTCATCTGGATGAGTTCAATGTCTACGATTTTACAGACTGGGTTGCGACGCATCCAGGAGGACCGGACAAGATCACCCAGTGGACAAGCCAGGCCACTGGACCTTGGACCTTTTTTAGATACTTCAGTTTTCAGTTTGCCTCGCTTCAACACAGGTCGCGAGGCTCTTGTTTTCAGAAAGGCTGTAATCTTGGAGAACCATGATAAACGAACGAACATACAGTAGCCCCGATGGAGCTTCCGAGCAGCCTCATTCGTGAAGGTAATCCTTGTGTCTCATGCTCTTGGTGCTCACAGTTGGGGTTTCTTCCTGGCAGGATCGTCGTTCGGTTACGAAGCAATGTTCATTCCTGTGCTCCAGGGTGTTCTGGCGTTGCCGTCTGGTTCAAGTGTGCTTGACACAGAATCTATGGAGGTATGCAGGGGGCACAGGCATGGGACACTGCTGGCATTTCTAGATCCTGTCAGCGACCCTGTGTTTCAAAGTTTGCCTGAGTTAATCCAGCAAAGTCGGAAAGCTTGCCAGCCATTCGTTCTTATCGTTGCTCAGTGAGCAGATGCCTATTCATTATTGATCACATTGCGTTTCTCTGAAAGCCAGGGCTACCAGCTTGAATTTCCCTCCTGGCACGATATGTCCCGCTGGGATTCTGGCATTGCTCCCGGGGTTCTCCGGCCAAATCTGGTGGGCAAGTACAACGAGATCGTTCTGCTCCAGACCTTGCCACAGCCTCTGCAAACCCAGGACCTGCACGCAGCATTGCTGCGCATGTTGCTGGTGATTGTACTAGCTACTGGTGCTGGCTTAGTGCTGTGGTACTGTGGTAACTGTAGTATGTGGTGCTAGTGGTGCGACTTGTAGACTGCGGCCGCAGGCCCTGGTGGATGACCTGAGCGGCTCTGGGAATCAAGGCGAGGTCTCGCTCGTTTGCGGCTCTCCCGGGGAGGTCGCCAACGATCCCGAAAAGGGACATCAGTTGTCAATCACTCATGGAGGGGAGTATGATTGGCACTTCGACATGGATTATCTTTCACGATGGGGTACAGACAGGCTTGCAAAGACGGCAGTTTGGACGATGAATGCCTTGTATGGCAAGGACCAGTTCCGACAACGAATGGCTTGGGCGCTGTCACAGATCTTCGTGGTGGCGATCGTTGGCGATAACTATGCCGGACAGAACGAGATGTGGATGAATTTCTACGACATCTTCGTTCGGCATGCTTTCGGCAACTTTAGGGACGTTTTGCGCGAGGTTACATACAATCCCATAATGGGAGATTACCTCACCTTCAAGCGAAATCGTGCTTTCGATGAGAGCAACAACTATCCTGATGAAAACTTTGCTCGGCAGCTGGATTGCAGTTGCTGGGGTGCCTGCTTGAATACCGGGCGGCTTCTTGTGTGGTTGGCACTCTCCCACTTGAGACCTCTCTTTGTTGTTGGCCACTACATGGTTGTTCATGGCTTGCATAGAGGGTCCGTGCAAAGGGCATGCAACTGAACAAGACTGCGAACGGCTAAGAAGGCCCGTGCTTTCTTGGGATCTTTGAGACTCCCTTAAAGTCGATAGTCTGTGCAATGGGTGTCTCCCGAGGGAAATCATGCAGCTCTTCACCATCGGCTTGTGGAAGCTGAACGAGGATGGCACGAGAGTGCAGGATGCGGGGCGAGACGTCCCCACCTACAGCAACGAGCACATAATGAACTTCGCTCGAGTCTTTACAGGCCCCGCAAGATTCTGGTGCTCCCTGATTTGCTATCTTTGCTATGCTTTCTATGCATTGCATAGAGTAGGCCATCGGGCACGACAGCTTGCATACGATCCCGGTTCTCGATTCGATGACAACCTCCCCTTGCGGCGCAACGCACCTGACGACGAAAAAAGGAGCAAGATGATGACGATTATGATGAAGATGATGATGACGATGACAACAGCAAACACCCCGAGCACACACGAAACCTGAGCCACACGCAACACTAAGCTGGCCCAGCATCTTGCAGTCTTGCAGCATGCAGCACATCGCAGCCGCTGCCGTGACAGCCTTACTATCTAAGCTTCCACTGTTGCTACATAACTCTCCCCGTCCCGTCTGGAAACTAGCAAACGGATTCGAAGACCATGATGCGGGAGCGGCCCAGATTATTTGTTTTTCTAGGCCCGAGGGTTGCAAACAGACTCATGTACTCAAATATCACCTCTATGCATTCCGTGGCCACCAGCAGCTGCAAGCTGTGTGAGGTTTCGATGAACAGCCGGACAGAGACAACATCGAATGGGTTTGGAACCAGAACTTCATCGATCCGATGCGAATCCAGGCGAGGTGGCATGATGTATACCCCAAGCCGGACTTGGATGGCGGCTACTTGGGGGATCGATACCCTGTCTGTGCAGATCTTCCCACCGGGTACTTCTTGAAGAAAGGAGCCTTGTCTCTTTCGACTAGTTCATGACGATCACGTTTGGGACTTTGTTGTGCCTTCGCCTGAACAACTGGTCTGGCCTTCAGCAGCCAGGTGCTCGTTACGAGTTCCTGGGACACTCCTACTCTGGAACAGACGTGCTCCTCACTACATTGCTTTTAGAGCCTCACTGGAGTAGAGCGTCAATCTGTTGCCTTTGTTGCTCGCATTATTCTACCAAATTGCCCACCACAGAAAGCAAACGCTGACCCAGACATCAGCATCCTAGTTTCACCACATTCAATGCTGGCAAAGTGGCCAGGTACTAAACTTGACGATGACTTCAGCTTTGTCGATCCATCTGTGTGGCTCAAGTTTCTTGGTCGCACGGTTCGCGCAAACTTCACGACACTGAGAGATGATGGTTTCTTTGATGTCAGGTGGATCTCCATGCAACTATCGTGCTTCCGTCGAGCTCAGCCAGGATCTTGAATGCAGCAATCAGGAGTGCACTGTCGATACCGTCTTCGTTGTGAACGTGGCTGGAGGCGTCTGACCTGCCGTACACTGTCTTGTACTTACACTGAGCATCTAGGTTGTCGTACTGAGCCTGTTCATAGGATACTACGAGTATGTGCCACCTGCATGCACCAACTTGTTCTTCTTCAACGGGCAGGCGAGGAAGAACGGAGATTGCAACATGAGCGTATAAACCCTTGCCTGACGATAGAAGGGCAGTCTCTGGCAGGTCACTCGCAGAGGCGGACGAGCCTGGGGATGGACAAGTCAATGCCAAGATCCGAACACTCCTGTTGCAGGCGCCCTTCGTTGCCTTGAGCTGGATGTGTCTCTGTGTGTAATGAAGCACAGATGAAGCTCAGGATCCGCCTGCTGCGGTGGATGCAAGAATCGCAAGGACTGGTGGTGGTTGGATTGGAAGAAGTGCTCCTGCGACAACGTTCCTCTTCATGATTTCGGAGCGATAGAGTGAAGCCCACATTCCAAGTTCTTGCCGGGAATCGCCTTCTGAATCCAACGCGGTGCTTTAAGTCGCCGTTAGATTTGCTGAGGCTACGGATGCCTGCCCAGAACTGTTCACGGAGAAGTGTAAGCATGATGAGCTTTGGGCGGAGCATAAGTGGTGCCGGCTGGCATGCTGGGAGAACAGTGCAGGATATGACGCTCGATAGCTTCTGGTAGCCCGTTTCCCAAATGCTCTGTGGGGGGACTACCTTTGCAGCAGTATCAGTTGCAGCCATGAGCTTGCTGCTGCTTCTTCGAGGCATTCTTGCACCACAGTTCATGATAAGAGAGGAGATCGGAGATTCGTTGTCCATCCAAGGACGGTGATGACTGCAGCAAGGGTTTGTGGCGCGGCGAGCGGCTCTGCGGATATCCCAGGGAACGAGTGAGAATGGCGACAGCTGAGCGACAGTGTGCAGATCGTGGCTTGGAGCTCTGTGCCAGGCTCAGACAAGTTGTGTAGTCCTCAGTCGCGCATCGACTTTGACGAAACCATGTGGGTGTCATGTGTCGAAGGTTGGGAGCGCCTGGAAGGGTACGAGTGCGATTACGACGAAGATCCGGTGTGGACTCCAGAAGCTTGTAGCTATGAGGTCATAGTGCACGCCGATGGCACAGTCACTTCCAACTTGACAAGCCGAACACGGCAGAATCGCTTCTCCGTCGCGTGGAAGTCTGGGCACCCTGCAGAGTCGGGATCGTGCCCAGCCGGATGCAGGTTAGCTAATGCGGCATGCTCATGCAGCTTTGTGGTCGAAAACCGCGCAGTGTTCACCCAGATCCCTGCAGCCAGCCAGCTCCACAAATTGAAGATCGGCGCGGTGCGACCATCTGGCCCATGTACCGATTCGTGTTCGGGACCAATCCTTGTGTACACGGCTGGTAGCACAGGCCAAATCGACGAAGAAACCGTTTTCGAGTTCGAGGGTAAGTTCTACAAGAACAAGGAGGTCTTCGTTGTTGTCGGTGACAAAGCTTCCGGATTTGAGTTTCGAAACCCTCCAAGTTTTGTGACTCTGGAAAACCCTCGCGAAAGGGATGCTCATGCCGAAGTCGACAGCTTGCTCGACCACCTCTTCTACCACAACAACACCCCTCCGTTCATCGCCTACCGTCTGATCCAACGTTTTGGCATGTCAAACCCTTCGCCAGACTACGTTCAAGCAGTCGCACAGGCCTTCAAAACTGGCCAGTACAACGGAAGGGTGTACAGTGGCGCAACACGTGCGAATGAGCAAAGCTTTTTTTGTGAATGGCCCCGAAGGTGTTCCTTCTTGCACAAAAGCAAGTGCTGCTGTAGCCAGGCATACGGGGATCTCGGGGCCACTGCGGCAGCGGTGCTGCTCTTCCCCGCCGTCTCCGGTGCCACGACAGGATCTCTCAGGGAGCCGCTCTTGAAGGCAGCGAAAGCCAATCGCCCGGAAGGTTGCAGTCCAATGCATGTTTCCAAGCGCAGGTGATTCATTTCATGAGGTCCATGGAATACAAGGATCGTGTCCTGGCAGCATCAGATCGTCTCGTGGGGTCGTACCGCCGTTGGATTCTTGCGGCCCGCGAGGTGTCGGACGCAATGTTCTGCTCCAGAATCTGCTGCCTCTGATTGGTCAGTTTCCATACCGGTCTCCATCGGTCTTTAACTACTTCTTGCCTGGCTTTAAGCCTGCGGACTTTCCACCTGGCATGGTTGGGCCTGAATTCCAGATTTTCACACCTCCGATGGCTATCAGCTTCACCAATGGGCTAAACTCGCTCATTGAGCTTGGCTTGGGCCCATGCTCGGGTGGATTTGGTTTCGATGCCCCTCAGAACTGCTCAAATGGACAAGTGCACCTCGGCGAGTTGGAATGCTTGCAGCCGACCATCGACCAGTTGGACCTCTTACTCACAGGCGCAGAAACACAAAGATGATCTCGTGGATTTCTTCGGTTGCGTTTTTCCGGGTCAACGACAGTCCCCAACTGGATCTGGGCTCTGAGCTTTGCTGATTACATCTTGCTGCAATCGCCAGCTTTCTCTTTCGGCTCTGTCTATGTAGCAGTAGTAACACATCATCAAGAGTTTATGCAGCCTCAGCCGGCCAGATACACACGACGCTTTACTTGCGGATTCTTGGCATGAAATGCTATGTCCGGGCCGCCGCTCAAACTGAATGTGCGATGGGCAGTCTCAGGACGAAGCCTTGAGGAGATCACTGTAAGCAGCCAGGACACTGTGCAGCATGTGGAAGAACTCGTGTCTTCCCGTCTCGATGCCGGTACATCCATCAAGCTGCTCTTCAATAACCGGGTTTTGGAAGTGCACGAAAGGCTGAGTGATGTTGGCCTGCGCAACAACTGTTTTCTAGACTTGGTTTGTCGAAAACTGCACGTGTTCACGGCCTCGGCCGACCACACGATCAAAGTTTGGGGCGCCAACCGTGGTGAGTGTCAGGCCACCTTGAGAGGTCACACCTGCTCTGTGACCAGCCTGGCGCTCTTCTCCGACAACGCACGGTTAGTTTCTGGGTCCGAAGACAGCACGGCACGCATCTGGGACTTGGAGAACATGAGCTGCAAAGCAGTTCTCACGGCTCATTTGGAAGCCATCAATGCAGTTGCTATTTCGCCAGACCAGACGCTTGTGGTGACTGGTGGGGTCGATCGTGTGGCGATAGTGTGGAATGAGATGGGCGTGCCGCTCACAGTGCTAGAAGGGCATTGCGGAGCTATTCAAGCAATTGCTTTCTCGCCTAAAGGTGCTACCATTCTGACGAGCTCTTTGGACTGTACTGTGCGGTATTGGAGTGCTCGAACTGGTGGTTGTGTCATGGCAGTATTGGCTCATGAACGAGGCGTATACTCGGGCTCCTTTTCGCCGGATGGAACCTTGAGTTTGACCAGCTCAGCCGACGGATCTGCTAGGATTTGGAGGGCCGGAGCTGAGAAGCCTCGCACAATGACGGCACATTCTGGCTGTGTCTACGCATCGGCCTTCTCCCCAAGCGGTCTGCAAGCGGTAACATCCGGATGGGACCGGCAAAGCAAGGTTTGGGACTTGAGTAGTGGACGATGTGTGCAAACACTGCGCCACGAGGGGCCTGTGTATTCAGCCTGCTTTTCCTCAGATGGTGCTAAAGTCCTGACAGCAGGGAAAGATGGCTCCACGAGAGTATGGTCAGTCATTTCTGGTCGTGAGGTTCTGACCTTGACGGGTCACGAGGGACCAGTTCTTTGCGCAATCTTCAGCAATGCCTGAAGTGTCATTGCTTAAGGGCCTCTCACCTGACTTGCAGAAGCCACATGAAATCTGCGCCCTCATCTCCACAGAGCCGTTTCGAAGCCGAAGTTGACATGAAGACTGGATTGCTTGTTTCCCTTTACAGGTGGGCGCCTCCACGACTCGGGAATGATCCGTGGTGCTTGGGAGGATGCAGAGGGCGGTCAGGAATACAAAGCTGCACAGAACCTTCGCCAGTACAAGCGGATCTAGTAGATAGTCTAGGTCCTGGTTCGATGTCATTGGAGCGGACAAGTGAAAATCCAAGGATGGCAGTGGTAATGACACCAGAATTCCACACGCTTGGAGATCCCCTGCCTGCGGGTCCACGAACTCCAGAGCCACCGCAGGTCATTAGCCAAGCGCGCTCCTACAAGGCCCTCGTAATGGTCTTCTTGCACGGTGGTGCCTCGGAAAGTTGTAGCAACGCAGCTAGCTGAGGTACGGCAGGTCCACGGCCCTGCTGTCTGCCATCTTGCTTCTAACGGCTGTCTGAGGTGCTGACACATTCAACATGCTGGTGCCGATGAACTGTCCACTCTACGACGAGTATCAAGAAGTTCGAGGTTGTCCTGCAGGGAGCGAGATGTATCAATGTGATGTCTGATGCTAATTTGCCGGCTGCAGGTCGTTGTTTTGCTGATGTTCATACTCATCATTCTGCTAGCCATACTAAGAAGCGTTTCCCCCTGCTGCCAGTCATTGCTCTGCGGGCTACAGACACTGCTTGCCCGCTGCAAATCACTACTCTGCGGGCTACAGATCAGTACTTCGCCCAATGCAGATCACTGATCTGCGGGCTAGAGAGCACTATTTTCCAAATATTTTTTGATTTTTGCCAGCCAGACGTCCAGACAACCAATCCTTGTCATTCTAGGCTTCTTCGTGGCGTTACGACTCAGCGTAATCGGTTGGAATTGAACTGGAACTTGCCCTGGGCATGGACGGACTTTCAGAAGCAATGCTACGGTGGTTCCAATTCTTGAAATTTGTCGTTTTGCATTTCCAGTATGGCAGATGTTCAAGGCGCGGATCACGTCTTTGAATGGGGGATTGGTTGTTAAAGTTTGGTTCTTCGGCTGCAACTTCGAGCCTGACTCCTGACCTGCGTCGGGCATCTTGCAGGTTCCGTGGCCTTGTCGCCCTCGGAGCTCAACCAGATCACTACGGAAGGGCAGACGTGCGCTGACTTTGGCATTCATGCTCGACTACCGCTTCTCAAAGAGCTTTATGACCTCGGAGAGGCGGCTTTCGTTAGCAACGTGGGCGCTTTGGCAGCTCCTGTGAGCAAAGTGCAGTGGGAGAGCGGTGCAGGAGAGCGCCGCTTGGCTCTGTGAAGTCCTAGAGGCGCAGCACTCCTAAGCCTCATTGACACGATAGCTCAGGTTGCGCAGGCCTCTTCTCCCATTCAGACCAGCAGCAGGCAGCTCAAACACTCACCTGCCAAAGCGCTGCGTCGGCATCCAAAGGGGCTGGTGGTCGCATTGCAGACACTTGGCCGCGAAGCCAACGCATGTGTTGGCTTGCATTGAGCGCGGTTCACGGCTTGACTCCTCAGACTGTTTTGTTCTGAAGGATGCCTTGGGCGCAGGCAGCCAGAAGTACAGAATCTTGGAAATTTCAACTGGAATCTAATTGATTGGACAGCTGGCTTCTCGAGCAGAGAGAGCTTCTGAATGTCAGCAATTCGTCTGGCACACCGCTCGGTTGAAGTCCAGCTCCAGGAGGAGGTTTAGGAGCTGGCACATGACCTGACACAAAGAACACTACCACCAACCCAAATAGTCGAGGTGCTGTTGGTTCAAGACAGCTGTTACACTGATCGAGGAACTATGTCTTTCTCTGTGGCTGGAATGTCGACATGGTCGCAGGGCATGGAAACGGCAGCAGAGATCATTGACCAGCGTTCAGGACTTTGTGCTTAGAGTTTTCGGGGAGGGGGGCGGGGCAAGGGGCGGTACTGTTGGACCCCGAACCTAAGGATCCGCCTTCATGAGACCAGCTAGTTGTTTCAGCAATGTACGTGATGTCAACGTCTGTATGCAGCAGCAATGTCTTCGCAAACCTCGCGAGGAGCAGTCAAGTTTGAGAACTACGAGCGCCTGAAGATGGTGATCGACAACATCACGGGTGTCCAGCATGGCAATATCTACGCAGAGGCACCTCGTTGCGGTCTGTTGCTTCGGATGATTCCGCCATCATGTGGTGTGTGTAGCTTGCAAGCTCAGGAGTATGTCCGGAAGTTTTCTGCAGCCATCAATTTCAACGAGGACGTCCCTGCAAGCATCGACGGTGCTAGTTGGATCAATGAGGGCAGCCTACGGGTTCGAGGTAAGATCTAGTACCGAGCTGGACAGATTGTGAGCTTTTTGCTGGAACCGGACAACTTTTCAGTAGAGAGAAAAGATGGCCTGGAGAAAGACACACAGAGGGTTGGGAGCCAGACGACCGCCTGCCCTGTTTGCGGTCGGCAACCTGCCCGGGGGCGGGGCATTGAAGTACGTTCGGGGTTCAAGCTTGCGCTAAGATGCTGGACCGTGAAAGCCTTGATTCCAAGGCGGCATGTCCTGGCCTCTGCCGCTTCGCTTCTTCACTAGCTGTGCAAAGCTTCTCCAGTCTGCAGGAGTTGGGAAAGCAGCTGAAGACAGCAAAGCTGAAGACATCGCACCTGGAAAGTAATAGCGTTCTGTGGATTTGTTGATGCTTTAGAACATGAAGCCTTCCCGTTCATGAGGTATCCGACCAATGAGGTATCCTTGTCCAGGCAAGCTTCGATCAAATTATCACATGAGCCATGCCATGGGCCTGCCTCGCATCAGAGTCAACTTGTGCTTGCATTTCTGGAATTGATTTCGTTCATTCGCTGTCAGAGGCAGCTCAAACAAGTCGCACGGCTGATCGCTGCACGTGGTGAGCGTGGGGCGGAGCGAGATGTCTTTTACGCATCTTGGCTGTGGACCTGGAGTCGACGTCACGACCATTTCAAAGCCATATTCCTGCCAAGGTCGAAATTGGTGGTTGGGATACGCAGCTCGAAAGAGGGAGTCAAGTTGTGTGCTGAGCGTCTGTTCGGCTTAAGACTGTCTTGATGAGGCTTGCTTAGCTGCATTGACATTGCCTAGTTGCCTAGCTTGCAGACACCAGGCATTCCAGTGTCAGCCAAGAGCTGAACAATCGCTTCGGAGAGCTCAACGGCGCCTTGGAAACCTTCGTCACTGAGATGAAGGCCGGATAGCCGCATGGTCAGCTTTGGGAAGTGTGTCGGACGATCCTGATCCTCGTTTCATGGAAACTCCATGAATCTAAGCCTGTAAGTGTTGCCTCTCTATTCTCTATGCTACGAGGCCACTTGGCTCAGATGCGGTTGTGATAGGTGTACTAGAGATGCTCCAATGCGCTTGCCGAGCACTTCGGCTGGCAGACTCCGAGGTAAAGGGTCCGGAACAGATAAGCGGGGCTCCAGGTAAAACTCATGGACCACAGAGGATGTTTTCGGGCGGCAGGATTGCAGGAGAAATGGGGAAAACAGGAGCAGCCATGAGAAGAGGCAGCTTCAAAACGACCACCGAAGGTTCACAGCACTTCGACAGCACGAAGCAACAGAAGCATTACAGCACAGCACATTTGCGATGCTGTGCAGTGCAAGCAGGTAGCACTTGCGGTCTCAAGGTTTCAGTTGATCGGCTCTGCTTGTGCAGGCCCACGGGATCTTTGACTCCACGACCTTGCTCACGCATTCTGACTTTGCACGGACGTTAACCCCCAACAGTGCGAAGCTCAAGCATGCTGTTATGCCATGCTTACCTTACGCCTGTTTTGCAAGCTGCATCGCTTCTTGCATCGCAAGGTGGTGACGGCACGGACCACGGTTGGGCTGGCAATCATGTGATTATCGGAGGCACGGTGCGCCACCGTAGGCCGTTACTTTAGAGATAGAATGCAGAATTTGAGCGTCAGATCTACAGAGTAGGACAGTGACCGGGGTCATTTTGAAAGGAATATAAAGCCATCCGCAACATGCAAGACCGGCAAATGTTGGCGACCCTTAGGTGCTGTCAAGGGTGGCCGTGTCTACAACGACTTTCCTGCTTCTTACCAGGAAGGCAGCGATCAGGCGGAGGGTTTCGGCTGGAGCTCTGCAGATGTGGCATAGTTCAGTGGGAACCGTTTAGACCGACACCAGAGAAGGGCATCTTGCATTCGCCTGCGAAGAGGATGCCGGGCGCGGGCGTCTCATCCCAAAGTATCCCTGGGAAAACATGAAGCATGCCTTGTATGGAGAAACTTTTGAGAGCCTGTTGCAAGAACTGCAGGTAAAGAATTGCGGACCAGTGAGGTGTCATTTGCAGCCAAGGATGATGCCTGTCGCGGATTGGATGGGTGTCGAAAATTCACAGTTGTCGAGTGTCTTTCCCAATATTGCAGCCTTCAACTCGTCGCTCTTGATGACGGGCTCCACTTTGTTTGTGGCAAGCTGATGCTGCTGCACGAGTCGTACATGCGGAGCTCCACCTTGCTCGAGTTTCTCGGGCCGGCAGTACCGTTCCGTTGTCACGAAGTTTGAGACCCCAAAGCTGTGACAAGCTGCTACTTGTACCAGGTCTTGCTGCATTCTACCGGAAAAGACTCGAAGGGTACTCTCACCTCGCAAGTGCCCAGGATGTTCCTTTGTGTCGGCTTCGGGCTTCTACTGATGTTTTGGTAGGTCGCTGGCACTTCACAGCACACGAACCTGTGAACTGCCAGAGTTACAGACAATTAGTGCGTTCGGGGCTGGTGGCTGGGCAGGTTGACTTTCAAAGCAGTTTTGTAGCTAGTAGCGGACTTATCGACGTCAAGATGCCAGGCCAAAACAGCTCAGAAAAGCATAGAGATGCCTTGAATTCATGTCCCTAGGAAGGTTCAGTCAACTCGCATCTACACTTGCCTCTTTCAGCATTCACTGCGCGCAGTCTCCAGGTAGCAGGAGTTTCTGCGCGGAGTGTATGCAAGAGTGCAAGCTGTGTCCATTTCGGAAGCTCCTGTGCCAAAGGCCGCCGGGAGACTTCACAGGTGAAGAAGCAGGGAAGTCAAAAAGTGACTAGAGCCACTAACGTGTGTTTGCGTCAAGGAAACAGCCCTAGGTCTGGTGTATGTGTATGTGTAATAGCACATATCATGCCCGATTTGGACACTCTGTTTCTGCGAAATTGAACCATATGTCGCAGCTGTGCTCTGCTGAAAGGCCATCGAGTCAAAGCTTGATACGCTGTCTTCTCGATTGGCTATTCTGGAACAACAATCCAAAGCTTTCGTGGAGCGGCAGACAAAAGACTTGGAGGCGGGGCTCAGGGGGAGACGATTTGCTTCTCGATATTTGCTCGATTTGATGCCATCTGCAGGCCATGGCCAAAGAACGTGCTCAGCACTATGCCTTGGCCAAGACCTGAAACAGCGGCGGTTGCGGCGGCCCATGCAGGGTCCCGAGATCTTCCGTTGAGGTCAGCCGCACCGACCGCGTCGAAGCTTCAGAGAGGAACCTGTCCAGGCCACAGAGCCACGCTTCGCAGACTCTGGACTGAGAAGCTCATGCTTCCGCAGGCAGGTCGAGCAAATCGAATCGGCGGCAGCGGAGCAGAAGGTTTCCGGGCACAACACCGTGCACTTCACTAATGTGCCTTTGACCTGTGACAGGAGAAGATGAAACTTCAAGGGATCAAGCTGGAGGCTGCTGATAAAGTCTGATCCGATCTAGATGTGCACCTGTTCTCACGAGCTTCCTGCAAGAGCAATTGTTCGTGTCTGGTCTGAAAGACTGACACTTGCATGAACCGTGGGTTCAGCTCAGCCGCCGTGGAGGCACAGCAAGAAGGATTGCAGAAGCAGGGCAGTGAGGCTTGTGGTCAGCAGTTCGGGACAAGCCTAGTGCGCTTCAAACTGACCTCAGGTTCTTGCCTAAATGAGTTATGTGTTTTCCAGTTGTAAGTGTCTTGGTCCAGCTTGATGCTCTGTACCGCTGCAGATCGACAGCCACTCTACATCACTTTCAAAGCTGCAGAGTAAAGTCAAGGAGAGTCTGGATCGCAAGCGACAGTCGCTTGAACCATGCGACTATGCAAGACTTACCAATTCGTCTTGCTCGGAGGAGTTGGAAGAGGAAGCTCAGAAGGCTGTGATGGCAACACTAGAAGAGAGAGTCTGGGCCCGAGGACCTTGAGTGCGCGTTTGCCATGTTCCCTTCTCGGGGCAGTTCGGGCCGAGGCAACTCGGGAGAGAGCAGTCGAGGACGTGCAAAGAACGTGCAAGCAGAACATGCAGACCGAGATGACCAAGTTGGAACAGAATCTAAGTGAGCAACCGTCAGGGATAGCATCCGTTCCATTCCTTTCGCAGACAGCAGCATAAAAGGTCTACATAGCCGAAAACGGTAGGTATGGGGTCTGGACTTGGACAGCAACAACAACTGAGCTTTTTCCTTCTGCTACTGCCTCGGACGGAGCCCAGGAAACTGAGCAAGCAAGTTGCGGACTGTGTGGCAGGAAACCAGGCGGTTACCGTGAGAGATGTCCTGTGTCCGCATGCCAGCAGTTCGAGAGAGAGAGAGCGAGCGACCGAATGCTGTCCCCCGAGAAGCGAAGCGAAGCGACCGAATGCTGAGACCTGTGTGCACTCGCGCGCGCGCGCGGGAGGGTGGGGGTCCGCCGAGCAAGCAAGAGGGCCTCCAAACAGGGCAACTGAAAGGCCTGGCGGAGGTTCTTAGTCTCTAATCAGGGAGTCTTGTTATAGGGTCCTTCACCGGCCTTTCATAAGCCAGAGATCGCATCAGACACTGTGAGTTTTGTGCATACCTCGCGCATAAGCTTGGCATATGAGACGCATCCGCCGTTGCCCCTTTTCTTCTCACGTAAGTGGGCCCACTGAGCCGTATTACTTTGTGCGATGGCTCTGCGAAAAAGACCGTTGCACCGCTGAAGCGCCTTGCTGCTAAGTTGGTAGCGGAGCCTACTCCTTCGGGTGGACTTCGTCTACGCGACCCTGCCGGGAGATGCCTCTGATTGTCCCCGAGATGTTCAGGATGGACTCAGATGAGCCGGCGGAGCTGCCCTGTGAGGACGCTGAAGAGCCGGCTTCCCTTGAGACTCCCGACCAGGAGACCATGGACGAGGCCGAGCACCCGCGAGCCCAGGGACCACGTGAGAATGCTTGGAGATGCCTGCGGTGTGACAGTGACAGGTGGACCAGGAACCTCTACGGCACCTACCTGTGCCGGACTTGTGAAGGAACGGAGTTCTACTCTAGCCGACAGCCCCACCGTCGAGTCACCGAAGATGGCGTCTGGATGTACATGCCGAGGAATGTTGGAGCAGCCGCCGCGGCACCCCGATATGGAGAAGGAGCCGGCCAGGGCCAGGCACAGCCTCTCTCGAGACGGCGCCGAAAGCAACTTCGGCTTCAGCGGCGGGCTGGCGATCCACCTCCTCCGAGCGAGCCCGATACTGCGAGTGAGTGGCCCGAGTCGGAGACTCCCACATACGATCCGACGGTGGAGCCCGACACGATCGAGCCACCACCTGCACCTCCGCGACATTTACCTGCGAGGACTACTTCGAAGACGCCCCTGAAGGAGAGTTCGTGCCCCGCCTCTCCACCATCCTCCTTTGGACCGACGGCACGGGCACGGACCACGGCTTTTCCGGGGGCTAGTTCACCTTCGCCTGAACCGTGGCAGCCGGCAGCGCCGACTGACCGCGGCGCTCTTGACCTGGCCGATCTTTCGAGGCCCGGCCCACCGAGCAGCGCTACCTGGAAGTCGAAGATGGGACCTGAGAAAGGGGTTCGATGGCGCGGAGGCGCCCCGCCGAGCCCTCCGACTTGGAAATACGACAGCCAGGACCCCCGCGCCTATTCGAAGTATGCCAAGAAGGTGGCCTTGTGGCGCATACAGATCGCGAGCTACATGACCCCTCGGGAGGCCGCCCTCCTCCTTTACACCTCCCTCACCGGCGAGGCGGAGACAGAGTTAGAGCACGCCCCCATCGAAGCCATTAACTCCGACAAGGGTATTGACTACATCCTGGAGACCCTCAAGACACCTATGGAGCAAAAGCTTGTGTTTCAGAAGCGCAAGTTCCTCAATGAGTACGAGAATATTCAGAGGCAGCAGAGTGAGGGACTTCGGGCCTTTAGCAACCGCTACCGAAGGGCCGAAAGGAACCTACGAGCTGTGGGCATCGAGGTGGCACAGATGTACGATGACGACAGCCGGGGCAACAGGCTGCTGGAGAGAGCGCGGCTTTCCCCACAGGACCAACGGTTGATCTTGGTGGGAAGCCGCTACAGCCTGGCCTTCGAAGACATTGCCGAGTCGATGCACATGCAGTACCCCGAGTTCAAGGCCTCCCCCGCGATCTTCGGAAGAGACGGCCAGCCGATAGTGCGCAAAGGCGACGGCAAAGGGTGCACCCGGGGGCAAAGGAGCACCTCGCAAGGTCTTCTTGACGGACCAGGCGGACGAGAACGTGCTCGGCGAGATCTTCGAGGAGCCGGGCGAAGGCGACGACCACGAGGAGGGACCGGACGACGCCGCCGACCAGGACGATGACGACGAGCAGGAGCCGGGACCTGAGGACGACGCTCTGGCAGAGGCGGCCGAGGTACTGACAGTGACGGCCCGCAAGCTTAGCGGGATGAAGCTGGGCCGCAAGTTCACCGGCCAACCTGGCAAAGACATTGGGGCCCAGAAGCGCAGCACACATTGCGCAATCTGCGGCCAGTTGGGCCATTGGAAAGGAGACCCTGAGTGCCCTGGTTCCGCACCTCCTGGTTCGGCCGGGTCACCGAAGACCGGGGCAACGAGCCGGCCGAGCACATCGAACCCGAGCTCGCCAAAGACGGGCCGACCAGGAGCTGACACCAAGGACCGAAAGGGGGCACACCAGGCCTTCTTCATGAAGGACTTTGGCTCCATCGCGGTGACGGACTCGGAGCCTACCGACGGCGGCTTCGGATCGGTCTTCCAGATCAACGTGGTCTATGACATCCAGGCCAACGCCCCCCTCGAGCCGGGCTTCCAGGACTTCATGATATTGGACACGGCCTGCCAGAGGACCTGCTGTGGGGAAAACTGGGCCAAGAACCACACCGATCGCTTGCTGGAGTTCGGCCTGAAGCCGTGCACCATAGAGTGCACCGACGCTTTCCAGTTCGGGGCTGGCCGGCCTATCAAGGCACCGGTCCGGACCTATTTTCCCACGGGACTCGGAGGAAACAACCTCCTCATCGCAGCCGGCACCCTCGATGCACAAATTCCTCTTCTCGCTTCCAATAAGTTACTTGATGCTCTGGGGATGGTGCTAGACATGCCTAACAACCTCGTGACTTTCAGGAGCTTGTCAGTGACCGTGCCCCTGCTTAGGGTCGGGGGCCACCTGGTTGTGAGCATTGTGCAGTTTGCCGAGTGCAGCCGAAGCTGGAGAACACTTCAGGACAGCATCGATTGGAACGATCCTCCTCCCGAGCTTGTGGTTCAAGGAGAACTAGCACCTGTGCCCCAGCCGACCGCGCCTCTCACTTTACATGCCCGGGCTGACGGGGCAGCTGGCGACGCCTCCATCATGGTTGCGCAAGTGGCGGCGCTTCGTGAAGGGGCTGGTGGACTTCAACCGGAACTTCTTCATCACGATGACCACCGCGGTTCGCCTCGGCATGATCCCGGACAGCGTCTACGAAGCCGTGCCGCCCCAGTTGGACACCAAGTTCGCCCATCCGCCGGCCACCTGCAAGCACCCCGATTATGTCCGGTACGGCAACGCCTACGGCAAGTTCGCTCGATGCAAGCGGTGCCTCAAGAGGTGGAGGTGGAACGCGGATCAGCGACTGTGGGTCGAGCATCCGGACGGCTTCGACTGCAAACTTCTCGATTCGCGGCCGCCCTTGCCATCTTCCTCCAATACTGTTTCTCGGGCCTCGGCGGCGGCAACCTCGAGCCTGTTCCAGCCTACCAACCGGGCCTCTTTAGCGGCGGCGACGCCCAAGAGGACCGCGACCACGAGGCGCACCACCAGGAGGGCCAGGCCGAGCAGTGGCAGCGAGATGGAGGTGGACGCATGGCGGCTGATCCAGGAGGAGTCGGACTACAACTGGGAAGATGTCGAAGACTGAGAGGGGACTGGAAGCGGTCCGCCAAACTTTTGGAGCACGAGATCGAGATCTACAGTCGCCAGCCGAGCGCCATGGAGCGCCCGCCGCAATCGGTCGACATTCTGGAGATCTACGAGGACCACCTCGACGTGCCGGCCCGCGCGGCTGAACTCAGTCTGACCTCGACCTCGTTGCCACCTACGTTGGCGAGCCAGCTTCCCGAACAAGATGCACGACAACACGCACAACGAGCACTACGACGGCTTCGGCCACACGTCCTCTACCTCTCCTTCCTGGCCCGGCCGCTGGACACGAACGAGTACAACTTGGCGACGGAGCTCATCCAGGAACAGGCGGCAGCTGGAAGGGCCATCGTGATGATTGGCCCGGCCGGCCCCTTTATGAAGGCAGCGGGCGAGCTACCTGGAGCCAATACTTGCAATTTTGGGCACGGCGCCTCAGCCACGACCCTTATGACCTCGGTGCCCGGAGCCACAAAATGGTTCTCCTCAGCACCTCGCGGCGAGACGGACTTCGACGACCACGTCGTGCCCCTCCTTTACATGATTCGGGACTACGTGCGCAGCCGCGAGCCGAGCCGCTTCGGGATCTACGAGACCTTCGTGACCTACCGCAGCCCGGTGACCAGGCTCGAGGAATGGGAAGAAATCGCCGACACCCTCGAGAGGTCCTTTGGGACCCCTGGAACGCGGCCTTTCTACATAGACCCTTCGAGCGAGCTGGGCCGGAAGGTTCTGTTCCGAATCAAACTTGAGAGAGCCCAGGCCGTCCAGACACCTTCGCAAAGACGGTTGCCACAGGATGTGCCCTTTACGGCACGTGGTGCTTTCTTGGTGCACAACGACGGCACCAAAACCATCGAGCTGGAGGACTTGAGCCTTGTGCACCAGCCGAAGCAGCGCTTCGCCAAACCGGTCAGGTACGGCCTCCTTGTCTATGGGCACTTGATCGCTGAGGACGAGGCGGAGAAAACTGTGGAGCCGAGCGCTCCTGTGTCGGGGTTGCCCACCGACGTCTCTTTTCCCGGGCTTTCCCCTCAGGTTCCAGTGGAAGTGCGCCGCTCCATTGCCCGAGCACACATCAATATGGGCCACCCGACCGCCGAGGAGCTCATTCGGATGGCGAACGCAGCGGGCACACCGAGCTCGATGTTCATTGAGGCAATCCGCCGGCTTGAATGCGCGACCTGCGCCCGACTTAAAGGACCACAAGCACCACGACCGGCAACTTCAACCGTGACGGCAACGCAGTTTGGTGACCGGGTCGAAGTGGATGTCTTTTACTTGCGCGACCTCCAGGGCCGCAGCTGCATGATACTTGGGGCGGTCGACGTGGCCACCCGTTTCCACCAGGCAGCCGTTCTTCCGAGCCGCGACCCAGATGAAGCCTACCAGGCGTTGGAAGGAATGTGGCTCAGGCCGTTCGGGCTCATGGTGCAGATCGGCTTGGACCCCGACACAACCTTCCAGGGCTCCTTCCAAGAGAGGCTTCGATCGCACGGAGTTATGGTCGACTACTGTCCGGCAGAGGCGCACTGGCAGATTGGCCATGTGGAGCGCCAGAACGCCTTCCTCCGAACCGTGCTCGAGAAGATGGTGGACACCTTTGGGGCGACCGAAGTCTCCGACATCCGGCTTCTTTTGGCGCCGGCCCTGCACGCGGTGAACAGTATGACTCTGAGCAGGGGCCGTTCGGCCTATCAGGCGGTCTTCGGCAAGGTTCCTCGACTTCCAGGAGGCCTACTTACCGACTTTAACAGCCTGGCCACGACCCCGACCGACGACCCCGCCGCCACGGCCGAGATCATCCGGTCGGAAGCCTTGAAGACCATCTGCGACATGAACGTCCGCCAAAGTTTTCGGCGAGCCCTGCTCCGCAAGACACACAACACCAAGGTGCCACAGCTTCAGCCAGGGCAGGCGTGTTCGTACTGGCGCTGGAGAAAGCGCGTCAAGAAGCGCGGCGGTTGGGTTACAGCCCGTTTTCTGAGCTGGGATCCAGCCACACCTGGGAAAATGGCCTGGGTTCGCTCTGGCACCACGACCGCCCTGGTTGCAGTGGAGCAGCTTCGAGCAGCAACCGGCTTTGAAGCATGGCTTCCGACTGAGCCCGACGTCGCAGCCTTGAAGGACGCCTCGCAGAAGCTCGACCAAACCCTTTGGGCCGATGAGTCGGGACCACCTCCTCCACTACAACATCGAGCGGACGGGGACGAGATCTACCAACCAGACGTGCCAATGGGGAATGGCGACCAAGAGCTCACTGCGGCACTGGCTTCGGCACCGGCGGCTTCGGCGGCTGCCCCTTCCGCGCCACCACAACAGACGACGGTTCAGATGGAGATGCTTGACCAAAGCCAGAACACCTTGGTCTACCAGCCCACGGTCCAGAACACCTTTGTCAAGAATACCGCCCGTCTGGGAGACCCGAGCCAAGGCGCCAGGCGAGGAACTTCAGTGCCTCGCACCCCTCGAGGAAGTCCCGCGCCGAGGACACCGAGACCTACAAGGAGCCGCTCACCGGTGCCCGCGGCGTTGGGACCTGGAACAGCCGAGCTTCCACAACCACGACAGCTACAACAGGAACTTCCAGAACCTCCTGTACCGGAACAGCCTTCGGAAACCGCGGTGCCTCCAGAGACACCTCAGCTACCAGAGGAACTTCCAGAACCTCCTGTTCCACCACCTGCACCGCCGACGCCTCTGGAGGTTGGCTGGGAATCTGCGCCGTTTGACTCTGCGGGCTATGACACAGACCTGGAACTTGATCTACCACCACCGCGTCCCGACCAGACTTCACAGCCACCGTCGGAGCTACCACCAGAACCTCAGGCACAACAAGTACCTTCGGCAACAGCTACGGGAACAGCTGGGAGTGCACACAACTCCTCGGAGAGGCCGCCAACGACCCCGGTCTCCAGCAACCCTTCGGGTGGAGGCGCCGAACCATCGTCTCTTCTCCCCGCGAAAAGACCCTTCGAGACCTTGACCACGCTCTTCTACGACGAGGACCTCCTTCACCACTGTGTTCCTGGAGACGAACCAGCAGAAGGCCACGGACCTAAGCCGAACGCCGTCTACGAGGCTTACCTCAACTCGAAACACAGGCTGGACGACCTCCACGGCACCGAGAAGGAACCACAGGAGAGCGACACAAGTGACAGCGACTGGGGAGACCAACCGCCGGGGAAACAGCCCAAGGGCATGACCAGGGCCGAGGCGAAGGCACTCGACCGCGAAATTCCGTGGAGGCACATCCTTGAGCTGGACCAGCCCGACATCGACGCCTACCTCAAGGCAGTCGAGAAGGAGGCAAAGAGCTGGGAAGAGTGGGGTTCGGTCAAGGCCTTGTCCCACGAAGAGGCGCACCGAGTGCTCCGTGATCGCATTTTGTGCAAGCGAGTCCTTCGAACTCGCAGCTGCTTCCGGGACAAGAACAAGGGCGTGCCGCCCCTTAGCGCGAAATGTAGGGTAGTGGCATTGGGCCACAAAGACCCGGATATCTACAGATTGAACCGGGAGTGTGCCACCCCGAACCGGACCTCGGAGCACGTCCTCTTCATCATCCTGACGTCCGGCAGTAACGGGGAGTTTGGGGAGAACAAGAAACGTTGGACTGGATGGTCCGGGGACGCCTCAACGGCATTTCTCCAAGGTGATATATCGTCTACCGAGCGCGAGCTTCCCCTCTACTTGCTCCCTCCTTCAGACGGCGTGACCGAGCTCACCTCCTACTGGAAGGCTCCGCTGTACTTGGTGTGCACCAACGTTTACGGCCTGAGTAACGCTCCAAGACTTTGGTCCTTAACGGTGATAAAGAGACTTTGCGAGCTAGGCTACCGACAACACTCTTTCGACAAGATGGTGTTTCTTAAGTTCGATGCCTCGGGCCACCTCCTCTCAATCATCATCGTGTACGTGGACGACTTCTTGGGAGCATTCCGCTCGGACTATAACATTGACGAGGTCCACCAGGCCTTCAAGTGGGGAGCACTCCAGTACTTCGAGCCGGGCACCCCGGTAACCTTTAAAGGGAAGCAGATAACGCTGAAGCAACGCGCCAACGGCAGGTACTACCTTCATGTCTGCCAGAAGGAGTTCATTGACAGCATGAGCTCCGGCAAGATCCCTCGCAACGCCGACCTCGACGCGGTCTTGACCACCGAGCAGCGAGCTGAGTTCCGCAGCGTCACCGGCTGCCTCCAATGGGTTTCGGGACAGAGCCGCCCAGAGCTCTCTGCTGTGAACAGCCTCTCGAACCACGGAGGCCAGACTACTCTCAACGACCTTCGCGCCTTGTACCAGGCCGTCGACTTTGCCCAGGCAACGAAAGAGGATGGATTTGTGATCCCCGACGTGCCCGTGACGAAGGCCAGCGTGGTGTTGAGCTTTAGTGACGCAAGCTGGGCGAATGCCGAGAACTGCCGCTCTCAGTGTGGCGTCCTGGTGTTGCTCTGCGGGCCCACCGTTACCCAGCGGCCAGCACCAGCAATGCTCCTGGACTGGCGTTCCTGCAGGTCCACGCGGGTCTGCCGATCTACCCTGGCCTCGGAAGCTTCCGCCGCAGATGAAGGATGTGATCGGGCGGCCTACGTGAACCTGTTCCTCAGCGAGATCCTGTACAACGTACCGGCTCACCGAGTGACTCCGAGGTTGTGCCAGCTCGCGGTAACGGACGCCAAGTCCCTTTACGACTGTGTTGTTTCCGACAGCCCTAATTTGAGTGACAAGAGGTCACTTGTGAATATCCGGGCAATCCAGGAAGTCGTGCCCGGGGAATTCTTCCATTGGGTCCCTACCGACCTGATGTGGGCAGACGGCCTCACGAAGCACAGTAGGGAGCTACAACAGTCGCTCCATGAGTGGCTCCAGCAGCCGCGGGTGACACTGCGGAAGGTCTCATAAACCAACAAAGAAACTATAACCGGTGTGAGTTTTGTGCATACCTCGCGCATAAGCTTGGCATATGAGACGCATCCGCCGTTGCCCCTTTTCTTCTCACGTAAGTGGGCCCACTGAGCCGTATTACTTTGTGCGATGGCTCTGCGAAAAAGACCGTTGCACCGCTGAAGCGCCTTGCTGCTAAGAGACACAGACATCCAGTGCGTGCTTGCGTGCAGGGAGGTGTCAACACAGCTTGCTCCCACGGGGGCTCGCCTCTGCGCACTGCGAAAGAAAGAGCGTTCACTCCTATATGCACTCGCGCAGTGGGTGGAACCCTCCTCTTCACCTTCAGAAAGAAAGAGAGAGACAGCGATAGTGTAGCCAGTTTGGCTCAAGTCTCCCACCTGTGGGAACCCGGCTGTCAACCGCGGACACGAAGTCTTCATCTGACCCTGACGCCTTCGATTGACACTCTTGTGGAAACCCAGCTGTTTCTCGAGGATCTGGGGGGCTTTGCCGGGCGGCCCAGCAGACATGCTTCCGCACAGAGGACCCAAGGCGCAGAGACCACAGTACATACAGGACTCAAAAACAGGACCACTACCAGTATGCTGGGAGGAGAGCACCAACCAGGGCATGTCCGTGACTGTAGCGAACGCAGAACGAGATCAACACGCTACTACGTGAAGGAGGCCTCAGCTTAAGGGGTCAACGGAAAAGGAGGTGCGGTGAACAAGCCAGATTGGCACAAAGGTCGACAAAGAGGGACGCTATCCAGTACCAAGCAAGCCCGCGTGGAGCGCGAGAATGAGGGTCGCTCCATCATTCTTAGCATTTGCGAAAAAAGAAAAGAAAGCAGAGAAAGAGAGAGAGAGAGAGATAGAGAGAGAGAGAGCGAGTAGGGGAATCTCCGTTGCCCCATAGCCCTGGCGAGAGAAAAAAGGAGAGCGAGAGAGACAGAGACGGATGTCCAGCCTACTGCTACCGGTGTCCGAACCCAGTTTCACACAGACCGGACACGGACACAGGCGTAGCGCTCGCGCGCAGGGGTCCCCCTAGGCTCCATACTCCCGGCAAGCAGCAAGACAGAGACAGAGAGACAGCAAGACAGCGAGACAGAGAGACAGAGAGGCGCTCGGAGCAGTGAATGGGCCCCTGTCGCAATGCCGGTCTGCATGTTTTTCCAACCGTAGTCAGACGGGCCGCTGGAGCCTTCCAAGATCCTCCAAACCTCGCCCGCTCTCTGGGGCCCTGTACAATACAGCATGTATATTACTAACTCTCTGGCCGATCACCTTTTGGCCTATGCAGGGCAAGCGGACAGCGAAGTTTGGAGGGCATGTGTTGTTGGAGTACCAGCTAGCCGGTAGTTGCTGCCCCGTGACTTCACTCTGTTGCCGCTGTGCATTTTCATCTGGCTTCCCCAAAACATTTGTGGGGGCGCAGAGCGCCGGGAACAGGGTCGTTCCCTCTTCCTGTACCCTCGCGAGAGGCAGAGAGACAGAGACACGGAGACACAGAGACGCAGGACAGAGACCCAGACAGAGAAAGTCACAGAGAGAGAGAGAGAGAGAGCCTCTACGTGCCCTCTCGGGAGTACCAGTACCACCTGCTGCACTTGGAGTACACGCCGGAGCAGAACCGTGTCCAGAGCCGAACCCGCTTTCAGTAAACACGGCGGAGCACCTGGGCACCCTGGGAGTACCTGCGGAAGGACAGCTGTCCCCTACTCAAATGGAGGAGACCGTCCCGTGGCATGATCTTGGGGTATTCACCAGAAGGCGCACTGAACCGAGTGAGCCCAAGTAGCCAGCTGAGCCACCGAAGACGCAGGATCCTGGCAGTTTTGTCTGATGACTGACCACCCGCTCCTCTCACCAGGTAGCCTTCGGGACTCCCCAGGTCAGTTCAGCAAAGCAGTCAGAAGTAGAGGTTTCAGGGTTGAGCGGAAGATTGGAGGCAGTGCGGGATAAGGTAGTGGCCGGCACACAAAACCAGAGGAGCACCCGCAAGGTTGCCACAAGTTCCACGACCGTCTTTCTTGCAAACTCTGCTGCACCTCTGGAAAGCCGATGTCTCGGAGCACCCGCTCCCTTTGCCTCTGCGGAGAACCTTTGCTGTGAGCCTTCTTGATTTCGTAAGCAGAGGGAGAGGGGCACATGTCTTGAGGCTTGAGGGTTGAGTGGAAGGTCGAAGGCAGGGAGTGAGGTTTCTGTTCGGTTTCAGGCAGGGACGAAGGTGGGATACATGCACAGACAGGGACCAGAACGGGAGGGGCACCCGACCCTTGACGTGACCTACCAGGGTACGCCCTATACTTTGCTGCTATCTCGTAAGAAAGTCGGGAGCCCAATACCTGCTATGCCAAGTCGAGTGGGGGACCCAACAATGTTCAACTTACGTATTCCGTTTGGTTGGAAAAGGGGAACCCAGCCACCCCCCTGAATAACAGGGCACACACTCCTGGACAGCTGAGCCCATCCACACAAAATGGTGGATGGGGTAGCGCACCTGCGCGGGGCGGGAGGGCTGCTCCCGCCTCAAACCCCGAGCAACGCAAAGAGAGAGAGCCGTAGGGACGAGAACCCAGGGCTCGCCCGCGCGAGAGGGGAGGGCGACTGCTTTCCCGTCTGGCTGTGTGGAAGAAGAAGGACTTGATCAAATCTGTGGCTTCCAGGCCTTACCAGCAAAATTTGCATGGGGTTTGTTGCATGTTTTTGTTGACGGCGCCTGTACGCGCCTATGCGTTTTTGCAGGTTTCAGGGTATTGGAGTGGGGGGGGTGGGGGAGGGAGGGGGGGGGCGGGGAGGGGGGGGGATAAGAACGTCATTCATGTTGTGCCCATACCCAAAACACTGGTATTTGCAGCGTTTTCGCCTCTTTGTACAACCAAACATAAACCCAATCCTTAACCCCAAGTCTAACCTAAGACCTAAGACAAGTCAATACTTTAAACAAGCTCTCTCTAAAATAAAGTTTTGTTCTGCAGTCTCTTCAAAAATGAGCTTAAAACCGGAGCGAAAACAGTTAGGCCCAAAGTTTACTTCAGCCCCTAGTGTTTCGCACACCTGCCTGAACCATAATTTTAACGCTACGCCGCCCGGGCGGGGAAGGGGCGGGGGGGGGGGGGGATTTGGACTGCAGGGAGGATTAGGTGGAGGGTACCTGAGGTAACCCCCAAGACGCCTGGGCCTCTGGCCTCGGCGGATTTTCTGTGAGATTGCGCTCTCGCTGTGGTTTCGCGCGAATCCATGCAAAACGCTTCATTCTGAAATCGCTAAAAACGCATAGGCGCGTACAGGCGCCGTAACCATGTTTTTGCCCCCAGCCGGTGCTCTTTACTCTTGTTCCGACGACATGGACAATTGCGCTTTGTTGGTGGGGTGCACTACCACCGTCGGGGATGCTGTTTCTACATGTTTTTCTTTGTTGGCCGGTGTCAAAACTTTCAAGCAGCGCCAGGGGCGAAGCCGGCGGCGGGAAGCATACCTATGCCCTTAAGCCCGCCCCAAGTTCGAAGACAGAAAGAGATGAAGGGGTAGACAGACCGGGCTGTGTTTGCAGTTGGTTTTGCAGGCACAGGCGGAGCACCTTGGTGAGCTTGCACAACAAACTCAGCAAGATCGACAAGAAAATGCGAAGGCAATGAAGAAGCTGGAGACTGATACAAAGCAGAGCATCTCTGCATCGCAGGCACATGTGGAACAACAGCTAAATACAAAGCTGCAAGAGATGCAGCAGAATTTGCAGAGCTTTCTGAGGAAGCAGGATGCTGCTTTGCAGCAGCGGTTTCAGAAAGAGCTGGAGGAAAATGCGTTCGCTGTGAAGCAGCAGCAGGATATGCTCAGTGGCCGACTGGATAGCATTAAAGTTGACCAGGGATTTTGCAGCAAAACGCTGGACAGAATCGAGAAAGATCTGTTGGTCTACCAGGAGACTCAGGCCACCTTCAAGGATGCAACTGATCGCCGAATTGGGGAGCTTTCTGTCGAGCTCCAGCGTATCAAAGTCAGCCAAGAAGCATCCCTCAACCAAAGCGCAGTTCAAGAGAAGATTACATCTGAGATTCGCTCCTTGAAGGATGGAATTAACAGCATTAAGCTCACTGTGGATGGAAATGAGCGGATGCCTTCGAGACCGTCTTCTCCTTCCGGTGATGCGCGGTCGGCCGGGCCACTTTTGAGACCACTGTACTGTCGTCCGACAGCTGTAGCTCCTCCCCAGGCCTGGCAAGTGCAAGGGGTGCGTGTACGATCTATCAGTCCTCCAAAGCGGGCAGTTCCGGCTGGCTTCCTTCCGAAACCTCCGAGTCAAGAGCCGATGGATACTCCGGACGTCAATGTTCCTGCACGAATTTCGGTTTCTTGCCACAACATTCCGGGTATTCCTGCCATCAACGGCGAGTACCATCGAGTTCCTGGTGAGTCCGCAAATGGAATGCCGTTGTGGAAGCATGTTGGTTCGGAGCTATGGCTGTACTGCGGAACGAACAGGTGCCATGGAATACCACTTCGGGCAGGGTTTCTTGTGCCGTTGTAACACGAGAAGACCATTCGTTGCATTTGTTTTCATAGGAGCAGTGCGAGCCTGCCGTCAGGCGATGGTTTGTCGGCGGACAAGATGCCAAAGAATGGAAGTTCCGTTGTGAAGCCGGGTTCATTTACAGCGAGCCCGTGGAGAAAGGCACGACGCCTGATCGTGCTCCTGGAACCTGGGCCCGATTTCAAGGAGGCATGTTTCTGGCCGATCCAACTATCCTGGTGAAAGCACAGGATGAGTAGCCGAGTAGCCTGGCCCTTCTGGCAAATGACCCCTCCCTTGGAGCTGCATCTCCAACCTGCAGAACTGCTCCGTACAACTCCAAAGGCTCCAAGCCTTCTGCACCGAAGCTTCCCCAACCGCCAAAAGCATACTGGGAGTCATCCTTGCATGTCCACGGAGTTACTCCTCAGTGTATTCCTATTCAGCAGGATGGGGGTGATGGCACTGAGATAAATTAATCATCGGTGCAACATGCTCTGCATAGCAGCCGCATGACGCAGCTTACCTGATGGCTGGATGAGTCTCTGTGCAGCCTCATGCAAGATTTGGAGTCACAGCTGTGTGCGGCCGGACTCCGAATGACTGCTTGGTAAATCACAGCAGAGCAGAGGTGTCTACAAGAAGTGCAAACCGTAGGGTCGTACAGGCTGCGAAGCGTGGGTTGTCTCTGCAGAACATAGTCGGCTTGCCGCACAGGGAAGAAAATCGATTACATCCCTCATACGGGTATTGCGGTTTTCGGCAAGGAGCACCGGGCTCAGTTTCAAAGAACAGTTGCATTGTGCTGGCGGGGCCAAAGCTCCCGAGCTTGAGCGCATAGCCGCTGACAGGTATTTCTTCGGTGGAGGTCCCCAGGTTGGAATTCCTGGCCAATCCGTGTGCGACTTACAGCTGGTTTTCTTCTTTTTCTCGGTCGTCACGCTCTGCCTCAATTTTGGCTTGCAAGCTCAATCCCGGCATGGCCGGGACAAACTTCTTGAAGAAGCTTGACTGGGTCGCTCCGGTCCGAATTGAGAGGGCCGAGAGTTGCAGTGCCATTGCATGGATCAAAAAGGACAAGACAAGGGACCCTAACAGCAGAGTGCAGACAAGCAGGAAACAGCAGAAGAGCAAGGCTCCCAGATTCCAACCAACCATTATCGGATATCCATGAGGGTCAAGCCGCAATTAGGTAAAGAGGCATATGGATTCGAATTGGGTTTGTTCTTCCATGCCTGCCACGAATGTCCACGACTCCTCATGCTTATGACTGTTTGACTTCACTGGTCATAAGGTGCCCGTGCCAGTTACCCAGGCAAGCCTATGCTTTTCTCGCATCACTTTGCATCTTTCTCCATGTTTGTGCATGATCCTGTCGACGCGGTCGCATAGCACTCCAAAGGTGCTAGAGCTGGGTGAAACCCAGAAGACGTGCGAGGAGCTTGAAGCGCACCTTCCTCACTGGATCTCGCTGGACTTGAAACTGGCTCGAACTCATGCCGAATCTCCAATTTCCTCAGGTACATCCGAAACGTGCTCTCGCTTGAACACAACGAGCAGAACTATGACCTGCTGCGACACAACTGATCGCAGCTCAGGTTGCCACCGCACAAAATGTGGTATCTGGCAGCCTGACTGGTGCAATACACGTCTTCGCAAGGCAACCATTACGCAGACGATGTTGCAAAGTTCTTGCTTGACGGTGCAGGTGCCGTGCGTCGCAACAACATATTCTTCTGCTCGTCATGTATGTTGTGTCCATGCGCCCAACATGCAGGCCTTCCAACGAGTATTGTCAACGTGGCAGAAGAAGCCCTGTCGACGCCACAGGGTCAGGCTGATGTCCTTTGCTGGTGGCCCGCTTCCATGTGGCAACCTGTTTTCGATCCTGTGTAAAGGCATTGAAGGTAATGATTGAGAATATGGAGCGCAGCATGCGCTCTGGAGGTGCGTGCCCACTGTCCTGCACAGGTCCTGCATGTACCGTCTACCGTACATGGAGCTTGTTGCAAGATTGCTGCATTGCGGAAGGCAACTCCTCCTCACTGAATCCCTTTTCCAATGCTGGGAGCCTTGCAGTCCTGAGGCTTCGATGAAGCCGCAGAGGAATGCGTGGAGTTTTTTCGTGTTTGTCATTTTTGTGGCTGAGAGGTCGTAGTACCCGTAGGAAGAAGGGTGTACGAGGAAACACCACATTTTTCGGTTGTGTGGTTCGTGCGATGGTTTTGAATGCCAAGTGCGTTTCTGGTCGGGGTCACTTAAGGCCTCAAGTCCGAAGGGTTCGTGGCGTAAGTTAGGGTGTAGAGCTTGGCGATTGGGTTCATGAGAACCCATTTCAAGCATGGTAAGTGCTCCTTCTTCTCTCTGTAGGGTTTCGGTGCAGGATATCGTTGTGGTGTAACACACTAGTGTGTGCAAGGACAAGCCGGCGAACGTCGATACCGCAGCTGCCTTTGCGGTTCGACGTCGTCCGGCCTTCTTTAGCTGTCCGGTTAGCCCTCTGCCGGCGACGCCATGTCTTCGGCGAGCTCCAATGTTTCGATCGAGGAGTGCGCGGCGGAGCTCCGGCGGGCGGGTGAACCTTGCGCCACTTTTCCGGCGCTGGAGCACACTTGAACGCAATGTTGTCAGCGGCCGGCACGACTTGGTCCCTTGTTTCGTACCAGGCGCCCCTCGGAGGGCGGCCATGGCCGACCCATCCCCGGAGCCCGTGTCTACACCGATGCGGGGGCTGCCGGCGGAACCATGCTACTGAACCGGGCGCACCGGCCAGTGTGCCGAGCTACCCGCCCAAGCCGGAGCGGCCACCACCTAGGGTGCCCCCGGCCCAGGCGAAGGAACCATCTTTTTTCCAGCCGATCCTACTTCCTCCTCGGCGACTTCTTCCTTGAGGTCCCCGGCGGGCGGCTCCGCATGGACCACCGCAACCTGGATCGGAGGCATGCCGGCGGGTGCAGGACTCCATCGCAGCGGAGATCATGGCTGGCGCACCTGCCGGCGACACCGGAGGGACGGCAGCAGGACGACCCTCAGAACACCAGCGTGCGGCTTCGCCGGCGCCTCCAGGCTTAACCTGAGGGTCCGCGGCGCTTGGTGTACCGTCAATCGGGCTACCGGCATGGGGTATCCCGACGCGCCCCGGCGTGTCTCCGGGACGGCGTCCCAGGCTGACCGTGATGCGAACGACGTGGCGTTCCGGCGCGTCATGGAGATCTACAAAGATTTCAACAGCCCGGAGCACGGCCGGCACATTGAGGCCATGCATCGTCCCGGCGCTCGGGCTGATTATCCCGTCCCGGAGGCGATGAAGCCGTCCATCGTGGACCCTGGCGAAGCTGGAGGAGATCGAGGAAGCGGCGAACAGGGACCCCGGCGGCCATGGTGCAGTGATTCCCATCACCACCGGCGCGGCCGACTACGTCCTCTGCAGTCTCGCTCCCGGCCTTCGCGGCGGGCGTGTCCCCGAGAGATTTCCCGGCGAAGTCTGGGTGGTTGGTTGGTGTGGGTCACCTTGTGTGACGCCTGCCAGCGCAAGCGCAATACGCGCGACCGGCGCTATAAAGCGACCGGCTTTTCGACCCGGCGGCACCTGCACGCGGATCGCGTCGGTGCTGACGGCGCCGCTTCATGTACTTTAGTTTTTTCCCGGCGCGAGCTTCTCCTGGCGCCGGCGACATCATGCTCAGGCCTTGGTCTAGCCCGCTCGGCATGGTAAGATGCCGGCGGGTTTCGCCAAGTTTGCACTGCACTGCCGGGTCCGGCGAGCTAAAAGATCGGCGGCTTCAGCTTACATGTTGGTCGGCGCTGCCCCTCACTCCTTTGTTTTTCTCCTACATATTTTTATTCTTCGGCGCATTCTAGTAGGGCTCGAGATCTGGCTCCACCGACCGCCCGGAGGATGGCGGTCGACCTCTCGGCGTCGACAGGCGTTCGTGAGGCGTCACCTCGCGATGGCCCTGGCCCAAGCAACTGACCTGGTGAGGGCTCTGGATGCCCTGGCGACCTGGGTCCGCGGCTTTGGTGCACCCGACTCGGCCGGCCAGCCTTCCGGTCGGCTCGGGTGTTAGTTCCGGCCCGCCTTCCATATACAATATGAAGGCGGCTCTCTGCGAATGGCTCCCTGACTTCCGGCGGTGCTTTGCGAGGCGAATATCGCGGACGCGGTGTCCCGCGGTGACCTGGAGACTGCCCGGAGGATGGGGTGGACCCGCGTCCAGACACGGCCATCCTGGCGGTCAGCTCGGCGACGGACCTTGATGACTACGCCATCCATGGGGCGGCGGACGACTGACGACTTCCTTACTTGGCGAGTTGAGGAGGCTGAGCCGGCGCAGAGTGGGGTAGGGGAGCGCCGGGCGGGTAGCTGAAGGCGTCCCCCCCGGCTAGCCTAGCTTTGCGGTTGCGACGGGTCCGGCGCGATGCGCTTCAAACCACCTCCGGAAAAGGTGCTCTGCCCGTCGTAACGTTTTGGCCTTTTCGTCGGTAGCACGGCTTGTCGTGTAACACACTAGTGTGTGCAAGGACAAGCCGGCGAACATCGATGCCGCAGCTGCCTTTGCGGTTAGAGGTCGCCCGGCCTTCTTTAGTTCCCACCCTCTCCACCCTTTTGCTTTATGTATCGGATTCTGTGGACCGTCGCACGCTGGCGGGCGGCGGGCCGGGTAGCTGAAGGCGTCCCCCCGGCGCCGGTTAGCCTAGCTTTGCGGTTGCGACGGCTCCGGCGCGATGCACTTCAAACCACCTCCGGAAAAAGGTGTTCTGCCCGTCGTAACGTTTTGGCCTTTTCGTCGGTAGCACGGCTTGTCCTTGTTTGCTTTCCCTAAATCCCGAGTGAAACACAATGTTTTGGTATCGTCACGATGCTTGAAGTGGCGATGCTCCTAACTGGTCTTGAAACGTGCATGCTGCTCTGATGAACTTTGGCTGCATGTGGCCTCTGTTCAAGGTCGGAACGTCCCCACCCAGCGCGGCAGAAGCCGGGGACGAATGGCACGCAGAGCTACAGGCATCGCACCTGATTTTATGCCATGGGTCAGATAAGCTGCGAACCTTGTCTATCTGGTAGGTCCCCGGTAGGTATTCTGCCTCTGAGATTCTGTAGCGATGCATGATGAGTCAGGATTGATGGAATGAACGCCACCAGCCAGCAGAGTACCCCAATTGCATATTTCGCAAGACCATGTGTAGAAAGCCTGTGCCCCCAAGCAAGTCAGTCAAGCTTCGTCCGTTAGCGGTCTGAAGCACGAGCACGTCCATTCTTACAGGTTTTAGACAGATGTGATCGGTCAAGGGTCCTGTCGCGGAAGAGAGGCTCCCGTGGTTGGGTCGCTGAAAGAAGCTCGGCTCCAGCCGACGTTGTCTTTCTAGGCGGCGCTTGCGGACCTTGCGAAGAACGAGCAAGAGGCCAGAAGTTCGAATACGTCTGCTTGCGGGGAGGTCAAAGTGCGTTTCAGGCGCAGCTCTTCCTGCAAGCACACTCACCGATTTTTTCGGATAGCCGTTGCTATGTTGATGCTAGGGAAGATCAGGTTTTTTTTTCGGAAAGTATATTTTTAGTTCCTGGTTCAAAAGCTTGCCACAGAAATCGCAGCTTTGGGAAGTATTCAAAGCCTTGCCACGGAACCGGTCAAGCCAAGGCAGCCCAAGCCCACAAATGCAAATTGGAATGCCGCGATAGCAGTGTCGGGAGCACGAACTTTCCAAGTTGAGATTTTCCGACAGGTTGCCTCAGGATAGATCTTGCGCGATGTGATTCAGCAATCGATTACTAATAAAAGCTTGCTACAAGAGAGCCGTCGAAAAAATAATCTTGCAATCTCCAGCTTGCCATGAAATAGGCCCAACAAATTGGACTTCTGCAGCATTTTGTAACCGAAGACAGCTTTTGCAAATGCAAATTGCCAATAGCTTACCGCAAGCTTCGCCGGTAGCTTGACACAACTTGTGTGGCCACAGCAACAGCACAGTACAAGCGGTCGCAAGATGAACTTGGCAAGATGTGCTCACCCTGCAACGGCTTGGTTCTCATGAAACGATTCCCAACCGCCAATAGGATGCAAGCATGGATTGTTCAAAGGTACGCCGAACTGCACTGCAGATGCTGCTGAAGATGACAGAGTGCGCCGGCCCAGTCGTCACAGCATTGACTCTGTGGCTTAAGACAGATCTGTCTCTGAGCAAAAGCTCTAACGAACGCTCAAACGGCGGTCACGCAGAAATATCCGGCTGAATTGAGAAACGTTTGCGGCTGCCATGTTACCGGCCGATGCCCGTGCTGCTCTCCTATCTTTTGCATTCAGACGCCGGCCTCCTGTGACTGCCGTGACAGAGAGTGCGAAGGGAGGGTCACGATCAAGGCCTCCCTTGGCGCTGGAAAGTTCCTGATGAAGTTAGAACGACTTGTGACAGAAGGCTCCATGACGACTTAGCTTGTTGCGGCCCCGACAAAAACATATCTGCCTCCGGACAGGCCTTCAACCGTTTTCTTTTTGACATTAGTTTCGCTGTGGTATCAGAGGACATATGTTCACATGACAGCAGATTCTCCTCCTCAGCTCGAACCAGGCAGGCATAACAGCACAACAAAGTTGCGTGCTGGCGAGCTGCATTAATCATTGGCGCTGAAATCATCAACTTCACCGCATCGATGCTCACCTGACTGAGGAGGCACCGAAGATGATGTAGAGAAGAGCCGGGGCACGGAAGACCATCTGACCGAACCTGCACTCCCAGCCATTTATCCACCGCCTGTACTGCAACGCGACCTCGAAACAAGCTAAACATGTTAAGATGGATCGACGAACCTTGCTGCTTTCGGTGCCTTAAACGACTCGGATGTCTTGGTGGTGGGTTACGTTGGGTTCGCAGCAGCCAGAGTACAGCGACTCGGCAAGTTCTTGCATCAGGTGGGCCTCATGCATGCCAAACTTGCAAGGAATGTGGAGAAGAGCCCGTCCGAGCAAAAGTTTCGCAGAATCAAGATGTCCAATTCGGCCGGGTCCTTCTGCAGATGCCAGTCTGCTCTTCGAAGCGGTACTTCAGCATCGCATGAGATGTTTTGTTTTCGACCGCTGCTTTCCAATCTCCAGGTAGTGGTTTGTGTTATACGGGCAGACAGATACACAAGGCCACTTTTCACCGTGAGTTTTCGAAGCGACATGAAGCAGTCTCGGGTCTGAAGTCGTGGGTGCAATCGGGCTGGTGGCTAGTTGGATGAAGCCTTTTCAAGAACTTCCAACTTTTGACTCAGTGCCTCGAGACTCGAGACTCGAGCCATGGCTCTCTCGCTTCCGACATGGGACCAACTACAAATGCATCTTGGATCCACATTTCATGCGCGGCGATGTGGGACGTCCTGGTCCTGCTTGAGCGGTGGCTTTAAGTGTTGCAAATGGCCGAACTGTTTTCAAGAGATGTTGAGGCGTGGTCGGCACATCATGGAGGCCATCGATGAGAATCCGCCTCCTGCCGGCTGCCTCGGATGGCCCGGGTTTGCTCACGGTGCTTTTGAGTCTAACCTTCCCAGGTGCGCATGTCTTGGTATCTGGGCCCTGCAGGGATGCTAGTGTCAGAATCCTGGTGCTGCGTCCTCGTGTTGGTCGAGATGTGCCTGGCGTGGCCTTAGGCTGCTCATGGCCACCATGATTGCATCATCTAGTGCAGTTCGAGTCCGAGTGTCGTGCAGCAGCAACAGTCGTCTGCGGCAATTTGATCTGCGACGTGCCGTTGTGATGCTATCCGAAGGTTTGTATCAGTCGTTGTGTACGAGTTGCCGATGATCTTGAAGACAGGCGTTTTGAGCGGCATCATGTCTCGCTCGTGGCCAGCACACCATTTTCGGCATGTGATGCTGATCTATGGATGCACGAGCTGCGTACTGCTGTTTTGGACTCCAGCTGTCGTCTCAAATGACTCAACGCTAAAGCTTTTTGGCAGGCTTCTCCAATGCATGGACAGATGTGAGGCTACTTTCGCAAAGCAGCTTTCTTCCTGCGCTGCTGGCTGGATTTTGCGGTGCATCCCGGAGGTCAGCTCCATGACGTCCGTGGGCAGGAAGTGTGAAGAGATCTGCCACAAACAGGCGTTTCGCCGTATGCATTGAGCAGTAGTCGTCGGAGGAGATTACAATGAGCATGAAGACTTTGCCTTTGCATTCCTTTGCATCAGGTCGGTGGAGTGCATGTCTGTCTGCGCCTAGTCATGAGCTTGTGCAACCATGTGTACAGTACGGAGCAGCCTCCTTTGCCTTGCAAGTGCAAGGGTTTTCGCACCCACAGGCAATCAATCAATCAATCAGTCAGCTAATCAATCAATCAACCAACCAACCAACCAACCAATCAATTAATCAATCAATCAATCATGCAACCGCGTCAACCACGGTATGCGATGTTGTGTTTCTCGCACCCTGAGGAGGAACCATCAATGAACCATCGTAACATCTATCAACGCTGGTTGCATCACTGGACTGGTCGATACATCAGCAAATAATGCTATGAAACTCAACCGATCTACACATCTGCATCAGGCCAGGCAGGCATGACTACTCTTGCGATTGTTGGGGCTGTGGCGAGGTGGGGTATACGCGACGCCAGGCAGGCTCCCCAGTGCTCGAGTGCAGACATCTGCATAGGTCCGGACGTGGCGGTCTGATCCGTAAGGCGCTAGCTGGGCTCAAGACTTCAGAAATCATGTTGTTCCAGTGCGAAAACCTCATGCTGCAGCTGTTTCTGATAGGTGCGGATTCGTTTTAGTTCTTGCATACACACAGACCCTTTCTGCCATGGCATTCCAGCACCGGCAGTGCACAGCCTACCGTCGCTGCAACCTGCTCTCTGCGTGAGAACCTCAATTGTTTCATGGCAGTGGCCACAGCATGCGGTACACCGGACTGTCGAGGTTTCTTCTCCTGTGCACAGTTGCCCTGGTCCCAAGGCAGAATGCCGTTCGCCGTTCGCTGTTGTCTTTCAACAGTCAGCAGAACTGATGCATGTTGCTGGCAAGGCCATGCTTTGCTCCCCCTCCTGAAGAGGCCGAACGACTGCATTTGCAGCCGTGCTTGCCACACTGACAAGCCAGGCTTGACCTGTGACCACCCCTGCCAGGCTTTGAAGCGCAGACATGTCAGTGCCGGCGCTGCCGCACTGTTTCTTGCCGGCTAATCCCTACCACGACCTGTGACTTCTCACACGAGAGTGTCTCTCGAGAGTCTTGTCGTCGGAGAACATGCTTGCGGTCATGATTGTCAGAAATTGCCGGCAAGGCTTGTCGCATCAACGGGATCCGCAGCCCTTGCAGACATCAAGGCTAAGCCGAAGTTCTGGCCCAGCAGACCAAAAATTTCGTGAGGTTAGCTGATACTGGAGCCTCAGAGTTTGAAACCGCAGGCAAAGCGACCCGAGGGACTTCCAGACTTCATCTCTGTCCCCGAGAAGGACTAGACTCTCCCATCTCTGCCTGTGCTGGCGCTCGCACCATTTCGTGACGAGGAAAACGATCTTGCCAAGCTTTGGAAGCAATGGGGTGATCAGTGGCTCGGACGCAGAGTTGAAGCCGTTTGGACAGTCTTCGCACTTGCCCTTCTGGCTTAGGCCACCACAGGTGGGTCCTGCCGATCCCAGTCTATCGGGTCTGACCCAGGATGAGCGCAGCGGCTTTCTAGGACATTTGGGATTTGAATCCAAGCTCACAGGTAGACTCAACTTGTCCCAAGTGTCGCAGCAGTGCGCAGACCCTGCACAGGAGTACTGGCCATGCTCTCAGCTTGCTGTCTACACTGAGGCCAGCAGTCTCACTAAATTCCCAGGTCGTCGCCATATTCCTCGTTCCTGTCCTTGTGATGTCGGCCTTCGGCTCATTGATCTGGTTCCCGTGGTCGCGACCGAGCGAGGAGAGAAAAGCACGAATTTTATGAAGAAGCCGCTTAACACGCCCTGTTTCGTTCTTGCAGAGGAGCCAAAGCCTGGAGAGAAGAAGGTGGAGATCGACTTCAGTGATCTGCGTGACATGTGAGACAAAGACTTATGAGCCGCGAAGTCGCGGCGTCCTGGCGGGACCACTCAGACCTATGGGCATGCGAAAGATCCATACTTGTGTAGCAGCACGGTCATGTCTGAGGAGGTCTCGATGACTTCGCGGTTTTTCGTAGATGCAATTTTCCTCCTTGGTTTGGGAGCATATGTCAGACCCCGTGGAGCAGCCGTGGGCCCTGGGATGTTGTAACTTCCGGTTTCGGAGTTGACAAGTCATAGCGTCCTCGTCCTTGATGTGCACTGCTTGGTCACCAGCTGCTGGCTGACGGACGGACGGCTCATAGCTGCCAGTTCCGTCGCATCAGACCCGTTATTGTTGCAGCCAAGCTAAAAGACAACGTTGAGTGGGTGCAGCTGCAAACCGACATCAGCCACACTGTGTCAGGTGCAGCGTGAGATGGAAACCTGCCAGAGCCTCAAGTTTTTGCAAGGACGTGTTCATCTGGTGCGAAGGCACCGCTCTGGAGACTATCGTGCATTGCTGCAGGTCAGAAGGGCTGTGACCACATGCCGTTCATGCTACGGCTGCTTGTCGGAACCTCAGCACATGCTGAAATGTTCAAAGTCCTCGCGCCTGACCTGCATAGTCGCCCCTTAAAATGTCTACAGAGGTCATGTGTTGTTGTCTGCAGGCATTGATGGGGGTACTGGCAGTGCTGCCGGTCGTGCCACTTCTAGGTTCGTACAGGTGGGACGCGCCTTGGGGTTGCCCGAGAGTTCTCGTATCAAGTCAAGCATGCTGAAGCCTTTGGAGGGATGCATGCAGCTGCGAGTGCTGCAAAGGCGGGTGAGTGCAGATTTCTGAAGTGGCACACCATCCTCTGGTCCCCTGTCGCACAACCTGCGCAGGACAGGGTTGCTCGCCAAAGTTGGCGCTTTTCAATGTGGTTATGTGCTTGGTGTCGTTTCGCTGATAGGCCTGCAATCACAGCAGAGGCAAGAAGTAGCTATGGTTGGTATCTAGAAGAATGCTGCATGAGGCTTGGACGGCTTACGGTTTCAGCACTTTGTGGTCCCAGCCTGAATTTTGCGACTGCATCTCTCTCGAAGTGCGATTCGGGTGATGCCGATGCAGGGTGGCTCCGACCGTGGCAGAGGACGTGGGAGATGTGGGCGGCAAGGCCTTGATGCGAGTTGCATCTTTGGAGTGCAACTCGCGTACTGCCAGGTGTTGTTCATAATAACACAGAGCATTGCCATCGCGTCTGATCGCCCAGCAATCGACCGCGCATCATCATCGTGTACAGTGTTCGCACAGAGGTCAATGTCAAGCTCGCGCAGATTCGCCGAACTGGCCGAGGTGCAATTACAAGTAGAGATCCAAGTCGAGATCGCCATATTAGTGCTGTCACTCGAGGCGAAGGCGGTGGAGAACAGCTATCGTATGGCAGAGTTTGGCTGCACAGGTGCTCGGCTGTCTTGCGGACTTTGCTCTTACTGTGTCCTTGTCCCGTAGTGAGGTGCAGAAGTGGTGGGTGCAGCAGTAAGTGGTCCAGTGGGTGCACCGGTCTCCGTGAGTGCCTTCAAAGAACTGCAGTCGCAAGTGGAGCTACTGCAACAGCAGGCCGGGGACGAGTGTTTGTGTTCAAGCGTACACGTGCTGCAATGTGCCCTGTTTGGCGGAAGCTAGAGGCTCGTCGTGCTAATCGTCCTCTCGCAAGTGTCTACAGCCGTTTAGCGCACTTGTAGAGTGCTCGTGTTTTCGTAGATCCAAGAGGGCACATAGTATGACTGTGAAGTCTTCCTCAGACTGGTACTGGTAGTATCTGGTAGTGCTGGGGTCGCTTTGGTCGTATTTACAGTGCGGCCTGACTGGATAACCATGGGGGTTTGCTGACTAGTGATTGCACAGTTTAGGGTTTGGAGCTTCAGGGGTTCATGTTTTTTTCTGAGTTATGTTGCTTCAGGGTTTGCATCACTGTTTGAGGGTTGAGATGTTTGGAGGCTTGCGTTTTTGCGGGCTCGGGTTGAAGGTTCTTGAGTGCAGCAGATCGGATCTGTTATCGCTTCCTCCAGTGTGCGAATCGTTTGATCCTAACATGCGAGATATGCTGTTACAACTGCTCATTTCGCAAGGTCTCTTTCTTAGAGAGAGGAAGCGCGGCTGAACTCAGCAGACCTAGTATCAGACTCATTCGATTCGCGAGTTCTGGCTGGCGTGGCATGTGGTGATCTTCAGTAATTGTGCTTGCGTGTTCCGGTTTGAGCTCGCGTCCCCAGGCTGCTGATGAAGCATTGACATGCTGCAGTGAGCACATCTTCCATGCGTCGCTCGCGCAGGTTCAAGAGCTGAGCAGAAGTCAAGGCTTTCACGAATCGCCCACCCAGGCGCGACTGCAGCCTCGTGTGTTTGCTCAGATGGGCCATCTTTTGTCCCTCGATGTCCAGTCAGGTCGCCCCAGGGCGAGCCGAGCCGGTTCCTTCCCAGAGCAGCACGGGACCAATACCTGAGCTGATTTGACGTCGTCTCGGCGTTACAAGAAAAGCTTGCACGGCAGCTCTCTTGCAGTCTTGGCGCGCAGCGGTCTGTGTTGAGCTTCGTCAAGCCATGAGCAATCAATCTATTCAATGGAATGCCATCAAGTGTTTGTGTACTCTTTCCAAGCTCGAAGAGCCTGCTAAAGGCATTTCAGAAGAAGGTGGAAGCCGCAGGCAAGATCAAGCATGTCAAAGAAGTTGTGAACACTGTGGTGGCTTGTTTCGTTGCCTTGCTGTCACCAGAATCGGTCCAGGTGGCGGAGTTGAGGCGGTCCTGGCTAGTTGCCGCATGCAATAGGTGTGACTTGATGTGTTGTCTTGCTACCGTTACATCGGCGTCTGCTCGCCAGTGGCCGCCGGAAAGGCACTTACATAGTACATCTTTGTGCAACCAGAAAGGCCACCAAGGATTCAGTCGACGAAAGCAGACTTGGCTGCTTTGCGAGTCGTCGCCCTGTTTGCAATTGCTGGATATGGCTGGACAGCGACAACAGTTGGAAGTCGTGTGCTGCCAGGTGATGCTCGCAGCCGGTTGGCTGCCGGATACCATGCCTGAAGGGGAGGCTGATGTGTCAAAGATTGCAGCCGCTTTTGCATGGCAGTGCACAAGCTATGCTGCAAGCAGGACTGTTGGCTGCTGAATGATGCCGCTACCCAGCAGGGAGCTTAGACGCCGGGTTCTGCGTCTGCTTGGATTCCGTTGTGAGACGTTCTCCCAATACACGTGTGATGTCTCTGCCGAGGAGGCAGGCATCCGTACGCAAGACCTTGGAAAGCGAGCTTGCAAAGTTGCCGGACGCACAGATATCTGATGCTTCCCTGTATGTGGTTTAGGCGCGAATACGAGCTGTTCTGTGAGGCGGCTAGACTTGACCTGCAGGTAGAAGACGCTATTACTATTACTCTTACGGTAGCATGGGATTTCGTTGGTTGATGCAATGTGAGAATTACGAGGCCAGCAGCTCCAGCACCGGTGCCAGCGCCAACGTCCGAGTCCCACCAATAGCTGCTTTCACGTTGTTTAATGTTGAGCGCAGGCACACACACATACATGCCGGCAACATCGCATGACGGCGTGTAGCGCCGTGACAATTTGGATCACGTGTAAGTGTCGTTTGGGGTTAGCAAAGGACCCATGGGGTCAACAGCTTTGCATTGTCAACGGCTTCGCGGCTTCAACCGAAGTCCGGTCGTGTTGGCTGCAGCAGATGTTTCCGCGAAAGTGCACCGCGAAAATGCAGACACTCACTCAAACGCACTGAAGTGCTCGTATAGGTCGCTCGAAGGTCCTTAGTGCACCATGCGAAAAAGATGCGAAGGTCCACCTCTCCCCCTGTGCAGGAATGTTTCAGGAATGGGGGTTTTCGCTGGCATTGTTTTAACATGTGCTGGACACCAAAATTTGCACATGTGAAACAAAAGGAGATGATGCATAAAGTGGGATGGGGGTGTGGTCTTTTGGACAGCAGCCGGAAGTGGCGCCGGGCGAAACAAGAAGAAAGGCTAACGAGCATGATCCCTCGTAAGCTAGGCCCGTAGAAGTACACAAGCAGGCACAGCAGGTGCATTTGCACGGCCTGCGAGGGATTGTTGTTGACCGGAGCCCGCTGTACCTTTGTGATCCCGTGTGTTTGTGATCTCAAAGAACTATTGCGACCATCCACGCGCAAATCTGAATCTCTCGACAGGCGATCTCTGAGATTGGAGGGACACCTCTCGGATTTGTGCCGTTGACAAGATGTGCACTAGCAGCAACCTCGATTGATAGTCCAACTGCTCCAACATCGACCGAAAAGCGGGTCCTTGTGGTCACATGTTCGCGCTGTTACAACATACGCTAGCTCAACAACGTGATCCTGGAGACACGCAGAATCAGTCAGGGCTCGCCCGTTGATAAGCCACAGTCAAGAACTCGTAGCCGCATCTACACCCTTCCAATACTGCAGCCAGGCATCAACAACAATTTCAATGGTGCAACCATGGCATTTTCAAGCCTTGAACAGCTCGACGGAGGTTCCTCAGCTTGTTGGTGTTGACTGACGATGCTCATCAGCACACTCACTTGCAGACGTCGAAGAGAAATCCCAAAGAGAGGAATCAGAAGAAGAAGAAGCAGAAGAAGACAGGAAAGAAAGCAAGACGAAGGAGATTCGTGAGCTCTCTTGGATTTCTTCTTCGAAGTACGTTGTGTTCGTGATTCTCTCCCCATTATTCTTGTGCTTTTCTTGGCCAAGTCGCTGCCCTCCTGATCTTCATTGCTAATGCCGGAAGAGTTCCAACCAACAGGCTGTGACTTGAGGAAGCTACGGTAAGAACATGAGACAGGCGAGAATTACAACTGCAGTGTACATGCAGCAATCTCAGCAAGCCAATGATCGGCTGCAAAAATGTCGGACGATGATGCCCTGTCTCCTCCCCATTGCTCTAAGATTTGAGTCTCTTGAGGATTTCGGTCACGTCCGGAGTAAGAGCGGCAACTTCAGTGTTTTAAAAGCAACAGTGTTGGTTCGTGATTGTACCTAGTGAACCTCACAGCGAGAACGAGCATGAGATACAGGAATCCCAGCCGCTGTTGAACTTATCCCCTAACTACACAATGATGGATGTACGCTGCACATACAAATCCCGTTTGGGGGTTAGGGCCCGGCCCTTGCCGCATCAGATGCCAGTAAGTGCTGAAAGAGGCTTGTTCGCAAAACAGAGAGAACACGCTTTGGCTGTCTTCGATCGCAGCAGAACCTAGGCGTTCTTTGCTGCCCACAGGGATGCAGTAAGATTGGCTGTGAAGCCATCAGAACTGGCTCCAGAAGGTTCCTTAGCAACAGGCTTTGTCCCCAAGGCACAGTCACACAGGCAGAGGGTGATGTCTTGCATCAAAGGCCTGCGGCGCAACCAGCAGGTTATGGAGGCACAGGGCCGGGCGTTCATGCGTTGACATGGCATCGAAGCCCACACCGACCTGTTGCGAGGTGGATTGCCCGCCGGCTTACCCGGTTTGCCTGGTGGCCTTGGGGGGCCTGGCGGCAATGCAATGATGCAGCAGGCAGAAGTGTCCGGCCTGGGGAGGTCCATGAAGGGTCGTGTTGCTTTTTCTGTTCGGACCAGAGGCTCAGCAGATGATGATGAACAATCCTGGTATGATGCAGCAGGCTCCGTTGCGACGTCCATGTGCCCAAGCCCTGCATAGGAATGACACATATTGGCTTTGCCATGTTTCGTGCTATCAAAAAAGCATAGGAATGACACGAGCGTGCTTGCATTCCCGGTGCCACACCGTGGTCGACGTTGTTGTAGTGTTCCTAGCGTCACCCTTTACAGAAGCCATTCGTGCAGTCGAAAATGTCGATGACGGATTCGTTTGCGTCTCCCAGACATGATCGGGCAATCAAATAAACTGGAAGATAATTGTTACAACGGCTGATGCCGATTCCTAGTTGTACGTATCAAGTCGGGTGAGAAGCTGAAGCACTGTTCGCCCTGTGCCATGAAGTCTCCGCAGCATGTTCGCGAACGTTGGATGTCAAGGCGCAGCAGATGATGCAAGATCCCAACATGATGGCGCAGGCCCCGAACAAGCCTTCAGACACTTTGAAAGCTGGCCTGCAACTCCTGTAGTTCGAAACGGGCATGTTTACGTTTCTGGGTGTTAAGATGTCTTTGTTGCAGTCCTTGGGTTCTTGTCTCGGTATGTCTGGCTTCTGGGCAGCTCGGAGTTCCAGGTGCAACAGATGATGCAAAATCCACAGGCCATGGCCCAATTGCAGCAAATGAGCCTGGGCCGGACGGGAAACGGAACCTCTCTTTGCTTGTAGCGCTCTAGCAGCTCTAGCCCTTCCTTGCCGCCTTGCCGCCAAGGATGGGTGGCATGGGCCGTTAGTGAAAGCATTCCAATTCGATGATCAATTCGGTATCGGCGCGGGCCTTCGAGTCTCCGGCCGTGACATCCTCCCCTGAGAGGACCATTGCTTTTGTACCGGTCTGAAGAATTGCTGAGCAATGCGAGGCCGGAAGACCAGTTCAGTTATCTAAGACATCTACACGGGCAGAATCGAAAAGTTGAGCGCTGCGTTGGGGGGGGGGGTAACTCAGACTCTTTCGACTTATGTGATGCGACGGCTTTGTTTGGGTTGCCCATCGGCAGGGTCTGCGTTTGCCGGGCGGGAGGCCTTGAGCGGCCTGTGAGGTCGCGGATTTGCAGGTGTTTCGCGATCTGGTTTGCTGCATCTCAGCGGCGGTGACAAGCATTTTCAGCAAGCTAGCAGCTTGAACACGACATTAAGCAGGTGCAATAAAGGGTTCATAAGCTTGGTACATTTGTTCACCTTGTGCTTGCATCAGCAGCACAAGCCTGGATGGCCGGTTCTCTGAACTACTGGAATGCTTTGCACTAAGAGCTGTTGAACACACGGTGCTCGAATTGAGGGGACTGATGGGGACACTGCCCACAACAATTTGGTGTGATTCACGACATTCAAGCAAGTTTCGTAGTTGAAGGATCTTCGACATGATGCTTTCTCTTGTATATGGATCGGAGCTGACTTTAGCGCTGGCTGAGCCACAACCCAAGACGCCATCATCCAGTCATGTGTGATTTTTTGTCCTTTTTGCACAGGGCTTCCATGGATAAGCACCCCTGATGATGTAGAAGTGTAAGCACCAGCGGCGAATGCTCGTGAGAGCCTGTCGAGCATGGTTTCGGTACACACCGTGTGTGCCAAGGGAGCGCGCGATCAGGTTGATACAGTAGACGTGGTTTTGAGAACCTATCGGGCAGAGGTGCTGGTGTTTTTCCCAGGCGACATATCTGCCAGTCATGAAGAGATGATGTCAAATTCTGACCTGAGCGATCTGTGGCTGGTAGACTGGAGCACCGAGTCGATTGCAACGATGCTGGCCTCTCGTTTCCCTGAGCTTCACATCATCTTGGTTCGGCCTTCGCGGCAACACGACGGTTACAGTTGCTTTGACCATTTTCTGGAAACCAATGCCACTGGAGATCCCCTCAACGGAAACTACAAGGCCTCCTCATGCACGGCGACCGAACATCTTCTGCTCGTGCTGCAAGACATCTCAACAACTTTTGGGCACGACCGCTTCAGTCTCTGTGAATCGTTGTATGTGCTGGGATTCAGCAAAGGTGGCACGGTGCTGAATCAGCTTTTGACGGAGATTGGTAGTACAGAAGAGCAGACGTCTTCCGTGTCCTCTCTCGTTTCAGCGCTCCGAGCGCTTGTTTGGCTGGACTCCGGGGTTAATGACGGATGCTGTGTGTTCATATCCGACGAGAACGTTATGCGTCTGGCAGCAGGAAAGTTGCGGCTGACACAACCGCCAACACAACTGCGGGTGGTGTTTTCTCCGTTTCAGCTTTATTCGGAGGATTACATGTATGAGTATGACGACGAAGAGATACCAGCAACTTCGCTGGAACTCGGGCTGGACCGCCTACAATCGGTAATGTTGCAAGAATCCATTCCCTTTGAAGTTGAGCTGTGCTGTTTCGATCGCGAGGCTTCCTTGCAGACGCACTTCCAGGTGATCCAGGAATTTACGTTTCCAGAGCATCTTTCCAAGTGTGAGAGTGCTCCGGGCCAGAAGAGCATTCGCGCGAAGAGATCCACGACTTTCGCTGCTGCACTAAATGCTGCACGAAGCAGCATGCAGAGAGCGAAGACCCTTTCGTTGACGTGTGCGTGCATGTAAAAGTGCAGTGTTCATGCTTTTCGCGATGAGAACTTCGTGCCCTCTCGGAATCACTGGAACACCATTTTAGCATATGGCCCATTGGGCACACCAAACCTTGACATCTGCAGGTCTCAAGTCGCACAAGACAGACACCAAACAATAGCATGGCAGCATGGCAGCATGGCACTGCTTCTTTTGCAGAGCCTGAATAGTGGATAGATTTGCGAGACACCTGCGCAGCCAATTCGTGTTTGTATACTTGGGGACGGACCTTCTAGTTACAGTGGCAGTAGAGCAAGCAGATCGTCCGCACTTGTTGCTGGTACACCATGAGGAGCTACTGCGAGGGTTCGCTGCATTGCGCCATGGTTGGCTGAGATGCTGGAGGATGGCGGAAGCCCTATGCTGAGACCCTGTTCAGTCAGCTCAAGCTCGTGAGCTGTCGTGGAACTGACCAGTTGCGACCGGCTCAGGGTACGAGATATGTGGAAAGTTTCGTTTGCTTCGCAACATGCCCCTTTGCGCTGCTCATGGTCTGGCTGGCTGTGGCGAGCTCAAAGGCTTTTTCTTCATGTCTCTTAACACACACACACACACAGCAGTCCCGTACTGCTGCAGCATCTTTCTAGTTGGCAAGTGTCGGTAACTTTGTCTCATCATGTGCGCCACTAAGCCCTGGCTTTTTTCAACGGCTCCCATGATGAGCCGGGGACTTACGTTGACAGGTAGAACTCACTCAGGGTTTGAATCAAGGACAAATCGATATTCCAGGCCTGGCTCTGCCTGGCATGGGCGTCGCCATGGGTGCCGTTCTTTACTGCCTACCGGCTTTGGCAACTGCCAGAGGCGTTCAGAGTTCCTCTGCACACGTTTCAATTCGACGGCGAGCATGCTGTGCGAGGCATTTCCGGGTCGGAGTATTCGGGAGCCAAATTCACAGGACTTGCCATGCGATCCCTGAGCAGTGACTGTTCCTGCAAGCGTTTCATCTTAAACGAATGTAAGCTAGTAGGACCCTCGCGACAACGAGTGGGTCCCGCCGAAGATAATCTGGAGGCAATGGATTGCCATTGAACGGCAACTACGCATTGCAACATGGCGGAATGGCTTGTTCAAGGTCCAGAGTGCCTCTGACTCAAGCTGACGTCGGACGCGAGTCCCGTGAGAGCAGAGTATGCATACTCTGCTGGCGATGCATGTCTAGCCGATGAAAGCATAGAGCTCGTGTGTCTCACGCAAGATTTATTTCAAGTCTGCTTTCACTGCCATGTTACAGATCACGTGTACATACTGACCTGGCGTGATGACTCTGCATTTGCAGGATTGTCACATTGCACGGTGTGTGATGAGACAGCGGCACGCTGCTCATTTGTGTTGCATAAATGCAAGCCTGCAAACTCTCTCTTGCTGAACGGGGCAAGGGTTCCTAGACTTGGTGTTTGCACTCCTTTTCACTGTGGGTCGTATGTATCCTTGGTCCGGGGCTGAGTGTTCAGGGCACTTCGACGACCGCCATGTCGGCACTGCAGGCGCTCATTTCAAACGACATTTCCGCGGTTTCTTTACCGACTCAGAACTGCCAGGTTCCTTTTGGTAGCATCATCTGCTCGGGATTGTGCCTGTCGAAAGCTCGCATCCACGGCCTTCGTCCTGTCAGCTCTCAGCTCAAAGCTTCGGAGGACAGTTTCCTTGCAATTCGATGTCGCAGCCTCTGCATGCAACGGTGGTCTGCGCTCACCAGTTCCATCACGGCAGCTGGACGGCAACTGCGCTGGCAGGACGTTGTATCGCTAGCAGCTGGCAAGTGGCAAGTTGTATCAAGTTGCGGCCGGTGCCATCCGGTGCCTCGGCAGGATGCACTCGCCATCATTGCACGGATCGGCGAGTCACGGCCTGAGTCGTTTTTTCCACATGCCACCTTTGCGGTGCTCTCTGAGGCCAAAGAGGATTCTCTACAATGCGGCGATCGCAGCCTGCGGCCGCGCCCTGGCTTGGCCGGCGTCCTTGGCCCTTCTTTCCGAGCTGAGGCACCGTAGAAAGAGTGCAGCAACCGGTCGTGTCGTCTTGTTGGTGCCAGGCAGCTGCAGCAGCCGGATGTGAAGAGCGGCCCGGCAGCAGTCCTCTTGAGAGCGCAGGGAGGGTCATTGGAACACCCTCCAATGTTCATCTGTGCAGATGCAACGCTGCACTTGTCTCGACGTCGTTTACCTGCCAATTGCGATTAAAACGGCACGGAAGTCGGGTGTTCACTGTGCACGGCCCAACACTCTGGGAGGATCTAGGGTCCAGGGTCGTGACAGCAGCGGCGACGTCATAGTTTTCTCGGGCGATCCCGCCCAGGGTACGAAGAGCTGCGATTCGGCAAAAAAGCAAGAGACAGGTCTGGAAACCACTTTGGCTTAAGTCTCTCTTCCTCAGCTGGGTACTCTCAGCGCCTCCTCGTTACAAGCTTCTTAATCAGCTGTGCAAGAATTCATACTAATGCCCCCGAAGACGCGCGGCAATGCGCCTTCTCTCTTGCCAAAGTCCAGCTTGAAATAGCCTCCCAGTCCATCGCTAGACTTGAACGGCAACTTCGTGCCAGCAGGGCAGACCTCCGTACTGGAGCTGTCTGGGATGTTGCCCTCGGACACTGAGGCTTTGGCGCGGCAGCACTAGCCTTGCAAAGGCAGCCTGGTCATCAAGCCCTGCTTCTGCAGCTCATGGCCGAGGTTGTTGGAGCTTGTACTGCTCGTATCTGCTTGTGATGCTTCGCAGCGGGCTCAGCGGGCCCTCGCAGCGGCTGGCAGGATCGTATTTCTCCGGATGTGACGGTCTGCAGCACGGCAGCAACATCCTGGGAGCGAGCTTCAAATTGGGAGGTGCCGAATTCGAAGCTATCGTATCGCTCAGCGGATTTAGGGCCTTTCGGGGGCGGCTTGTGGCGTGGGAGGCCGCCTTGCATCTCCTCACAACCATTGAGCTCAGAGATCTGGACACCGTGGCAGCGGGAACACTTGCCAGTACTCTTGCAAAAGGCCTGCTGGGGCTTTCAGGCTTTCATACACCAGGACCAGAACTGAATGTAGAAGGGAGTCTTTATCTGACAGAGTTCGGATCGCGGTCATGCCATGCTGTGATCATCTGAAATGTTGGATGCCACATTCTGTCTGGCTTGCAGCTTGGGTACTACCAGCTACCAGTTTGCTCTCTTTCTCGGGTTTTGCGCTTCACAGCTTCGCAGGCGCCTGCTGGTCGCAGGCGCTTTTGCTGCTGGAGCTGGTCGATGCGAAAGCGAATGTTGTGGTGATGGGGGCAGCCCTGCCCCCATGGCTGCGCTCGTTTCTGTAGCATTTCGTAGACCTGACCGCGGGACCTGCGGGACCGACCACTTTTGGCTACACACTTCGAGGTAATCAGTGCTTGCGAGCGAGCTCATCGTTGGACCGCTGCCCTGGAGACCAGATACGATCTTGCTAGGGATCTTTTTGTGAGCCGCAGTGGCCTGCAAAGCAAAGTGCCCAATCACATTTGCCGCTTTTGCTTTTTGCTTGTGTCAAGGAGCTGCTGGAGCGGATGTATCAGCAGGTGGGCTGTAGTTGGGCACATCACTCTCTCTGCTCAGGTTGGGCTGTGACCTGTCGCGGATTCTTCAGGTATAGAGGGATTGCTGGCATTCTCGCCGCGACTGTCATCAGCACAGTGGGCCTCAATGAACTACCGGCGCGTAAACTTGATTTCTAACACGAGCTGCAGGCGGAGCATCACTTGTTGTTCCTTGTGAGTTTGTCTCGAACTTATTGGGAGCAAAACCGGAACCCGGAACGGGCTCAGGCGCGTTTAAGCGATCTTGCGAAGTCCCGCAGCAGCTGAGGCGCAGAGCAGATCCTGCACGAACCGTCCACAGAGTCCCGAGTTCCCAGTTTGTCCAAAACACCTGCTCACCAACTCAGTTTCCGAACACAGATCCACCGACCCGAGCTTATATCTCGCATTCGAGACTTCCAAAGCTCGGGACCATGCTCACAGCTGCCAGCTTCCATTGTTCATGCTGTTTTGCTTCACTGCCGATGTTTCAGGGGCCTTGGCCGGACACTTTCGTGTTGGACTCCGTGCTGCGTGCTTGCGGCCGAGGCCCTGTGAGAGTCCTGCGAGCAGCCTGTGAGTCTGCTCAGCTCTGTTTCTCGTGCTCATCGTGGCAGGTCTCGCTTGGGAATCAGTGCTGAGCCTGAGCCTTTTGGAATTTTCTTTCTCACAGGATGTTGGCTGAATGCTAGTATGTTGAAAGGAGCAGTCTCGCTTCTGGATGCAAGGTCTTTTCGCCAGCATGCCAAGCCAGTTCCTTTTTCCCGGTGCCACAGGCTCTGTACATTGGTGTACATTGAGTGTTCTTTTCTGGGCTTACCCCACACTTCGAGATGTCTCGAGTCGTCAGGCTTTAGCGCAGTGTCTCTGGCTCTGGGCTGCGGGCGGCAATGGATCAAAATGCTGGACATGCTCGAGGCACCCTGAAATTTGCAAGTACTCGCTTGTTTGTTGTTCAGTCTGTCGAGTTTTCGCCAGCACGAGCTTGATTTCCTGGCAGGTTTAGGCTTCTTGCAGACGCATGGACATGTCTGTAAACAGCATGCACCGGCAAATGCAGCCCCTGAATTAAGTCATGAGAAATGCCCTGGCAGCAATACCATGTCGTTATACAGCCGTGCGAACACGCGAAATCAGTCTTTCCCCTGCAGGTTATGTCGCAGCAACGGATGGCTGCCGATATGCCTTCTCTCTCGATGGGTCTCGAGGAAGCAGAGCAGCGTAACTTGCAGGCGATCTTTTGCTTCGCTTGTGCATGTCCAGACCATTCCAGACCTCAGCATCGGCTGCGCAGGTTGTGGAGACAAAACTACTTAGAAGCCTGGCCTACTCTGTGCCAGGCGCTTGTGCCGTCAACTGCATGTCGGAAGCGGCAGTGACATGAACAAACTTGAATGTGTCAACCATGTTGACATGTTTCTGTCAACTGGACTTCTGTCAGAGCCCAATGCAGTGAGACTCAGAAGGGCTTCCTGGTTTTGGACTTGGTTGCTCTGGCAGGTCTGCGTCGTCTGACCAGAGTCAGCATCCCAAAAAGCCTCGCCAACTTGCATGCAGCTGTTTGCGTGCACGTGTGCACTTTTGCCTTGACCACGACCGTTTTCATCTGTACGCGGCCCTGCAGGTAAGTGGGGCAAAGCCAACGCAACACAATCTCCATGATGCAGCTTGCTTGCTTAAGTGCAGTCTGCCGTGCTTTCGTTGACGACTAGTGCATGCTAGTACTATCTTCTGTGCCATCATGGCGAATATGCTTCTGAACCGTATGCGGCAACAGCAGGCGGGAAGGACCAGAGACGATCCCAGCAGTTTGGTTTGCGTTCTCACAGTCATGGAGCAGGCTCCCAATGGATGCGCCTTGCTGCGCCGGCACTTCGCATCCGTTCGTCCGAGGCAGAAGCCCAGTAATTTTTTGTGGAGACTTGCCAGCCGAAGCTGTAGCCACTGTAGCGGCATGGCCTAGGGCCTAGGTCACTTGGGTCATCTAGGGTCATCTTGTTGGTCCGAGCGGTCTCCGAGGCATTTCTTCGGATGCTCCGAGGAGGAATTGGCGGCCAGGGACGCAGCGATGGCCTCTGGTCGAGCTTCCTATGAGCGGGCCCGAGAGAAGGAAATGTCGCTGGGGCCTCCACTAGGCGCGTCTCTCACGGCTGAAGCTTTCATCGGATCCGCAGTGCTATTCCTGTCGTCCAGAGTACCTTGATTCCCTATCTAGTGTTGCTGGTGCCTTCGTGCCCAATTTGCAGAGAAGCAATTTCGAGCAGTGCCTTTGGCTGTTCAGGCCGGAAAGTGTACGTGTCGAATTTGCGAAGCAAAGATGGCAGAACGCGGGTCCCAAAGTTGACGATAACAGACTCCACAGGGCAAACGTTCATGACCTTGACCAAGCGCGACTTTGAGCAGTTGATGAGCTGGAAGCCAGAAATCCAGCAGGAGCTTCGCAGGCAAGAGTTTCGGCACCATGCAGACTTTAAGCTTTCCGGCCCACAGCTCAGGAGCTGGTCAAGTACGAGAAGAAGCTGACATGAATCTGAGAATGTGCGGTACCGCCGCGAGTTGTAAAACAAGTGTCGACGGTGCAATGTGATCCAAGTGGCGTCCTGTCTCAATTTGTTGCCACTGTTGTTGCCGGGTGAAGCTTGCGGTTCAATGCGGTGCAAGCATGGGCTTCGCGGCCTGGGCTCCGCGGGTGCGCGACCCGAGTTGCTGGGCCTGGCCTAATTACAATGTAGACGCTTATGTGGCGCAAATGCCTTCTTGTGCAGCTTCCTCTATGGTGCCACCAGGACGGGCTGCCAGCATCGCACGCCTGTCACCACACTTCTTTGCAAGATTGTGCAACTTTCGAGTATTTCGAGTGCTGAGGCAGCTTCAGCGCAATGGGACTTCAACTCGACTTGTTGCAGTGCTCCGCGACAACTCGCAGCAATCCCTGCTGGGCACATTGTGGGCGGTGCAAGAAGCAACCTTCTGGATTCAGCTGCTGGGGCCGTGACTGCAATGAGCTACTCCAGCCAGTGGGACGCCGAGCCGCATTGCCTTGCCATTGCATGCTGACGGCTAGAGTAGAGCTTCGAAGCTCTTGAAACTTCAACCTTTTGCTTCCATCCACAGCCGGCTTTTTCATTACTGTTGCCCTGCGCAGGACTTGCTATTCGTGGGCGGTGACATTGGCACGTTGCAGGCCTTCCGAGGTTCAGACTTGGCCATTGCTCTGGGTGGTAACGTCGGTAGCCGTGTGACATCTGTGACATACGATCACGACAATGGAGAGGTCGTGGCTGGTGGGCTAAACGGGCGAGTGGTCTTCATGCAGGTTTCTACATTGCAGTCCGTAGCTAATGTTGACGAGAATTCGGGCGGAAGCCAAGTCAACTCTGTAGCATTTGTGGCCTATTCAGATGATGTTTCGACCTACAGTGAAGTTGCAAGCTGTAGCTATTTCAATTCCAACATCCGCTTGTGGAGCATGAGCGCAAAAGCGGTCACACGGGAGCTGTTGGGCCACAGCAACGTGGTGTTGGCTTTGAAGCCGTTAGATGGCCTTCAAATGTTGAGCAGCGGGTCGATTGACGGGTTCTTGGGGCTTTGGTCACTGCCCTTGGCAAAACTGCAAGCAGACGGCAGGATTTGTTCAGGAAGTACTTTCGTGCCGTTGCCGACTTCGTACCTGTTGGAAGATTGCATTTCAGCGGCATTGCAACAAGCTTCCCCGGGAGGAGGAGACTTTTTCGTATATGGGCAAGTTGGAAGCACCTCTGCCAATGAATGCCAACTTCTTCAAAACGTGGGTGCATGCGACACGCTTCTTGTGGCACCGTACACGATGTACCGGTTTGAGCTGCCTCTGAAGCATTTGTTCAAGGCCCATGACGGTGCCATTCGTGCAATCGAATCCCTTCCTGACCAGGGAGGTTTAGTGGCAAGTGCGGGAGATGACGGGGCTATCCATGCATGGAGCCCCAACACGGGCCTGAAGGTGCGCGACTTTGGGTCTGGGTCTGGCCAGTCAGCACTGAATCATGGCATCAATTCTATAGCATATTCGAACACACTCGGTGCGCTTGTGGCAGCCACCTTGCAGCAATTGGCATTCTTCGACGCCTCCACCGGGCAACTGCTAACTATCATCACCCGATCAACAACTTCTCCCGCACTTTCGCTGAGCATGGATACCTGGGGCCTTGTGCTGTCGAGCCGTGGGACAGACATTGAAGTCTGGCCACAATTAACACGTTGTCCGGATGGCTCATTCCCAAGTTCGACAAGTCAATGCGATCCCTGCCCAGCTGGTCGCGCTGGCACTGATGGTTTCTGCAATCAGGTGTGTGGAAGTGGTAGCCAGAGCACTGGAACGACATGCGAACTTTGCGGTGCGGGCCAAGCAGGAGATGGACAGAGCTGTACCGATTGTCCGTTAGGTGAGTTCCAGGACCTGCACCTAAGTATTTCTTTCAGAAGCACATAGGCCGTACGGCGGCCGCCCCGTTTCTCCGTAAACAGTGAAACTAACTGAGCTCAGCGCTGATGTGCAGGACCAGCCTGGGCAAGTGAATTGCAAGCAATGCCCTCGTGGCTCCGCCCAGCCAAACACCGGGCAGACGAACTGCATCGCGTGCGAGGATAACTCGGCAGCCCCATCTGTGGGCTCTGAGTTGTGCCAGGAGTGCCCGGATGGAACCGAACCCAGTACAGACCATTCGGATTGCTTGACCTGCTCGCAAGGTACAGCTGGTCAGAATGGTGTATGCAATCAGTGCCAAGATGGAGAGCAGAATTCACCTGATTTCACCTTGTGTGCTCCATGTCCAACAGGCATGTTTGGTACCAATGGCTTCTGCTCACCGTGTCCTGATGGTGCCCAACCGGACTCCACAAGGTCGGCTTGCGTTCCATGTTCCAGTGGATTCGCTGGAACTGCTGGCGTCTGCGCCCGTTGCCCTCCGGGGGAAGAGCCAGACGCTGCCGCCGCGATATGCATCGCCTGTTCGACAGGAAGAGCCGGTTCAAACGGCACCTGTGCCAACTGTCCTCTCGGCATGGTGGCCAGCTTGAATCGCTCGGTCTGCGAACTTTGTTCAGATGGACAAGCAGCTGTGAAGGGTGTGTGCCAAGTGTGTCCAGATGGAAGCCTTGTGGCGGAGAACCGGTCCGCGTGCCTGGATTGTCCGGATGGCTATGCAGGGACTGGTGGTTTGTGCGATCTCTGCCCAGAGGCCGGGTTGGAAGAATCTAGACTGTGCTCCTAGCTAAGTTGGGCTTCCCTCCATGGGATTTCACGCTGCAGGAGTTTGGCGGGCCCTGACTGCATGAATGACTCACCCCAAAATCAAGAGTTGGGAGGGCAACATAGGTGGCAGCCTAGTCCATGCTTAAGAACAAACATGCGAATGTTGCAACTGTTTTCATTTGTATCGGCAGCGTGCAGATTCAAAGCCTGCAGATTCCGCCCCGGAAATCCGCGGAACAGATCGTACTGTTCACCCTGCCCAACAGAACACCTACGTTTCCCCAAGATATGATCGCTGTGTGTTTCTGTCGGAGGGGACCGGTGCCAGCGCGGACCGGTCCTTCTGCGAAGATTGTGCAGAAGGCTTCTTCGGTCTGGGCGGCTCTTGCACTATCTGTCCCAATGGAACGGAGCCAGTACTTGGACAGAACGTTTCTTGCGGTCCGTGCCCACCAACAACTGCTGGCACGCTCGGAGTCTGCATGCAATGCCCGGATGGTACGCAGCAGAATGCCGAGCGTACCGCATGCGAGAGCCCAGCCCTCGTGAGATTTCATCAGGGATCAGGGGGTTGTGTCGATGGAGACTCTACAGACCTGGATGCCTTGAGATGAGTTGAGTCTGTCCAAGGAGCTGCCCAGTTGGCACGGCGGGGACTGGTGGCAGCTGCAGCGTCTGCCGCTATCCCTTGATGCAGGATTGGCTTCAACTTTAGCATCTAGGGTGAGTGTCAGTTTCACTTGACACTCGCGAGGACGTAAATGGGACTTCGTGCACGGAGCAGTCTGCACGAGCACGTCTTCTGTATGGAGCATCGCGCTGCAGCGAGCACAGCTGCAGGCACGGACGAAGCTGCGAAGCCGCGCTGTTGAAAAATGGGTCGTGGCCGGTGGCCGGTTAAACAGGTTCATGGAAGACTGTCCCTGCATATGCTGTGAATGGTCCGCTATCCCCCTGTCCCCTGCGAGCCACAGTGTCGTCGAGAGATCGCAGACATCGACTCAGGGCCCACTTCTACGATTCTGACCTGCTCTACTGCTGCCCCACTCCCAGAGGCAAGAGTTTGGACGTTCCATTGTGCCAATGCAGCACGACACCTCTGCTGGCAGGGTTCCCACTGGCTTGTTGCGACTCTGAGGCAGGTGCGGTGATGCCCGAACCTTTAGGAGCCTGCAGTTGCCGTTGAACACATCGCTGAAGGTCAGCGCACTGGCGACGCTGTCTGCCACAGGTGGATACATGTCGCTTGAGTTCTAGAGAAAGAGAGCTGCAGTTGTCTAGACCTAGACCGGCATGTGAACCAGCACACTGACTGCAACCTCCATCCCATGTCAAGGATTTAAGACTTGTGTCTAGCAGCGGAAAGCTCAGTGCATGATTCTATGCTGTCTCTCCAGTTTCACCAGGGTGGTGGGTTAGTGAGAGGCTGTCCTGGCATGGGAGTGGCGGCATGAGCGTCAAGCCTCCCTTGGCCATTGCTTTGCAGATGTCTCGATCACAGATCTGGGGTTGGCTCGGGGCAACGACGGAACGACGGACGACGAGCGAGGCCGCGAGGCCGAAACGAGGCGGTCTCTTCTCCGCGAGCTCCGCGCGTCCAACAAGGGCCTTCGTGCCCAGGGGAGCCAAGTGGGGCTGAGGCTGCTCACTCATGCGCAGGGGACCGCTAGGACTTGCAGAGGGGTGACTGAGCGGCCACGCTCGTGCGTTCCCCTCTTGCTTCCGCAAGTTCGTTTGAGGCATTTTGGACGTTGAATGGCAGTAGCTGTTCCTGAGCGTCTCAATTTCTTGGTTGATCTTGTTGGTTCACCTCCCGCGCCTTTGCCAGTTCTAGTTCTCAGGCTTGGCCATTTTGCACCAGTGCTGCAGGTGCCGATTTCGTTGTCAGCTATAGCTCGCCACCAATCTTTGCAGCTTGAGTTCACAAATCATGAATGGTCGGAGTGGGACCATGCAAGACAAGCGCGAGGAGTCTGAACATGTTGCGCAGCAGCCAAGGCAGCAACGGCAGCTGTTACGCAACTGCTGACGTGCCTATGGATTTGCCATATCTGGAAATCCGAGTCGTGGGCGGACAAGTGTTGCGAACATGTTGAACAGTGCTACGCCATGCCAGTGTCATGGTTGAAGGAAGCAGTAGCTTGGTCGTTCCACGGCTTAGAGAAAGCAGGACTGGCGTGAGAACGTGGACATGCCCTTCGTCGGGGCTGCGGCAGCGCTGATTTGCGTGTGTTTGCACTCGATGGGACTGCTGTGGCTGAGCTGCATGCTCTCGCGCTCGTCTGCTGCTTTCGGAATTGCTTCGATGCGTTGAGTTGCGAGGTGGATTCTTGGAGCTGGATTGGTGATCATTGCTCCATCCACTGCTCTGAGCATCCTTCTATTTGCAGGCACGTGTGTCTTTTTTACCCATCCATGCTCGCAACGCGTTGCGGCGCGTTGCGCGCGTTTTTTTGAGGTGTGCATCGTTCGGCCTGCCGTGCAGTAAACGGGATCGAACCGATGGCTCGGAGCCGGGCTCGCACCCGAAAGGGAGAAGACGAAGTGTGACAAGAAGTTGGTGAAAGCCGTAAGCATCAGTGACTTTTGGTTTTGAGGCGATGAAGAAAGCCCGTGCTCTTCTCTATGCTGTCGGGTCAACGATGATGTCCGTTGTGAAGCTTCTAGGCGAACCGTGCTCAGATTTGTTCAGTCAGTAGCCCAGTGCTGTCTTGGCAGTGTTTCGTTCAATTCAATGCTTAGGACTGGATCGTCGTCCATTTCTTGCTGGTGCCTCCAGCATCTTTGATGTTCAAGTAGCGTCGAAGAGATTGTCCATGTAGCTGCCTTCGGGAGCTGTCTTGCTGCCTTTGGAAGCAGCGTGAAGGAGCCTACGGAAGCAAGTCATAGTGAGCCGGTAGGCTGGACTTGATGGAAGCAGGTGGACTTTGCGTCCGTGCTGCAAGCCGTGACGAGCTCCCAGTTCATCTTGAAGGACGCCTTGTTTAGGCGCACAGGGGCACGCAAAGTATACACCAGCTTTCGCCGCTGTACCACTGCCTCCAGGCCGATGCCTTATGAGTACGTCAAACTCCAAGAGCCAGTGCTTGCGGCTCTTCACAATCAAGGGATGCAGCCTTAGGTCGTGGCCATTCTACCGGTGCCTGATCTTATCAGGCGCCATTACTTTTTGCAGCATGTGGTGCTTTTGATCTCTGTTGCTTGCGGTTTATGCAGCTCAGCTTCGAACTTCGAGCTCTCTTGCTTGCTTGTTTCGCTGTTGCCAGATATCCAGTTATGCTGGCCGTGCGGCTCCTCTGGTCACTGCAGGCATTGGTGCTGACCTTCAGCTGCTCCAGCAATCGTGCTTGCTTTGATACCCATGAATGACAGGTCGCGATATCAAACCTGCCGGTGCCATCCTCACATAGCACTCCGCTGTGACTGAACAAGCATGCTGCATGCCGTTTGCTAATCAAACGATACCAGTCACAAGGTTGCGCATGAATACGAACTTTCTGTGGTCTGCCAGATGCAAGTCGCCCTTCACTCAACAAGCGAAGCCGGAATCATGGCCTCGACCTGAGACTCCGGACAATGCCACACGATATGTCGTTGCTGAGCGCTGCCTAGGCAGCTGCGGCAATGACGTATGCAACGACCACTTTCAGCCGCTTGTCGAGTTGTATTCTGCAACCTTCAGCACTGGACATCGATGGTCCATATCGTTCCAGAAAGGTTCGCATCGCAGCATATGAGGTTATGTTGTGCTCGCATCGGACTTACCCGCACGCCTGGTTGCCGCCAAGCAGTGTGTGGACTGGCCAGCAAGGGATAGCCTGCCGAGCAGTAGCATAGTCTTCTCGCGAGTCCATCAGCCTCATCCACACGCAAGCTTGGCTTTTGCAGGTGGTTGTGGGTGATTTGGGACTGGTGGCTCAGGCTCGTTGCATGATCACGTTTAGCAATCGCGATGCGCAGTGAAGTACGGTGTCCGCTTTGGGAAGTTACTGCTCACAGGCTGCGCGGCTCCTCGCACTAGGTGGCCTGGATACTCGACCAGCACAGATTTCGAACTAGGGCGGACCTGTCGAGGGGTGTGATTGTCACAATGTCGCAGTCGAAGCTGCTGGGCAGCCGCACGTCAGGAAGTCCTCCTTGACGTAGTGCTTCGCGTGGCTGGTGGCTGGCCGGCAAGGCGAGGCCCGACGTTTTCACTTTGAGCTTCCACAGCGTCGAAGCTTGTTGACTTCGCTACCGAGCGCTTGCAATTGAACGCTAAACTTTTCGTCGGCTTCAGAGCCTTGGCAGCGCTGTATGCCCTGCATGCCAAGGTTGCTGCCCTTCGTCGCCACGCTCCTGTCTGCGTCTGAGAAGCCGTCACATGAAGCAAGGAGAAGGCCGTGCGCGCGCTATCAGGCGCCCATCGACTTCCAGTGACACCAGGGTGTTGCAAAGCAGAAATTATGCTCTTCCCGAGGTTGGTGCCACCAGACGGTGTTGCTGCTTGGACTCCAGGTGAGAACGTCTTTCCGCAGTCTCCGTGCTTGCCTTTTTTGGTTACGTTGTTCTGCTGTGACGCCAGGCCTACCTCTCGCTCTCGCACTCTTCTGTACAGCCGCGAGCCTTAGACATGAACATTTATTGCAACAGTAACAGACCATGTTTGCAGCTTCAAGTACCTCTGAGCAGCATCTGCTGTAGCTGGGCACGGAGGTGATAGCTCAAATATATTCTCTGTGCATCTGGGTGTGGCTAATCGGCAGCTCAAGGCAGATCTACTGGACTTCAGATCCTGAGTCAGCTTGAAGTGTTCGAAAGCAGCAACCTGTATGCAGGCAGACGACTCACATGGGAAATCCACCGAGATTTCTGGCGAGCTTGCTTGCATGTGTCACTCGCGATCGCCTGCTCCATTTTGAGGAGCTGCGCTGACATCAATGTAAACACCATGTCTTGTCATATGTTTCCCATTTTTCTCAAATGATTTGCTGAAAGCTGTCCCTGGTTGTCGGAGGAGGAGCGGGTCGAAGAGCATCTCAGCCCTACAGTCATACTTTGAATTGTACTTGACGCGTCGTTCTCAAGAGCCGTCTTTGCACATCTGCTTCTTGTCTTAGGTATCTGATCTGTGCCGTGCTCCGGGCACTCGGGCTGTGGGAAAAAGAAGAAGATGAGGAAGGGCCTCCGAGTGCCGTGTCCAGTCCTCGAAGTCCGCGATCAGACCGCGGAAGTCCGAGATCTGCTCGCAGCCCGCGCAGTCCCGGAGCCAAGCAGGAATCTGGCCGCTCGAGCCCGGGCCGTGGAAGTCCAAGGATTAAGGGCCCCAGCGGGCTGAAGCTAAAGAAGAATCTGGGCTCGGTCACGACCCTGTTGCGAAGAGCTACTCGCGGAGACAGTCCCAGCAACAGTCCGAACAGCAGCCCAAGAAGTCCGAGATCTGATGGTGCTCCAAGCTCTGGACCAGGACTTACCACGGCGAGACTGCATCAGACACCGGCTCGTTTTGCCCGCCTTGCTGACGGAACGCGTGTGGACATTGCGACAGTTCGCAAGGTGGAAAGCCCGGGCAGGTCTGGCAGGAACCAAAGTCCAAGAAGTCCCGGAAGGGGTTTCAGTCCAAGAAGCCCCGGCAGAGGTGCCAGCCCACGGAATGATGCTGCGAAGGGTGCTGATTCAACAAGACGCGGCATGCGAGTGAACGATGATTGGAAAGTTCAAGTTTCTCCAGATGAACTTGAGCCCGGCGATGGAGAACATCCCTCACAGAGGCCGCGAAGGCAAGGCTGCGGTTTTTGTATCTTGACTTGCGTCTGCAGTTGCACCTTGACAGGTGCTATAGACACTGCAGATGTGTGACTTGGTCTTTTTGCCGTAGCGTTTGGGGCCATTTCCACAAACCAACTTGAAAGTTTGGGTCGCGGGGTTGAAGCATGCACTGTCTTCCAGTCAGCGACTCGCCTAGGAGAAATCGGGCGAGCCCTAGACAAGCAGCATGTGCTTCGTTGGTTTGTGAGAGGACCCTGGGACCCGCCCACCACCGGTATCACTCACTCCTTGTGGGATGTCAGGCTTGTCCACCGACTCACACCGGCTCATTGCTCCTTCAAGGTTTTAGCGCCTGTAGGGTTTGTCCAGCATCGCGCGTTCATCTCCAGCTGCTCCAGAGTCCTAGAGCGGTGTCCGACTCATCGCTCCGTGCTTTTGGGCTTTGTTTACCGGCTCAGGCCCACTCTGATCTGCCAGGGTTGCGAGCTTGACGCCTTGATTCTTGTCACGTTTCTCACGGACTTGCATCAGGCTCGAATGTCTAGGCGGAGCTTGGCAGGAATGTGAGCCAGCCGGTGAACTCTTGTCATTGTTCTGGTGCGACCTCAAGTAGTTGAACGTCGATGTGGCACGGGAGTTTTGCGGCACGCGAGTTTTGAGGACCAGCGATTCTGGCCTAGGGCCTATGATTGCTACGAAGACGGAGCGGTTTCGCGGACGCGTGCTCTGTACGTACTGAATCTCGTTTGCCGACCAGCCGGCCTTGTGCTACGATTCTCTTTCCACCGTTCTCACTCTTTCGTTTCCCAATCCCATTAGCTGAAATGTCTGCCAGCATTTCCCGACGTCGTTTTCGGGCTTGCTGCATTCCGTGGAGGTACCGTCGAAGGACCGACAAAGCGAAAATCTTGTCGTCGGAAAAGTGTCAATCTGTTACAGTCGACGCAACAACAGTTGCCTGACGAAACCTACAGTATGGGTTCTCTCAATGTCCAAGCTCCAAGCAGATTCAGACAGTATGAGGTTGAGGTCTTTCAGGCCTCCTGACCCTTTGCTGGCTGATGGTAAGTAGACTCAGGTATGTGATGCGGTGAGATCCTGTCTGAGGTGAGGCCCTGTGCAGTGCATTAGACTGGCTGCGCTTGTTAGACAAATCCAAGCTGCTGCAGGCGTGTTTGCTCGCCCTGTGTGCGATTTGTGAAGGGATATTGGCCGATTCTCGGCTGCAGAAAAATTCACGCGACGTGGTGACCGCTTGGCTCGATGTGATAAGCAGCGCGAAAGCTTTTGAAGATTCAATCGACGAACAATTGGCCCGTGGTAAGGAAGAGACGCTTGAACAAGCACCACAGGCCTGCAGGGTGGCCGTCGTGCAACTTTTGCAGTGGCAAGGTCTACCTTGTTTCTAGCATGATTGCTCGGTTCAATGCTAAAACCTGCTTCGTCTGCAGGCAAGGGCTGACACGCAGAGGCCTGCATGTGAGTGCCGGCAAAGCGCCCCCTTGGCACATTGCAGAAAGGCCTTCTCGTGGACAAGCTGTGCGGGCCTGAGAGCTTCAGAAAGCGAGCAATTCCAAACTCAGGTCGCTCTTTTTAGCAGTTGTTGCACACAGTGGCTGAACTGTGCGAAAGCTTTTGCACCTGGCGCTTTGAATCCTCCATTGCCGCAAGCAGCGGGTCCGCACGAAAGGTCAAGCACCAAGCTAAGCTGGTGCATTTATATGAATGTAAGGCGCCTGCAAATCAGCAAATTGGAAATTGCAAGAGGGGTTCCAAAAGCCTCATCAACTAGATTGACTTGGAGCATGGCATCTGACCCATCCCAGAGGTTAGCCGAAAACGCAGCGCACCAGTGACAAGTGTCCAGCAACGGTCTCACGAAACTTGCCATTCAAGATTCAAGCTGGGAAAAGCCTCCGGCAAGAATAGGCTTCAAGAATCTGCAATTGCACTAGACTCTGCCTAGACAGCCTCTGCGAATACTTTCCCGTTCTTGGACCTGGAATAAGATAGAGGCGGCTTCTCACAGAGCTGTGTCAGATCAGTTTTGCACAGGGCAGAATTCAGATGAGAAGCGAATTATCCTGAGGCGTGAGCTTGGGAAGACTGGTGCTCTAATCGACATGTGGGAGGACTCGGAAGACTAGTGTTGGCTTTGTAATCGGTAGTCTATAGCGTTGCTCGTCTTGTCAAGGACATTGCCGAACTCGGAGGAAAGCAAGTGGATGTCATACAGCTTGCAGCTTGCAAACGTTGTGAAGTCCATTTCTGTGGGTTTCAAGTGCATCGTGACGAAACTGAGGCTGGCCGTCTTGCCGCGGCCCCTCTACAACGCAGTGCCCAAGTCGAGATCTCAAATTTCTGTCAGGGTCTGCCAACCGGTGAATGCGAGCCGTGTCCGTCGCCGATGAAAAGGATCGGTCTTGCGAGTTGAGATGTGGGCACCTCTAAAAATCGACCGCAGTTGTGACAGAAACAACATCCAAAACTGCAAGCGCGGCTACCTGTACTTCTGGGTTATCCGACTGTTACGGTTTTCCATTCCAAGATCTCGCGTTAAGCTTTTTAACCTGCAGGTTTGCAAGACTTCCCAGAATCCAGCCTGCCCTGGGGAGTTTCCGCATTTCCAAGCCTGCGAACATGCAACGGCTTTTAGAAATTCCAAGACAGATTGAATCCTGCATGTTTTCAACACAACGGAAGCCTCCAGAATCCCAAGACTACCAACAGTCTCACCCTAATTTCCGGCATTTCCAGATTTCCAACAATCCTAGAACGTTCTTTCACACTATTTGGAACTTGTCTCGCCCCCTGAGGGGGACGGTGAGTTTTTTCTGCCTTGGTCTCCTCAACTTTGAAGGCCTGCGACGCCGCATCCTGCTGTGAATCATTTGCCTGCAAGAGTCGGGAATATTGAAACAGCGCAATGAAAGAAGGCCGTCCAAATGGATGCTGTCAATAGATGCCACAGAGGCCAACGCACGGAATTGACCATTTCGTTGGGCAGAAGCTTGTTCACCTTTGTAAACTTTTCGAACGATCGAACTTTCTCAGAGCTGCGAGTTAACAGGAAGTTCATTGGGATAAGTTCCAGTGATTCGACTGCGACGGTTACAGCGTCAAACGTCACTCGGGCTCCGGGACGTGAACATATCGCGCCAGCACAGGGCGTCGAACACAACCGATGGTCTACCAGGGCGGGAGCTCGGTCAGACAACTGAGATGGCAAAGCAGGGCATTCTTGAACTCCGACAGGTTTGGAGCTTTCATGATTGTCGCTTTAAGGCCTCTATCGAATCAACTGATGTATTCTCTGAGTTGCTTACGTCTTCCGTGGATCGTCAATGCCCAATTTTTGTAGTCCGCCGTAGTGTGGCAATACCCTTCTCTTGATTACAGATCCTGCGCGGCCCCGCCGTCCGAGGCGAATGTTGGTCACTGATTTCCCTGAGGATGGCGGGGTTTCTCGCCCCTAGCCGCCTTTGCCGGTGGCACGCCCTGCCTAACTATTTGTTGTTGTTTGCGTCTGCAAGCGCTCTTGCTTAACCGGGTTCGGCTGCGTGAACTTCATGTGGGGAGGGCAAGGCGGCTTGTGGAGAAACCAGAAGGGACGTCGCTCACTCACTCGCTCACCGACCCACCCACCCACCCACCCGCTCGCTCACTCACTCACGTGCTCACTCATCCCGAAAAGCCTTTAGTTTAAGCGTGGTCCGTTTGTAGAACCCCAAATGATTTTTCACTTGCAGCCTTGGCGACAACAAGTCCTTAGCATGTTGGCTCCAGTTTTGTCTTTGTGTTTACAGGTCCGTTAACCCGCACAGTCGTTCATGTTTTCAGTGAGTGTTGTAAATACACCTCCTTCCAGCCTCTACACGGATCCAACATGTTGGTATGTGGTGACCATTCGTGCGGATATGAATTTAGCCGATGCCGTCATCACGGGCTTCCAAGCTTCACCCAAAGCGTGAAATTATCAGATCAGACATGAATGGCGAACGTACTTTAGATGCATGTTTTGAGTGAAGAGGATCGTGACGATATTGTGGAGACTGCACCAAAGAAGAAGTAGCTGCACGACAGACGACTGTGCAAGACTGCTAGGCCTTTGCAGTTCTGAGTACAAAGACTCACGTCGCATAGACAGCCTCTATATACATACATATATATATATATATACGCTTATATATATATATATATGTATGTATTATACACACATATGTGTGTATATATACATATACAAATGCATATCCATCTATCTACGCCTGTAAGTTTGAGATAGAGTGAGGGACTGGTGAGATGCACTTGGAATCGTCGTCCAAGCGCGAGACTCAGAAGTAACGCGGTATTTCAGGTTTTGTTCGTATATGGCACGACTGCGTGTCAAGAAACATAAGTTTGCGACTGAAAGGAACCAGGAGGGCCAGAAACTTCTCGTATGGACTAAGACAAGAACTTGACAAAGCATCGTAGCAGAAAGCACGAAATGCGGACCGGCCACACGAGCACATTCAAAAGCAACGCTTGAGTTACGTTGAATCATGCGGTATCGGTCATGTTAGTTGGAAAGTGGTTCGCGCAGGCTGTAGCCAGTCACGAGTGAGCACTGCGAATGACAGATACTCTCGATACAGCTGCTGCACTGAAGGCGGGCATTGTAGCGCTGAGGCCAAAGGTGCATCTGTGGCTTCGCCAACCGTGGCTACGGCTCTATGAGTCGTCAAAGGCAAACTTGCTTCGATGCTGTACTCTTTGCATCTCTTTGCATTGCCTCGCTTGTCGCGCTTTGTCCAGTCCTGCTATGCTTTTGCAGTTTCTCTGCAAGGTTTGTGTGTTTACCGTCCTCGGCCTGTGGAAGGAGGTCGCATGATTTCCAGTTCACGGTAAGTGCAGCTAGCCCCAGCGCTGGCAGGGAGCAAACCTATCCCCGTTGCGAGTCCGGTGGCGTTGCCGCGAGCTCGTCAAACAGGCATGGAACTGACACATGGAGAGCAAGCCTGAGTTGTTGCGATTTGTTGCCCTGACAGGCTGGTCGAGGTTACTTGGACCAGGAGGACTACACAACGACCCAAATTTCAACGGCCGCAACAGTGGGGATGCTTTTGCCAAAGCCCTGATCGAAAATACATCGTGTGCTGGCTGGCTGGCTGGCTGGCTGTTTGACTCTAAGGCTTTGGCTGCCTGGCTGTGCTATCCTGTCACTTCCAGCGAGGCCTTGTGTCAGTTTGTCGCAGGCTTCAAGCAGAGTCTAGTCTTGGCAGGTACTGTAACTGGCCTCCTCTTCGGAACATGGACAGCAGTTTGGCGCAGGGCTTGGCGGGTCATGCTGACTAGACCGCTTGCTGCAAAGCTCTGCAAAGCCGTGCCGAGAACACTCTCGGTTTGTCAGTGTCATCAAGCTTGCCGAGGACATCGCGAAGCACAGGATCCAGGACATTCTCGAATTGACACGTCGTAAAGATAATGATGACTTTGCACGCGTCGGTTCTTGAAGGATTACGTGAACAACGGCCTCAGCTACAAGGCTATAGGGTGCATTACCGGGCTGAACTCGTACAGTTCGCACGGTGGCATAACTCTTACTCTACGCGTCTCGTCACCAGGGTTTCTGCATCTGCAGTCACGACATAGGAAGATCTTGCACCTTTTGCAGGAAGCAGAAGTGGCCTTGCGCAAGTACCTGACAGCCGGAGAGAAGAACTTGAAGTTCCGTGTGCGTTTCCTGGCCCGCGCCAGAAGACTTCAGAAGATGCTCAGTGCTTTGGATGCCTTACTAAGTTTGGTCCTAGGTGTTTAAACTTCTAAAAGCCAATCCTCGGCTTCTGCTGCGACTCTTCATGGCTGCCGTTTTGCGTGCAGGCGTGGTCATGACATTTTGCATGCTCGCTTTGGTCAGTCCCATCACCATGGGAGATGGAGTGACCTGGGCCGCGCCCCTTTTCTTTCTTCTTCTCTTCACCCTTGCGTCTTGGCAGCAGAAGCACATGAAGCTTTGCGGGTAAGTGTGTCCGCTCCCAGAATTTCACAATCCGAAGGCGGCAGTCCATGCGGCCTTGGATCGGCTTCTGATTCCATGGCTGTCGCCAGTGAAGATAACCATGCTCTCGGTTTTGAGAGAGACAGCCGATGAGATTTCTCTGATGGAGAAGGTTCTCGAAGCTTACAGGAGAGACGAGGGAGCAAAGAGCAGCGTACGCAGAGCAGATGAATAGTCAGCTCTCCTTTACAGCTTTACAATGCGCCTTCAGGAGTTTTCCTCAGGAGGAAGTGGAGAGCTCCGAGGACGGCGAGGAATCCTCTGACTATTCTTCAGCAAATGAGTCTTTCTTGGATGAAGATCCATCATCTCAGAACCTGCCGGAAGTCCTCGGCCGCTTCTCTGATTTCAGAAAGAGTATAGACAGCATAGACATAGATGTGTACAGTTTTAGGAGCATTTCAGAGCAGAGCTTTGGAGCCGCTTTTTGCCGTCCGGCTTTGTCAGGCTCCAAGAAGGTGAAGATCTTGGTGAGACCGAAAGCTCTGCGACTCCGCATGCGCTATGAACTCATGCGCTCCCTACCTGCCAGCTCCAACCTCAGAAGGCGACGTCGCCTCTTGCAAGGAAGGCACAGCTTCTGCTTTGACTTCTCAGGTGGCGATCACCTACTGCGATATCAGCGTGAAGAGCCGCTGAAATACGGGCGTCTGCTGCGCATTCCTGGGCTGTTACCCCCGATTCCTCGTCGCGGCCCAAGATCCCGAAAGACGAGGAAGATACAGGACCGACTCATCAAGATGTAGCAGGCTCCAACGCAAGAAGACTACTAGTAGCGACATGTCTGGTGCAGGAAGACCTTCGTCAGCCGAAGAGCGCCGTCTCTTGACTGCAAATTACGCTTATGATCGCTTCATGTTGAAGACTGGTCACGGAGCTGAGGCGCGCGAGGCACGAACTGTGAGCTTCTCGCCAACCTTGGAGAGCGACTGGAGCTACAAGGAGTCGCTATTCCGGCTGCGACGGAGCCACTCGCTGGGGACCGGCGTGGCCTTCGAGAACAAGCCGGAGGAAAGAGAGCCTAGAGACCACTGGGACCTCCACTCCGACATCTTTGATGAACACTCGCGCTCTGGCATCCCATGGATGCCCAAAGTATCCGAGCGAATGCCCGAAAGGGGCCTGGTGGACCAATTTGAGATGGTGGGAACATTTAAACCTCACATTCAATCTCGGTCCATCAAGGAGGTCGCGCTGAACGGGCTCATAGCCGACACACGACTAGGCGATAGACTCTGGAAGACGCTGGCAGCCTTGCTCTCAATTGTTGGTGGCAAGTTGGCATGTTGCTGCATTTTTGAGGCAGATTGCTTATTTTGGATATCGAGTCAGCTTCGATAACATGCAGCTGGGCTCAGGCTGTGGCCGGCACGGAGACCGTGCCCGGAGCTTCTTTTCAGTGCACGAACTGCTCCTCACTTCAGCGCTTGAAAGCATCAAGGTCGCAAGACATATGGCAGCAGCCAGTTGATGAAGCTCTGGAGGTAAGAGCCCTGCGACAAACAGCGCGTGTGCACAACTTGCTGCCTGCCGCTGTGACAGGCGACGTCTCCAAATTCTCTTGCAGACACGCGGCCGAATGCAAGAATAGTTGTTTGAGGAAGAGCGGTACTTGGAGGTGATAGCTACTGGTAGGCCCATTCTTATTCATTCTTGGCATCACTTTCGGATTGCGGCTCTCGTCGTTGCAGTAGTTATCAGTGCCGAAGCAGCGCAGAATGTAACAGTTTAGATAGTGGCTTATTGCCGATGCCTCAACTAGAAAATACGCGCATTGCGTAGCGCTGGTTTTCCAGATCCAAGTCCTAAGTGAGGCGCTGTTGTGTCCGCATGCATCTCTCAGGTGATGCCTGGCCGAAATTTGAGGCCCGACAAAGACTGTTGACAAATTCGGCCCATCAATGCTGCTAATTGTTTAATCAGCCAAAGTCCGTGACCCAGTCCGAAAATCTGGCGCTGGAGGATTTGCTAACGATGCCCCCCAATCGGAAGGAGCGGTGTCGAACTGGATGCCGCTTGTAGGTCTGATCAGAAGCATCAGATGTCGTAGATCCGTCTAGGATGCTGCTGTGGCTGAGGGTTCCATTATCATCTCCTCCCGTCCGGCCCGAGGCAGATCCGCAATTTTGGTAGCTTGCCCACACATGCCAGCCAGCAGCCGACAACGTTTCTGCAAGTTAATGTGAAGACATGTTAGCTTCGTGCGGCATGTCGAAATGCTGTGGGTGCATGCTGTTGCTTCGCTGAGGGAGTTGGACACTTCATGAGGTCCTGAGGGCTGGACTTGTCTGCTCAAAGTAGCGCCTTCCGAACTTGAACCGTAAGTCGCTCAAAAGCTGCCATGACAAGCCACTGGGGGGCAGGATTAGCTGTATCTAGCTCACAAAGTCGGATCTCCGCACCGGCCAAGCTCGTGGGACTTGCCCAAAGATCATGGCAAGCCTCTCCGGACAACATGCCTGGAACGAGCTGATGGCCGGGCTCAGAAGTCTTCTCGGAGCCCCCAAGATCTTAGTCTTCCACTCATTTTCTGAAGGATCTGGTTGAGCGGAGATGGGGTGGACCAGAGGCCTGTCGAAGATTCCTTGCAATGTCCACCCAAAGAGACTTCGCAGAACTTTCCTCGGAGGCCTTTTTGGCAAAGAATGCCGAGCTCTTCAGGAGCCCAAAGGCCACGAGCATGTCTCTTGCAGCGTGGGACAGTGCCGGAGTCTCGTCACAGGCCGGTGATAGACGGGACGCGGCGTTCGATGCCCTGGTCGAGCAGACTGGCGGCAGGATCCCAATGCCAGAGCTCATCTTGAAGATCGTCCGACTCAAACCCATGTGGAGTGGACACGTTGACACTCTCAGCCTGACCCTATGTACTCCTACACGACGGATCTGAGTGAAGATCATTTTCGGGCTTGCTAGAGCTTGCAGCAGTTGTCTTTCAATGATTTTGGGTTGGTGTCGCGAATTTCAGGCTCCGTTAGGTCTTGTATATCACAATTATTTACAGGCACGCGCTGGTGGGCAGCGGCTCCCTGCCCAGGTCCAGGGCATCCAAGGGTCCCACCTGGCTACGACATCTGTGCAGCTTAGTCACTCAGCATCGTTTTTTTTGAGCGGCTCGTTCTGGCGTGAGGATTCCTGTCTCTCAGCTGCTGAATGTTGTCGCCGATGCTGGAGGGGTGCGATGCCTCGAGCTGTGGCCATTGCGGTAGTGTTTCTGTTTCAATGGCAGAGCCTGCAGCATGTGTGGCTCTGATGCAAGTCATAGTTTGGAGCAGTCATGAGCGAAGTGGACAGGCTGAAAGCTTTCCTTCTTTATCGAGCTGTGTTCCATGCGAGCTAAAAATGGCCGTGCTGAAATAGCAGCGTGTCTACGCTGGCCGCTAAATTAGGGTGTAGTCGCCATGAGCTGCCGATCTGATACCGACTCAGAGACCTCTTCTCGAGACTCCAGGACTGCCTGAGCTTTCCTGGTCCTAGCCTGCGGACTCCTGCGGGGACTCCTGCCAAACCCTTCTTGGAAGTCAGGAACTACCGCGGGTGTGGCTGTGGAAACTCTCGAAGTTCTGATCTGGAAAGGGCCAGTGGCAGTACGCTGTGATGCTCGCCCGGAAAGCTTTCCACGTCAGTTCTTGGATTCTTGCTGTGCACGTCGTCCATCCGCGAATAAAGCCTCGGCGACGACAGTGTGGTTCTTTGTTCTTTTCACTGCCCGTGCTTGAATCCTTCGCGATCCCTCCTCGTGTCTACGTTCGTCAGTGTGCCAAGGCTTTCCAGATAGTGATTCTGATTCTTTGGATGGCGACTCCGACGGGAATGACCGTTCTCGACAGAAGGTGCAGGACTATCGGACTACCGAGCAGTGCCGCCTACTTGCAGTTGGGAGGATGGAGGTTTCTGCTCCGTGATGCTTGGCGTGCCCTGCAGGATTTGAGAAGCCTCAAAAAGAAGTATAAGCAAGAAGAGGTTTGCCGGCCGAGATTGCGAACCGAGAAACTTTCTGGATCTCGCTGGAGCATCGCTATTTCTGTGTTGGGAAGTCTTTGAGCGAGTGCAGAGACTCATCTAGTTTGCTTAGCTTAGCTGTTTGCTTTCGACCCTCGCAGCACCGCTTGAAGACTACGCAAAAGCAAGCCAAAGCCTTCAAACCTGTCAAAATTGAGCATCACCGCAGGGTTGTGCCCTGATTCGTCGCTGTCATGCGAGGCAGAGGA